CCAGCAAATCGGGCTCTTCCGTACAATGGGCGCCACTGGGCAAGACAAAGGGATCAAGCCCCAACACGCGTCCCACGTGGATGAGCCAAACTGCACTCTGCCGAGTCCAGAAGGCTACACCCAGTGTTTCCATGCATGGGATGTTCTGGAAAAGGCACGATTACCACACAAAGGACACACTGGGGTAGCCAGGGCTTGGGGTGGGGGCTCTGATGACAAAGGGGCAGCACGCAGGAACCTTTGGGGTGATGGAACTGTGGCATTGCTCTGCGGTGGTGGACACACGACGCTACGTGTGGGTCAAAACACACAGAACTTCACTCCATAAAGAGTGAACTTTACTTCAAGCGAATTATTGTAGAAAACATTCAACCAGGCTGTCGGGTGACGCCAGAGGGGCCACAAATTGGCACACAAGAACCCAATGGCATTACTGAGGGATGACAGACCCGCTGAAGGGCTGGGGGAGAGAGGACTGCGTGACGTAGCTGACAAGCCCGGCTGAGCAGGTAGTGAGGATGAGAGACAAGAACAAAGGTGAGCAGCACCACTGCCGGCGCCATCCTGGCGCTGTGACACACACAGGGCGGAGCAAACGAAGAAATCTATTGAGAAGATCTGACAGGTTTACTCCCTGCAAGAGGAAGACATCACTACTAAGAGAATGGACTACATCGGAGCCCGAGGTAGCAACAGGCTCATGTTACACGTTTAAGCATGTGTGCAGGTAAGTATGGATGGGTGTGGGGTTATGATATACCCACGTATCTCCTAGCTCAACTCACGGTGAGCAGCTACAAGCAGTGACGTGGGGTGGCAGAATGAGCACACCGGCCCCCGACATCAGTTTCTAGCACAATCTCCACTAAAAGGAACCCGGGCTCTTTGGAGGAGTGGCTGATTCCAGGGCTGGGACGGGAAAAATACAAGATGAGGCTGGAGTGTCTTGTAGTACCAGGTGGCAAGAAAGTGCCCCCCAAACCCAACCCAAACTCCAGAAAGGGGTCTATCTCAAACACGTGACGAATGTGAAGGAGCCCAGGGACCAACGGGGAGTGAGCTGAGCCACAAACACAGCAGACAGTCGTGGGTTACACACCAGCATAACAATATCCACGGACCACACGGACACGCACAACCAAGTAAACCGGGAAGCGAGGCAAGGGTGACAGCTCTTCCAACACAAAGTCCCATTAATAAATGTCAGGAATTAGGGCCACGGAATCACCAGAGGGAAACCCAGCAGGACACCGGTGACGCCCAGCTAGTGGCCCCTATTAAGGGAGGAGCAGGACACCGCAGGGTCCGAGCATCTCCTCAGTGCTCACTAGTTACTGTGCTGCTGTAACACGTGGCCAGATCGCACACCCTGCTCTGGCCCGGCAGCTCGAGGCTGCCTGTGGTGGATTCCCGGAGTGTGGCAGCAGGGAAGCTGGAGGCCACAGCTGCACCCAGGGACCGCAAGTGCAGATCCTGACACCACGCACCGACAATGCCACTCGGGGCACATCACCTCTGTGGCCTTCCTCCAAAAGCCCAAATAACCTCGGTCTAAGATCAAGGGAAAACAGACAAGGCCAAGTTGAGGGGCAGTCTCCAAAACACCTGCCCGGCACTCATCCAAGTGTCCCGGTCATGCAGGTGGGAGGGCACTAAGGAGACAGATGACTAAACGCAGCTGAGGTCCTGGAAAAACTGGGAAACCCAACAGAGACTATAGTTGGGTTTGTGTCAGCCAACCCGAGTGCCCTGGTTCTGACAGCCGGGCTGTGGTTTATGGATGGCAACATCAGGGAAGCAGTGAAGGGCACACAGAAACTCTGTTCTATTTTTGTAATTTTTCTGTATGTCTAAAATTATTCCAAAACAAAAAGTGACGAGCAAAACAATGTGGGTGCTGTGCTGAAGAATGCACTCGATCTGGCAACATGAGCTCAGGCCACACAGAAAATGGGGATGACGGGGGCAGTGCGCTGAGCCCAGGAAGGGGAGCACGTTGGTCTGAGAGCTGCCGCAGGCCCCATCCCCCAATCCCCGGCAGAGTGCTGGTGCGAGGAGCCCATGCCCAGGGGAGGCCGCGTCAGGAGGCCCGGCTCACCTTCACCATGATGTTTAACATGGCCCCAGGGTAGGAGATGGTCACCTTGGGCTTTTTCACACTACTTGTCTTGATTACAAAGTTTTCAGGGAAGCTGTTAGGTAGCACGCACCATATTCCATCTGTGTCCAGCTCTAAGGGCCTCCTTCAGAGAAACAGAAATGAGGCCACATGGATGCTGGACCACAGGCAGCCAGGAGCCACTGTGAAATCTGGACAGTGGCTGAGACCCATCCTGGCCATCAACCCAGCATGTGAGGCAACCGCCCGTTTCCAACTCCCTTTTCTCGGAGCCCTTCCCTCCCACTCCAGCCCTCCTGGCCCACCCCAGCAGGCGTGCCAGCCAGGCGCTGGCCGCAGCACAGCGCTCACCCAATCTGTTCAATCAGCTCCCGTGCCTGTGTGATGATGCTGGCCCCCGTGAAGCAGACGATGCCAGCCATTTCCATGGAGTACCAGCGGGCCCTGGGGAGGACAGTCACAGCCTGAGGGTGGGCGGGGCTCCTCCAGAGGGTCATTAGGACAGGTCAGGAGGGAGAAGGATGCCAAGAGGGGGACTGAAACGGGGCAAGAGAAGGTGGAATTCTGTTCTGTGCTGAGGGCACTTCTCTGTTCCTACTTCAGGGTGTGGGGCTCAGCTCAGAACCTCGGCCTCTGTGGGGCTCTCCATAGCAGCCCAGATGCTCACGTGTTCCCATGAGCTTTGCCCGCCATCTGCAGCACCAACCATCCCATACCTTCTCTTCTCCCAAGCCCTGTGCACACCCTCCAGCTTCTTAGGGAAACAAGCCCACAGGCACCCTCGGCTTCCTGCCACCCGCTGACTCATTGTCCCTGCCCAGGGAACTCTGCTCAGGTTCCAGCCCTGTTCTCCCCCTCCCCGTGCCATTAAAAAGCAACACAAATAAACAAAATGACCCTCCCTCAAGCCCAGTTCCTGTGCCACCCACTGCCTTCCTCCTCCTCCAGAGCTGCAATGTTGACAGTCCTAGTGTCCCCACCCAGTGGCCAGGCCTCCCCTTCAAGACCTGCTCTGCCTGAGGCCCCACCTACTGGGTCATGTCCAGTAGACACGCTCAGGCCCCACCTCATCTCATCTCTTGCAGCCCTAACCCTGGAACAGTGTCCCGGAACTGGCTTTAAGACCCCATCTCCTGGCTCTCTCCAACTCTCAGGCAGCTTGACATCCCTCATTAGCCACATGGTGCTACTTAGCAACTGACCAGACCCTCTCCACATCCCAAGCGGTGACATTCATTAAGTCACACACACAGGACAGAAACTACCAAATCACGACTCCAGCCCAGGATGCTGAGACCAAGGCGTGCAGTGGTATGGATGCCCCTTGGGGCCCACCTGAGGGGGCGTGGTGGCCCATAGCCCTGCCCACTCATGAAGGCGCCCCGCCCCGCCCTCTTCTGGCCCCTGGTGTGAGGGCACCCCAGCGCAGGACGCACCCTTTGCGCATTACGTAGCCATAGAAGGAGTTGAGAATGCACTTGTGTGCGAGCTGCAGCGAATCATACAGCACCTCCATGTTCCTGCAGCGCCTCACTTCTGCCGCGTCGCCAGCCTCCACAGCTGCACACAGCTTCTTCTTCCACACCTGTGAACCACGCACATGCGATGCCGTCATGCCATGTCACGCATGTAGGAACTTCCTGTCTACAGGCCTCTACTGGTACATGCCACACTTACTTCACTCCGTCTCTGCTGGCACTACCAGTAGAAAGCTGTAGATACTGCACACCTTGGCACAACTTCCAGAGATAAGGACGTACTCCTTAAACAGGGCACGGTGTCAGGCATAGACTCGTCCCTCACAGGGTCTGCATGACCCCAATACCTGCTTCTCCCACATCCCGAGTCACCTTCAATCTAGAACTCCCCTGTGGAAGCCACCAACCTGAAAGGGGTGCTGAGCACAAAGAACTGGCCCATGTTACATGTTTACTTCCTGCGAGCCCAAGGATAGGAGGAGATACTCCACGTGGACACCTCAGACCTGGGGCAACTTCAGCGTCCTGGGACAGAGCCCAGAATCTGACAGTTAGCTGGAGGAGGGACTGAAGCCATGCCTAAAGACTAAAAAAGAGGTGGGGGCTTTGCTCCACCAGAGGCCCAGGGGCTCCAGATCCGGGTCCTATTATTTCATTTTCTCTTATCTACGCACTTGACAAGCTGAGTTTCCAGGTCTCTCAAACAACACAACTCAGAAACGGCTGATAAGCAGAGAGCCAGGTGCCCGTCATCTGTGGCAACGCCCCACGGTAACAGTGTTCTCACTGGCCAGTATCTCTGGGCCACCCACTGCCTACCCAGTACTGGGCCAGGGCTGTAAGGTGATGGAGCTGTTCACTGTGGTGTGTTTGTCAAAACCCACACAACTGCCTACAAAAGGGGGGAACTTAACCCTGTGACAGGTTTATGTCAACGGAGTGGCCCAACCACCACCAGGGAGGGTGCTGGACACGGGCATTCGGGCATCTGAACGCCCTCCACCCGCTGCACTTCTTTCCCCATCACAGTGGTCAAACATGACATGTTCCTCCCATCTGAACATCTCGCCTTTACCCCCCCAGCTGATGTTTTGTCAGTACTTAGAAAAGTGTTCGGCACATAACAGCTCTCAGTAAATGTCCTGATGAACTTGCATCAGACTAGAAGACATCGGATCACGAATGGTGCGCCTGGGCGGGTGCAAGACCCTCACTGCCAGGAGAGGGGGGCACACAGCAGCCATAGACAGACTGCACGGTCCAGGGTGCAGAGCCTCAAAGGAGAGGCCGAGGGACAGCTCCCCCAGTGGGCTAGCAGATTAGCCCCACCCGCCTCACTGTGCTGACTAGTCCTAGTTAACAGGTGCTGTGGGAAGGCTAAGGACAGTGCATCCCCAGCTTCTGTGATGCCACAGGCCGCCGAGGACAAGGTGTCCTGGGATGAGGAGCTAGGCCTGTCTGTGTCTGTAACGGCTGGACTCAGGGGAACCAGAGCTACTCAGGAGGTCTCTGGAAAAAGCAACTGATAAAGAAATGCAGAGAAGACCAAAAATATTTCAGCAAATTCCCCATCCAATCTGAGAAAAAAAATTTCTTAAAGGTTTGGTATTTAAGGGACAAAAAATTTAAGACATTTATTGAGTGCCTACTATGTGCCAGTTACTGCATTAGACTCTGAAAAATGAGATAGACAGTCACTACACTTGCAGGGCTTGTATAATGAGGGAGACAATTGAACAAGTAATTTAAGAGTTAATCACGGCTGGCTGAATGGCTCAGTTGGTTAAGAGAGCAAGCGCTGAGCAATAGGGTTGCCGGTTCGATTCCCACATGGGCCAGTGAGCTGTGCCCAAGCTGAGCTGTCGCTGAGATGCCAACAGGCAGCAGGATGGCTCAGCTGGTGAGAGCAAGTGCTCCTAACAACAAGGTTGCCAGTTCGACTCCCGCATGGGATGGTGGGCTACGCCCACTCACAACTATGACTGAACACGGCACCTTGAGCTGAGCAGCAGCGAGCTGCCAACAGGCGGCCGGATGGCGACTGGACTTGGAGCTGAGCTAGCTGTGCCCTCCACAACAAAGATTGCAGGACATCAACTTGGCTGTTCCCCTTCCCCAACAGTGTTCCCCTCCCCCAATTCCCCAATAAAATCTTAAAAAAAAAAAGTTAATAAAAATAAAGTAAGATGGTATGGCAGTTTCTGAGAAGATTAAAAACACCATTATCATAGGATCCAGCAATTCCACTTCTGGGCATACACACACAAAACTGAAAACAGGAACTTGACATGTTTGTACATCCCATGACATGTTTGTACGTCCCAGACAGCGCCAAGCAAGGATCCTCACCTCAGAAACTAGACTCTATCATGACCCCACAAAGGTGAGACTCACCTTGTGGAGACCTTTGAACTCATAGCGCCTGTCGCGGAAGGCGCGCACCGTGTCCACGTAGAAGGAGTTCTCCCGCTGGCAGATGGTGGTGAGGCGCTCCCCTACTTTGGTCACGTGGGTTTTCTTGTAGGCCTTCCGGCAGTAATCTAAGGCACAGTCGGGATGGGGAACACGTGAGCCTCAGCACAGCGGGGAGCATGCCTCCTGGCTGGACAAGAAGGAAGGCAAGGAGGCAGCGATGCCACAGACGCAGCTCCAGGCTAACACAAAAGGCAGTCCATACAGAAAGCGAGGTGGTAGTTTATCATATCAAAGAAAGGGCAGCCCAGCATGAATGGGCCAAATACACCAAAAGCACAGCAAGGAGAGTCCAGTGTCTGAACACTTGTGAAGCCTACAGGAAGAACTAGTTCACCATGATCTGATGGGTTCAGTGGCTGGTTTAACTGACCCCAGGCTGTGTCGCACCAACACAGCCGAGGACCCAAAGTGGGAGACAGAGAGCTAGGAAAGCCATGGCCACGTCCAGGCTGCTCACCTGCCAGCCTCCTCTTCTCGTACTTAGCCTGCTCCTCACGGGACAGCTCATGAAAGGCCCGCGCTGGGCCCTCTGGGATCAAGGGAGGGAACTTCTCCGACTCCAGCTGGTGCCGGATCCGATGGTACTCGCTGCGGCTGGCCGGCACTGGGAAGGGTGACAGCAAAGAAGAACCACGATGGAGACCAGCCCGTCTGCTTCCGCTGAGCAACCCCCCTCCTGGCCCCCACTCACTGAACTCGCCCCTCCACTGCCAGACCATCTTCCGCTGGCAGTTTGCTCCAGGCTTGTTGAAGTCGCAGGCTGCACAGGTGGCCTCGTCCACCATGGCAGAGGGCTGCAGAGGGCACAGGGAGGCAACAGTTAGGCATCAGGCAGCAAGAACTTGACCCAGATACAGGAATCTGTCTCACCTGCAGGCGGTTTGTCAGGATGATGTTTGGGTACATGGCCCCCACATCCAGATGGTAGATAAGGGGACACTCGATTCGGTTAGGAACATCTTTCAGGGAGGTGAGCTTTGTCTTAATCTGATCACACACCTGCAGATGAAGAAGAAAGAAAAGTGAAGGCTGGCGACCTAGCAGAAAACTGGAGACTGTACACAGTAACAAGGAAAGCACCAAAGGTCCCAGACAGACACCAGCCACCAACATCAGGCCCTGGGGTGTGAGAGCTGTCACAGGAGCAGAGCCCTACTAAGGACCAGCTCTGGGGGTGTCACGGGAGCAGAGCCCTACTAAGGACAGCATGGTGGGAGCAGCAGTCTCCACCCCAGAACTTTTGGGGTTGGGAGAAAACTGCAGAAGATTATCTGTGGACTCACATGGCAGGGCCTGTCTGCCAGTGAGTGTGGGACCTGGCCAAAATACCAACAGTCACCCTTGCTGGGGGCCCCGTGAGTCCCTTAGGTGAGCATGTCCCGGCAAGCCCTCAGCTGATGGGTGAGAAGGCTTGAGCACAGGCCTCAGACCAAATGCAGTGCCAGGCAGCCTCCCGTGTGACTTCATAAACCAATGACTCCGATTTCTGCTTCCAGCCAGGGCCTGATCTGTTTGCTTAAACACCCTCCTAATACCAAACACCTAGAAACGCTGCCTGAAATATGAAAACTATCCCTGTCTGTGCAAAAGTGAGCTTCTCAGTTATCCCAGGTACAATGCGACAAGCGAACTGCAAAGCAGAGCAGGGAGCTGACCTGTTGTCCCCAGGGCCACCCCATGTCTGGTGACTCAGTGAGAGAACACAGCCAAGTCAGACAAGGGGAAAGACACGTGGGGTGAAGTCAGGAGCAGCCCAGGCTCAAGCTGGGAGGAGCTTCCTTCTTCTAGCACCAAGCTGATAGCAGTGTCCCAGAGACCCAGCGCCAGGCTTCTCCTGGGGCTGGTCACACAGGCACCAGCCTGCACAAACCCAACTACTAACCCTGGGAGGACAGCATGCGCGGCCGTCCTGCCAGATAAAGGGAGGGAGCCCTGCCATCCCAGCGCCCAGACGCCCGCCGGGGGCCAGCCCTGCTCGCAGGACCGTGAGCACAGCCAACTCGGCCTGAGCCGGGAGCCCTGCTGCTCATTTCTCCGGCCTCCTTAAGGACAGGTGACCCACACACAACAGGGAGACGAAACGCAGAACTTCAGATAAAGGCAGGACTCACTAAGGCCACTTCCACAGAAGGCTAAGCCAGAACCCCATCTATTCTGGGCTCTGAACGAAGAAGGTGTCTTTGCCTGAGCATCTGTCACCACAGGCCGGTCCCTCCAATGGATCTGCGGTTTACACTGTACTTCTCACTTGGTCTGGGAACGTTCAACCAAGGAGCCAGGTAAGAAGGAACCCCAGTCCAGTGTTCCCTCTATGAATCCTGGCAGAAACAACCGTAAAAGTACCTGGTGGCCCTTGAGAGGCCACCTGGATTCCCTGCTGAAGATGAATTCGCATTCCAAAATCTGAGTACGGGAAGAGACACCCACCATGACCGACAACGGACACCATGGAAGGTTACCCCAAGAACTTCAGGGAATAAATCTCCTAAATATGCTAAAATGAGTGTAATGAAAAATACAAGAGACCAAAAATCTAAAATACAGTAACACGGAGTCCACTTTTTATAAAATAAAGCACATTTGAAAAAGAATAGAGCTTCTAGAAATAAAAACATTGTCCTAAAAATAAAAACAGTCACTGAGACTGTATGGGAATAAAGCTAAACAGGCTGTGACAGTCATATATTTTTATTCACTCCCCAAAATGTTACACGCAGCTAAATCAGAACACAAGATGTGGGGCCGGCCAAGTGGTGCATTGGTTAAGAGCTGGCTTGGGACGCCAGAGGGCCCCGGTTCGGATCCCACATATGAGGGCCAGTGACACCGCCCTCCACAGCTAAGATGCTGAACAACAGCTCAACCTGGAGCTGGGCTGCCGTGAGTCGCCGGCGACGGCGTAGGCTGCAGCCCCTGCTGCAGTGGGTTGCCATGGGCTACCATGTGTAGCCAGCAGCTAGCGTGAGCAGCCAGCAGCCACAGTGAGCGGCTGTCCAGAAGCCGGCGACTGATCTGCCTCGCCCGGGAAGAGCGCAATGATGGTGCCAACTTGGGCCAGTGAAGCAACGTCCTCCACAACTAGACTGAAGAACGAAACGACAGCGACTTGTCTGTTCCCCTTCCCCCAATTCCCCCAGCGTTGTTCCCATCCCCCACAATTCCCCAATAAAAGTCTTAAAAAAACTTCGACTAGCCCCTCACTGCCAACAGAGCCCAAGTGAACTGGACATGAGACCCACCACTGCCATCTCTGTCCGCAGCCCCACGGTGATCCGACAGCCTGTTCAGGAGCCTGCCGTCTCCCTGTGAAACTCCCTAACACACCAAGCTGGGTCATTCACTGTGACAATGCTGGCGCAGCTGTCCTACCTGACCAGAAGACACCCGAGTCATCCGTCTTGATGCCCAAGCAGCAGCACACAGTAGGTGCTTAGTGAACACGCTACCGAATGAAGCCAGGCTACGAGGCAGCGCGTGTACACACTGTCCCCTCCCGGAGCTTTACCTCTTCGAAGTTGGTGACCTGCTCCATGGGCACCTTCTCCTCTTCTTCGATGGCGTGACGCATTGTCTTCTCCACCCGCTGCAGCAGGAAGTCAAAGGCGGAGGGGTTCTAGCACAAACCGAGAGGACACAGGTCAGATGGGAAATGCCCCGGCAGCACGCAGCCTGCCTTAGGGACGCTGTAGACCAGGTTCCAGAAGGAGTCGACTGCTGACCTGCAGTGACCCAGTGCAGGGCAGGCCAGACAGGATGGCCAGTGAGGGCCAGGGGCCATGGCTTGACTTCAGCCCTTGTGGCTTCTGGATGCGACCGAGCCTGGGGTACCCAGGGGAGAAAAGGGGCGTACCATCCTGAACCGGCAGGGGATGTCACTGCGGAACACGCCGGACTCCAGGGCCTCCACGTGGCCGCCCACATAGGTCTCAGAGTCCAGTACGTGGCCATCATCGGTCATCTTGTTGAACTCCTGCTCCTGCTTGTTGGGGAAGATGATGTTGGCATGGAAAGCCTGCACCATCAGCAAGGCCTCGCACAGCGTCCCGGAGCCCTTCCGCAGCACCTGCAGGAGAGGCGAGGCTTAGCCGACACCCAGGCCAGCCTGCAAAGGGCAGCTGGCCAGCGTGGGTTAGGGCACTGACCTCATCAGGCTCCATGGGGATAATGGTGCACAGGGCGAATATGAAGGGGTGGACATACTTCATATACAGGTAGTATGTGGCCACTGCGTCCGACACCGAGTACGTGGCCAGCGTCTGAGGAGAGAGCCGAGTTAAGGGCCACACCCCCTCCCACTCCCACTCTGCTCACCCCCACAAGGTGCGGGAGATGGGCGCTGCGGCACCAACCTGGGGCTGCTCCGTGGCCATCCGGCACATGTCTTCGGGGTCCAGCTCCACGGGGTCGTAGCCCAGCTTGGCTTTGGCGGCCGCCTTGAGGTTGTGGCTGCCCACAGGAAGGTAACTGTCCCTCTTCACCCACCTGGGAAGGAGAGCAAGAACAAAGGCCAGGAATCCGTGAGAGGGGGCAAACCGGACACACAGGAAGACACGCCAGATGGCACAGGGCCCTCGTGACCCACTTAAGTTTGCAGACACACCAGCCAACACAAAGACACGCCAAGCCAGTGCTCCACGCCACCAGCATCTCTCATGTCCTTGGGGAAAGGGTCAGAGAGCAGGCAGGAACCCTTGCCCTCCACACCTCGTGCACTAGTGCCACTGGACTCTGCTATGTCCGCCCAGCCCTCAGGCCCTGCCGTCACACTCCCTCCTCTCTGCACGTGGTCCTTCAGCAAGGAAACACGCAAGGAGGCCTCGTTCCTGTCTTCACTTCCTCCCGATGACTGACACCTGTCTTCCTGGGACCCGCAGCTCCTACTGCCCGTGTCCAGCCCCAACTCTCCCTGCCTTGCCCGGGGATGCCCCACGGTGGCCTACCCAGCACTGCCGCCTTGCTGAGGCCCCCACTTCTCTTACTTCCCTTCTTAACAGTCCATTCACCACCAGTCTCCAAGTGGATGGAGCTCCCCGGCCTGCTTCTACCTATGAGCTGGGCTCTGCCCTGTACCTGAAATCCTACGCCAAACCCTGAGAACCAGGCTTCCCCGGGCTTCACGCATCCTGGCCCCGAAATCCATAGACCCCCAATTCCTCGCCTCTCAAATATTAAGCCCACCTTTCCCTTTACTCCCGTTCACATTACGACTGGGCCTACCCTCCAACCCACACAACTATAGGGCTAAAGAGAAGATGGATCAGCTTTAAATGTGTCGATGGCTCCCCACAACAGCCGAGGTGAAACCACCTCCCCACAGGGCACCGAAGGCCCGTGAGACCGCCAGCTACCCTTGGCACTCCAGACCACCACACCCCGAGCTCCAGTGGAGAGGCAAAGGGACCTCAGACCAGGCCTTTCTTTCTGGCTGGGAGTCCCTGCCCCAAGGGCCAGCGCTGCACATGTCTGGTGCACGATAAGCACGTGACGAAAGACAGCACATCCCAGGACCCAGGCAGAGCCAACAGCTGTGTCCCCTCAGTGATGGGAGCTGCTTCTCAGAGGCCACCTTCATCCCCTGAGAGGGCGTGGGCAGGACTGGTGTGTGTGAGAAGAGAGCCTTGGACCTCACTCACGAAAGCCCCCATGAGATGCTGGCGAATGGACAAGTGAGAGGCGTGGCCCACCTGAGACAGTCCATGTGGATGCACTGGGGCGCCTTGTACTCCCCCTGGCTGTCCTTCTGGAACCCGATCTCCTCATACATGTTCAGTCCGTGGGCTGCCGCTCTGGTCTCCACGAAAGGCCTGGGGACGGGAGAGGACGGACAAGCACACAGGGCAGTGAGGCCCTAACTTCCTCGGAGACAGAAGATGGCCTGCAGGGGACATCCGCCAACCTAGGAGCTCCTCACATGGGTGGCACTTCTGCCTCACCACCCCCCCCACCCCCAACACACTTTCTTTCATCTCAGCCCTTTCACAGAGGACAGGCCCGCAGCATTAAGTGTACACAGTGTCCTACAACATCCCCTCCCGAACTCTTTTTCGTTACACACTAATTGGACATTAGACTCACCAGTCAAAAAAGTCCCCGTTGTAGGTAACCATGATGGTGGGCTTGGTCTCCTGGACATGTTCAAACCACCTTTGGATTAGATGAACCTGAATTCAACGAGTCACAGCGTCAGCGGGCTGCTTTTCCTCTTCATCCAGCTCTTCCCAGCACCGTCCCAAGTTCAGCAGTGCCTCACGCCGGCCCTCCACCCGCCCACCGTGCCTCCACACGGGCGAGGACGCATGCGCAAGCCGAGTCCAGAAGCTGCTGTTTGAGCGGATGGGTGCCAAGGCCTGAGGACAGTCAACATGCCTCTCCTTCCCACGTCCCCCCAAACTGGCAGCTTCCCGGGGACACCTCGGTACCTCATCGGGTTCATTGAAGATACAGAAGGGCCCTTCATATTCTGGCTTGGGCGTGAACTCGAAATCGTCAATATCCTCAGCAACGATCTCCCTGTTGGTGATGAGGTAGCCCTGGAAATTCACCAGCAGTCAGCGTGGGTTAGACACCAAGCCAAAGACACAAGCCTCTTGACACTCAGCCTAGAAACTCCTACTACAAAAATCTCTGCGACATCTTGAAGGTGCCTTCGATTTTCAACAAGAGACATGCTACCTAAGCCCCGATGTCTCAGATTTCAACCACAAGACGGGAACGTGGCTGGATGTCAGAACAGCTTGCTTTTCACTTTCTGGGATTATATTCACTCATTATTCACCCCCAAAATACTAATCATGGGGTGGATGCCGTTCTAGTTTGGGGACCAGGCAATGGCCCTGTTCCCAGGGAGCTTACATCCCAGAAGGCACGCTTACCTGACCATCGATCATATAGGAAATCATCATAATCTGGTCGATCTCAGCATCAGGAAACTTGAGGGGCAGCTTGGTTGTCTCAATGTCAAATGCCAAAACCACAGGGTCCTAGAGGGACAAAATGTAGCATTAAGCCAGCCACAAACCCAGCTGAGCTCTGGAGACCTCAGAGATCCTCTCTACACCCACCACCAGCTGCTCCACATCTAGCTGCTACAAGCAAGAGTCCGACTGCCACAGGAAAGGTTTCGAAAAGAGTGGGACAGGCATCTCGGGGCTGGCTGACCCACAGCAAGAACCACGATTCAATAATGGTATGAAAATACAACACGTCCGAGAAAAGGCTTGATCATAGGAAAACCCTAGAATTGCAGAACACCTGAGTCTCAGAGCTCGTTAAAATGCACGACCTCGGGCCAGCTGAGTGGCTCAGTTGGTTAAGAGCTCGCTCAAGAGTTTGAGCTCTGAGCAACAGCGGTTCGAGTCCCGGCCCGAGCCGAGCAGCCACTGAGCTGCCAACAGGTGGCAGGATGGCTCAGCTAAAAAAAAAATTTTTTTTAAATGCATGACCTCATCTTGACCTTTATGACAACCCTGACAGAAGATAGTGGTACAACTGACGTCTTCATTTTGGAAATGAGAAAACAGAGTAAAGACCTTCCCAAGACCACAGAGCTGTCCCCAAAAAAAGGCCTGAATCCATTTTTGATCCCTAATGAACCCGCTTCCCCACATCACTTTGTTACTGACTGCCCAAAATGAAGTCAGAGAGCTCCATCAGGTGCTCCGGGTCCAGTCTCACTCAGATACTGACATCACCTGGTGGTGTGCAGGTGCAAAATGAAATTATACTCTCGGTCAGAAGTGGAGCAAGAAAACGATTACTCCTTAATTCTCTTACAAAAGTATTTGAGGAAAAAGCAAACAAGTCTTTGAATCAAATTCACCTTTCGGCACTGAATTAGATCTCTGCAGAAACCTGGGGGACATTCAGGATGGAGACATGTAAACAGTACTTACGGGTCGCTCGACCAGGTCATCCCGGCGGATGATCTCAACTGGAAAGGCGTTTCCTCGGTACCTGACATTGTACCAGTGAGCCTGTGGGACATGTGGCCCATTAATGGAGAGTTCACGTCTGTTTCCACCAGACTGAGCCACACTGTAACCCCAGGCAGCTGCGCCACGTGAGGCACAGCCCACTCACCACATGGATTTTCAGGTCGATGGAGAGACGGATGTGGTAGGGTACATCGTACTCCCGCATGTCCACAATGTTGTCCAGCTGGTCAGCAGTCTTCTTAGAGGCTTCCTCTTCATCAATGATCACGCTGCCCCCTTGCAGGACACTGCAAACAGAGGATGCTACTTACTCAGCACACTCCACTAGTGGCTGGAGGGGGCAGACCTGAGTCCACACGGAGTAAACGTGGCTGGGATGACCAGGACAGGCCCTTCTTAAGACCTTGGATGACCCTCCAAGTCACAGATACAAGGAAATTCAGCATAGCTTAGGATATATGCATTGTATAGGATTGTAAGTTACACCCTACTTAAAAAAACAAAGAAGAAAGACACCTTTGTTACTTGGGAGTTGTGTCTACAAATGTGACCTACTGTCACTGAGCTTGTTTCTTCATCAAGAAAAAGAGGATGACAGTAACAGGCCCACCCCACAGGAGTGTCATGAGGTAAGAGTCACAATGCTCTTGGTTAAGTGACGGATAAATGTTAACTATTTCTGTACCATAGTTGTTCCTATCACATCCAAGCAGGAAATCACTGTCACTAAAATAGTCTCTCCAATATTAGCCCGCAAAGCTTCCAAATACTGAATGAACTATTCAAGGGGGGAAAAGACAGACAATGAGTTTCAGAGAAGGCATCTGGGGACTCGGTCTCTGATTACACCTTGTAATATTCTGAGAAGTAATTTATGGGCCACGGGGGTCTATGTGTGTGTGTAGAAATGTTCAGAGTCCCAAACTGTTCTTCTTTTGTCAAAGAATACAATTAGTTCTTCTGAAGTCATCATAACTTTTAATTTGCCAAAATTTCCTCTTTTCCTGCTTCCTATTACTGTTGATGTCTGAACGTTTGGTGAACAGTATTTGGTGTCCTACATTAAATTCCTCTGTATAACTCCAAGGTTCTCTGGAGAAGATGTGCTGTGTAAATCTAGGCATTTAATAAAATTTGTAGACAGCTTAACACTTGCCATAAACTATGAAAATAGACTATGTTAAGGTGGTGGGATTAGGAATCTAAAATGTCTTAACTGTTATAGCAACTCAGTGTTAGAGCCACAAACCACCCTTCATGTACGAGGAGAGGGTCCGCTGAACTACAAAATAAATTAAGACAAAGGAAGCCACCATTTATGTAACACAAATGGAGAACTGTAAGAAATCCAACTTAATTGCTCTTGCTCTAGGTGTTTCCAAAGTGATCAGAGTCACTCATTAAGGCCACTAACAGACCAGTTTCCCCACCTCCTATCCATCTCATCAACTCAGGAAAAGTGGGAAACAGCCCTGTGGGCCGCCCGGCTGCCGTGCGTGCCAGAACAAAGCTTACCTGGAGAGCATGGCCGTGTAGGTGTCACGGCTGTGGCTCTGCTCCCGGTTCTTCTTCACAGCAGGGGAGATCTCCTTCCTCACTCTGACAAGGTCCTCCACGGTGTTGAACGACAGCTTAACGTAATTCCGCTTCAGACCCACCAAGTGATTTGGCTACAGAGCAGAGTTTAAGAAAAAAAGGACTTTATTGGGGAGAGAAAATAAAGGCAGAACGACTCGAACGTAAACATCCTTGTCAAACAGCTGGGAACTCCAAAGTATCTTGTCCAGCTCTGCATGTGGCACCAAGTGCACCACCACTGGTGTCAGCCATCAAGGCCTCATCCTCTGTCCCACCCCACGCCCACAGGTACCAAACTCGGCCTCTTTCCAAGTCACTCCTGGCAGGGTGGACCCAGCCCCATTTACCCTGGAAGGTACGGTGACACTTACCAAGTCCAGATCCTCTTTGGGAACAGTCTCTACTTTAGCAATTTTACCCTGAAACTTCTTAGAGAGAAAAGATGAAACTTCTCGCTCACACCCCTAAATCAGGATCGTAATGAAAAGACTTTCCATTAGAAAAATCGACTTCCTTCCTTGCCTGTTTCTCTAGTGTCGTCAGACGCCTCCCTGAGCCTGTGTGAGCTGATTCTGTGAAGCAGACTCACCTTTCTGGTTGCAATGTAGAAATAGGGCTTGTAAGGCAAGGCCACCTGCGAGTCACCAACCCATTCAGGGGAGATGAGAAAGGAAAAGGAGAAGGTGAAGGCAGCTGTTTGCTGCTACCCCATGAGCAGCCTCCACCCAGTGCTCCCTAGGGCTACAGAGTGTCTAAGAGATGGTGCGACCGGAAGTGGGAACCTGCACACACCGCGGGGGAAGGGTCTAAGAGACACAACACTGCCCCGTCATTCAGCCTTTCCGGGCAAGCTCCTCAGGTCTCTTAGGTGGTGGTAACGGGCTCCCAGGGGCCATGTTCCCTCCCGACGGGCTTCAGGCAGCTGCACACCAGCAGCCCCCCAAGCCCCAGAGCCAAAGGAACACTCATCATTTGGGGCCCAGCTATGCCTTTTCACCAAGTGGATTTTAGCTTGTTGGGGTTCAGGGGCTTACCTTAAATCTGCTGCCATCATCTTGAATAAAGTAGTAATCCACTGCACTGACTAAGCGTTTCTCTTCATCTAAAACCTCAGTCTAGAAGACAGTCAGCCCAAACAGGCACAGGTTACCCCCCACACAGCACAAGAGTCCCTGTGCTCCCCATTGGTGGGAAACTGAGCACTTTCTTCACCCCCTTCACAAGAGCCCCATCATAACAGCCTCCGGACAGATTTCTCTCAATTTCTCCCTCATCCTCAAAAGGTTTACTCTTATGGGCAACAGGACACCCCTCCCCTTAGTCTTCACCCCAGGGGCCTCTATGGCCCAATGCTGCTGAAGAACAAAGTAGAAGAGCTACAAACAGCCCATCTCCACCTGCATCACCTGGACAGCAGATTCCCACGGCAGGTGGCACCCACCCTTCAGACAAGGGCCATGCCACCACAAGGGTGCGGAGGGAGGGACGGGAGGGGGAAACGCCCAGGTGCTTACGGGATGCATGTTGATGAGCCAGCCTGTCCTCTCGCCCGGCTCCTTGAGCCTCTCAAACCCGAACCGCATATCCATCCTATCGGTCCACTGACTGCGCTCCAGGCGCTTGAGTGCCGAGATAGAGGAGGGGGCGCCATCGTCCCTGGGTGGGAGGAGGAAAACCAGTCTTCAGGGTCACGACGCTCTCCACTCCTACAGCCCTCAGTCCACCCAGTGTAAGCATTCTGGGTGTGACACGGTCGATACATCCCCCAAAAAACTCGCGTTTGGCAAGACAGCTCATTCTAATAACACAACTCGTGGGGAAAATACGACTGGGGCAGGACCCTCCAAAGCTGCTCAACTCCATAAGCAGAACACTAACAATGACCACGGCTGGATGCCGTCTTCATGGGATATTAGAAGTGCACAAAGCCCACCACTGCTCTCCTGACAGCTTATCCCAGAGGAAAGAAAAGCCACGTTCATATAACAACGTTCATATGTGTGAATGTCCACTGCTTTGTTCACTAAAAACAACCCAGATACTCCTCACCAGGGGACTAGCTAACCTGTTACATCCATCCAGTGGGGTGCTAATCACCAACAAAAAGGAACAGTTACTGATACCTGCAATAGCCTGGATGGATGTCGAGGGAACTGTGCCGAATGAAAAGGCCAACTCCCCAAATTACACACTTTATTTATTACACCATTTACATAGCTTCTTGAAGTGACAAAACTAGTGAAGATGAACAGATGTGGCTGCCATGGAAGGCATGGGGGACAGAGAATGGAGGGGCCGTGGGACAGCACGAGGGGTCCTTGGGGCAGAACCATTGGGTTTGACTGGGTGGTCACCAGTATACAATGTGACAGAAGTGCACAGGACTAGAGACACGCACACACGAGTGCCTAAGTGCTGTATCACTGTCAGTTTCCAGGCTGTGACCTTGTGCTGTTATGTAAGATGTCACCACTGGGGGAAACTGGGTGAAGGGCTCATAGGACCTCCCTGTATTTCTTACAACTGTGTGACAATCTACAATTATCACAAAATAAAAAGGTGTTTCTTCATTTATTTTTAAAACGTTAGTTCCCAAATGTATTATTAGTTTGTTCCTTGGTAGAATGGAATTAACAATGTCGACCATATAAGGTTTTCATGCATATCATAAGAGACAGTCAATATAACAGCACTTTGAGAATTACAAAGTCGGCAGCGCAAAACGATGGAACAAAAGCAAGAAGGTAGAAGATCAAGTTGGACTGAATTCCAGCTCTGCCAACACAGCGCTGATGATTAAATCCCACGGCGCACATGGTGCACAGGCAGGGTTCTTTGTACACAGTGTGCTCAGTAAACACTGTGTGGTCTTCATCAAAGAACAATACAAATATAAGGGAATGGCCACTTTTTTGTTGTCTAACAGGTAAAATTCTGTAATGTCAGTTATTTGGGAGAAATGAATTGAATGAACCAGTCATGTGCTTTCAGTCGTGTAATGTGAACTGGACTCTGCGGGTACTGAGCTGTATACTCTACAGTATCAGGACACCTGCCTCAAACTTCCCAAGCCTTTCTCTGTGTAGACCTTGTGATAACTCTTCATACAGGTTTTACCATAAACCTTAAAGTACTTGATGAAGACTTCCTACCACCAGAACTATCTAAGCCTGTTCTGATTTTCTAGAGCTTAGGTTCATCCCAAATTGTTCACAATCTTTTAACTCCACAGGTATGATCCCATCTAGATAGACCAGAGTCATTACAATTTAGCTATCTTCAAAACAGAACAATGCTTGTTTATTAGCATTCCAACTTTTTAAAAAATTACTAGTTTCTTCTTTAAACCACAGTTCTGAGATTCTGAGTCCTGAATAGTTTTTGGCAAGAAAGCCTATTTGTTTGCTAAGTCAAGTATATTCTCCACTTTTAAAAAATGTATAGCCAAGAATCAATATCCCATGCCTTTTTGTCTAAATGTAAATAAATGAGCTACTTATAAAGCAATGAGCAGAGAAAACATGCAAATGTTTAGAGTGGTGCTGGCAAGCAGAGAGGTGGTGAGTGGAGATGGAAATACACCCCATGCAGAAACCACCAGATTCCCACCACTAGCTTGGATACTAGTTCTCGTTCTTGCTGGACCACTCTCCTGGGCAGTGTTTCCTAAGAGCTGTTCACCTGCTCTTCCAAACAGAGCATTTGGGTTTCTTCACAGTAACCCAGGTCTCAAAGGCATTCTCCCCAACTATTCATGGATATTCATTATTTCCCTTCCAGCACCTCTCATTTCTCAACATCTGATGCTGGCTCCTTGCTACGTTGCCAGGGTTCCTGGGATAGCACAATTCTTGAAACTACATGACCAAACTACTTCCATCTCTGAACACTAGTAGACTTCTCCACAAGGTTGTTGTTTCTAAAATATTGCCTATCATTTGACCTTACAATTCCAGTTTTAAGAACTTACGCCAGGGAAACTGACGTGCAGTAAATAATTTTTTTTACATACAGATGTTTATCACAGCTTCGTTTATGAGAAGGGGAAAAAGGAAGCAGTCTAAATAAAAAGAGACCAGTTAAAGAAAACTAAAAATAAAAAAAATTTTGAACCAAGCCTTACAGAATTCCCATCCTTAATTACCATAACATTTCACCAATTGTCAATTTATAAAAAGTAGAGAACTATTTCCTAAGAAAAACTCTTGCTTTGCCTGAAAGTATTCCTGGGGTCACCTCCACGTGAAAAGAATGACCTATTTCAAGATTAGGATCCTTACTTTTCACAAAAGATTATAACCACCTGCTGCAGGCAGGATAACGGCCCCCCACAAAGATGTCTATGTCCTAATCCTGGGACCTGTGTTACCTTACACGACAAAGGGGACTTTGCAGGTGTCATTAAAGATTTTGAGATGGGGGTGACCTGGGTGGGCCCAGTGTAATCACAAGAGTCCTAGTAAGGGAAGACAGGGGGGCCAGAATCAGGGAGAGAGGCTGGAAATGTGACACGCTGTTTTGAAGACGGAGGGAAGCGCCATGAACTAAGGAATGAAGCTACAGGAGGCGAGGGACAGATTCTCCCCTAAAGCCTTCAGAAGGAACGGCACCCCGTCGACTTGAGTTTTTAGGACTTCAGACCTCTAGAGCTGTAAGAGAGCAAGTCTGTGCTCTTTAAGCCACCAGGTGGCGATTTGCGACAGCAGTAAGGGGAGACCTACAAGTCACCACGCTAGATGACATCTTTGAGATGTCTGGATTCACCTTAAATCAAACACACGGGGAAACTGTATTGCAGGCCCCGCCAGAGAACACAGCTGATTTCAGCCCGAGGCCCAGGTCTGCCCCGCTCACGGCGATCTGCGCCGGGGCACGCAGACCTCCACGCACCCTGGGCGGGCTGGAGTCAGCGGGGTGGGAACCGGCTCGCTCCGGACCCCGTCTCCTCCCAGACCTATTTCCTCGGGGCTGCGCGCCTCGCCTTTGGTTCCGCGACCGCGCAGCATCTGAGAAGCAGGGCTACCAGTAACGAAGACAACGGCTGCCGTTTGCGGGGCGCTCACTCCAAGCGCTCCGCACACGCCGTGTCCTTCGGTTTCCAGGACGAGCTCCGCGCGGGGGGCCGTCGGCACCCCCACTTCACAGAAGACGCGGAGACGCCCCCGCCGCCACGACGCGCCGCTTCACGGACACACTCCCCTGCCGGGACGTCGTGAGGATCGAAGGGGCCGCTCGACGCCCGCTGTTCAGACAGCCGGGCGAGTGGGAGGGGCGGCTGCCGCCGGTCTCGCCGCCGCCGCGAGTACCCCGCGGAGCGCCCAGTCCGGCAGCCGTGAGCGCCGGCGCGTCGCCTCACATCCGCGAGCCCCAGGCTCAGGCACAAAACGTGGACGACAGTCCGCCCCCAGCGCTCAGGGCTTCCCCTGAGGACTGACGGCCGCGAGCACGGGGACCGCGGTGTCGCCGCCGTAAACCAGCCAGCCCGCCGCCCGGCTGCTCCTCGGCTAAGTGTCGGCGCCACCGCGCAGCCCGCGTCTGGCACCGCGGCCCTCGCAGGGTCCCGGCCGCCCGCCCGCCCGCGCCTGCACCCTCGCCGAACGCGCGGCGCGGCAGCCCTCCGTCCCCGAAGTGCCCCACGGAGCCGTCGCGAGACGGACTAGCGGAGGAGAGGGGCCCACAGCCGCCGCCACCACACAGGCGGCGCGAATCCGGGCGCGGCCGCCTCGGCACGAGCCCAGAGCCTCCGCGGAAAGGAAGGGCCCCGAGCCCGCCGCCCGCCCAGGAGGACGGGGCGCCCCTTGCCTGCTGGCCTCGCCGTCCGCGCGCGGCTCCGCGAAACGCCGCCCGCTGTTCCTCAGCACCATCTCGCCGCCTCAGCGTCTCCGGAGAAATTTGGCGCGCTCCGCCAGCTCTCGCGAGAGACCGGAAGTACCCCGCCGCCCAATCAGGAGGCTCGTCGCGCTCCACCCAGCCGCGCTCCAATCACCGCCGGCGCCTGAGGGGAGGTGGCCCGTTAGGGACTCGGGGAAAAGTATGCGGGACCTCGCGCGCCGCGCACGCAGGGGACTGGCCCGGGCGGCGCTGCGGGCCACGGCGGGCGAGAAACGTCGGGCCGTCCCCGCGCCCCGCGCCCGGCGGACCTGAGGCGGGGTCAGCGCCCCGGGTGCTGCGTGGCGCAGCGGAGGTGATGGCGCCGGCGGCTTCGAAGCTGCGAGCCGAGGTCGGGCTCGGGGCGCTGCCGCGACGGGCGCTCGCCCAGTACCTGCGCCTACTGCGGCTCTACCCGGTGCTCACCAAGGCGGCCACCAGGTCGGCGCGGAGCGGACGGGACCGGGCGGGGGGCGGCGGGCGGCCTGGCGTTCGGACAGCCGGGAGACCCACCTACACAGACGCCTCCAGCGTGGGGTTCGAGTGTGAAAGGCTCAATCCCCGTGTATAAAAACGACCTTCCAAAGATCTGAAATCAACCAGGCAGCTCAGCACATGCGGTTTTATGCATTCGGCTTTGACCAGTGATTCTTAGGCACTTAAACCGAGCACCGGGGAGCCAGACTAAAGGAAAGCACAGAATCAGAGAGGGCTTCTTGTAGACCTCAGGGCTTTCCATCCCTGTGCCCCGTAGGCATCTTTCCCTCGGTGAATGGGGCCTGGAAGGGTGGCGGGGGGAAGGCTGTCACCGGCCCAGCTTCTTAGTCCCTGAATTTGTTCTTGAGAATTAGAGGCACAAGCCTTGAGGAACAGCCCGCGAAGGCTGGGCAGAGTGGGAGGTGTTGAGGTTTGTTTGCTTTGCATTTGGGAGAAGCGGACAAAGCGCCCTCGGTCCCGCTGGTTAGCTCCGCCCTTTGATCTGGAGCACTGAACGTTTTCTGAGACCTCTCCCACTTCATTACTTTTAGTTAATTAAGTTTATGTTTGTTCCCCTTGATTAACTCAGCCTTTCCTAAAAATGCACAGCGTGCTTCCTGTGTGCTGGGCATTAGCAGTAATTCAGATAGGTGTGTAAGGTCCCAGCACTCTTAGAGCTTGTATTTTAGTGAAGAACTAGACAAAAAGCAGGTAAATAATATAACACAAAGTGATTAGAGAACTAACCTGATCTGAGGAGATGACATTTGAACAGAGGCCTGAGTGGAGGAAGGGAACAGGCTATGCAAAGAAGGGAAGCAGAAGCTCTCCATCGGAGGGTATACAGCCCGTGCAGAGGTCCTGAGGGAGGAGCAAGCAAATGATGGAGGGGTAGGAAGAAGGTCTGTGCCGCTGAAAAAGTGAACAGTGAGCAAGGGAGAGGATGAGACAGAAGTGGCCAAGGATCAGATCAAGGACACCTTCATCGCCCACACTAAGAATTTTGGATTTTTGGGCTCAGAGAGCTCAGAAGGTAGCTACACCAAGCCTGGCAGTGACTGGGCCTGTCTCCATCTTTCTACTGAAATTCGTATTGTGATAATTGCAAATTCATATGCAGCTATAAGAAATGATACAGGGAGATCCCTTGTACACTTGCCCAGTTTCTTCCATTGGTAACATTTTGTAAAAAATACAATATCACAGCCAGGACACTGGCACGGATCCAGTCCACAGAGCATATTCCGATTTCTCCCCCTTTTCTTGTACTTGTGCATGTGTGTTTAGTTCTATAGTTTTATCACATGTATAGGTTTCTGTACCCACCACCACAGTCAAAATACGGGAAAGTGTCATCATAAGGATCCCCCTTGTTGCCCTTTTGTAACCACACACCTCCATCCCACACATGGTCACCTTGAGCAAAGTTAGAGTATAACATAACCGCCAGTATATCCAGTGATAAGAGCCCACTAATTGGAGAGCTTGCTGTGCTCGTGCACATGTGCACGCATGCGTGCATGTTCTGCTGTCTCCAGCCTTTGATGCAGGGGCCTTACAGTGCAGCTGCTTTAATAAGGATCTATCTCCACTCTTCCCCAGCATGATCTCAGGACTGCCATGCTAGGTCCGTGGGGAACAGATGCCCTCTGCTGGTGGCTTCTATTCTTATTACCTCTGTGTCCACAGTGGCATTTTGTCAGCACTTGGGAACTTCCTGGCCCAGATGATTGAGAAGAAGAGGAAAAAAGGAAACGGCTCTCAAAAGCTAGATGTCAGTGGCCCTCTCAGATATGCCATTTATGGGTGAGTTCCATAAAAGGGCTTGTTTACCCAATAGCCAAGGAAGTGCAACAAAGCTAGGGTCTCAAGTTTCTGAAATAATCTAATTTGGAAAAATAATTTTTAAAAGCATTTAAGTAATCATGGAAAGAACCAGAACAGTGGGTGGATAATGTTCATTTATAGTTTTATATGGTTTTCATTTTGAATTGCATGGGTGGGAGTGGCCATCTTCATTGGGCTGAGAGAACTGGGGGCAGATAACTCATCTAAACCTAAAGTCAGACTTCAAGACTCAAAGACCCTGCAAGTGGGAATCACGCAAATATGGCCAGTTGGTTATTTTCATGGCATTAACATCCAGGAAAGGAAGACTTAGGTATCCAGTTTCTGAACTTTTTGTATTGCAAAGCACAGAGATTCAGGAGTTTCACCAATAAACCCACCAAGGTTCTCTGGCCAATAATGTTTGTGTAGCTGGACTACTGGACTATTTTGAAGTCTTTTGCAATGAGTGATTTTTCTTTTTTCAATTCCAAATTCACAAATACCATTTTTGTGTTTATAAGCATTGTTAACTTCAGTCATCACAGCTTATCTATAACGTACAGTATTTAAAGCCGCAATCTTCCCCCTCCCCCAACCCAGAGAGACTCGGAGTAGATCAGAATCACCTGGGCAGCCTTAGCCAATCAGTTTTCCCTAGGCCACTTGCCATTCTATGGCATGTTGGGGAAAGACAACTGGGAACTGCTTGTTTAAAGATTTCCAGCATCAGGAGTGGGAAGACCCCTGAGTCCCTGCCTATCTTTTTATTTAGCTGAATTTTATGGAGCTGCAGGAGGTCTGTTGTCCACTAGATGTAGAGGGACAGGCTTCAGTTCTCTCCTGAGAACCCTGTACATTCGGAGTAAATGGCTGCAATACAGACAAGCACCCAGGAGCATTTAATGGAAAGCTCTGACACCAGGGCTGCGTCCATTTGTTTAATACTGGGCACCTTCTGAGCCAGGCCCTGTTCAAGGTCTTGCGGACACAGCAGTGAACAGACACACGATCCTGTCTTGTGACGCTGACAGATGAGATCATGACATGTAGTGAGAAACACTGTGAAGAAAATGAAACAGCCTAGAACAGAGTGGCAGAGACAGCGGTGGGTGACTTAGAACAGTCAGGAGACCTCTCCAAGCCGACAGTATTAGGGAGCCAGCCATGTGAAGATGGGTGGAGGGCAGTTCAAGACAGGTACTAGTCTAGTCTGTCAGCGGCAAAACAGAATGCCCGAAGCAGATTCAAAGAAAGCATACTTTCTAGATGGACCACAGGCCCCTGTGATCAGTGCTGAGGGACTGCGGGGAGGCAGGGTTGGCACCTGGGGCTTGGGGAGCCTAGACCTGGAAGGATGGTCCAGCTCACCCCTGCGGGGCTCAGGTTCTTCTTCACAGGGCCGCTGAGTCACTACTTCTACCTCTTCCTGGAGCGCTGGGTCCCGCCCGAGGTGCCGTTGGCAGGGGTCCTGAGGCTCCTCCTGGACCGTGTCCTCTTTGCGCCTGCCTTCCTGTTGTTGTTCTTCGTCATCATGAACTTCCTGGAGGTTGGTCTCTGCCACCGCACCTAGGACAGCTCTCCACTTCACAGGATTCTTAGCCTGGCACCTGTGGGCGGGTTCAGAGGGTCTGGGAATTTTTTACGGCACTCAAAGGGGACTTGCAGGTTTTTCTTGATGAATGTGGGAACAAACCACAGTCTTATTAGCAGAGCCTGCTGGTCCCAGTAGCCCCAGTAGAAATCCCACATCAGTCACATATCCCTGACAGTTGTTTACACTCATCACTCCTTGCACCTGAATGTGTTAATAAACACCTATGCTAGCCTATCATAGAATTATTTTCTGAGAATTTTGATTGGTTCCTTTGTAGTCCTATATGTTTTATTTTGTACATTACAAAACCTGATTCTGAGAATGGAGTCCATGCATCACCAGACTGCAGAAGGGACCCGTGGCAGAGTCAGACCTCTGTGCTGTTTCAGAGGCCTGTGTGAACTCTTCCTGGACACCATAAGTGCTCTGAAGAGGCTGACGTAACATCACAGCCCACCACACACGAGGTGTTCTTCTGTGCCCACCCCTATCCCTTCCCAGTTCACTGGCACCTTCAACCCGTCACTACCTGTTTTCCATCAGTTGCTCTGTGCCCAAGATGTATCATGTTCTGCCCTGAAAGTAATTTGTTTCAACCAATCACAGCAGGTAGAAGTTTCTCACTCAGGTTTTATTTTAAAACAGACCTCGACTTTGGAGTTTCTGTTATTAAGGAGCATACCCCTTGGTGTTTAAAGTGACCCTGGGGAGAAGTAGGAAAGGTATTTAAACTTAACTGTGATTGCTAATAAGTCCCTGATAGTAAAAAATGTTTGGGAAGTTTTTAGGCAATCTGAGGTAGCCCCAAAGGGTGCCCACATTAGAAGTGAGGGTGACCGGGTGGCTTCTCTTTTTCCTTCCAAATATGAAAGGAATATATTTTCATTAAGAAACGAAAACCCTGCACGTATATGTCAAGTGCTACCAAAGTACATAAAGAACCCATCACATAAGTGGCACATGGGAGACCACACACTCAGTCACATTTTTTGGCCTTTAGACATGACATTGCAGCACTCCACCATATGCCTATCCTTTTGTGTAAGGATTCCTGTTTGGTAAGGTTCCTAGACTTGTCCAGAATGCCTGTCCTTGCTTGTCGTCCCTGCATTTATCGAGCACTTGCCTTGTCCCAAGCTCTGTTTCCAGCGCAGGTCATTTTAGGCTCGCATCTACCCACTTTGACAGCTGAGGAAGCTGAGGCCCCCAGGGGAAATCACTGGCTGATTTCCATCCCTGTGACTTGTGAGTCCTTAAGTCAGGCTAGACCCAGGCTGTGTGACTCCATTGCTCTCAGCCTTAAGGCATTTCCCCATGTGAGGTTGTTTCCCCACACTTTGACCACTGGGATGGTATTTTTCTTTTAAATAGTTTGCAATCTGATAGGTGAAAAATAATTTACATATATTTATGAAGTTGAACACCTTTTTATATGCTTATCTGTATTTCCTACAGGAACTTTGCTCTTATCTGTTAGAGTGCTTGCCTTTTTCTTACTGATTTGTATATTTGCATACATTAAGGATACCAGTCCTTTACCAAATACAATTGCAGACATTTTCCCCATTTTTAGGTGTTTGCCTTTTAACTTCATATAAAGTTAAAACATTTGTAAGGCCGGCCGAGTGGCTCAGTTGGTTAAGAGCTCGCTCAAGAGTTTGAGCTCTGAGCAACAGCAGTTTGAGTCCAGCCGGAGCTGAGCAGCTGCTGAGCTGCCAACAGGTGGCAGGATGGCTCAGCTAAAAAAAAAAAAAAAAATTTTTGTATAAAGTTAAAAATTGAAAGTTATATAAGTAGAGTTTTTTATAGTGTCATTCTGCATACAGGCTTGTGTTCAATCTGTCATTGTTTTCCTTAGTGGGCTTCCTTAAAGGAAGATATTGGAAATATTCAATATTCTTCTAATCTTATAATTTCATTTTGTACATTTTGACAAACCCAAAGATAATAGAAATATTCTCCTATACTTTCCTCTAGTATTCCTATGGTTTCATTTTTTTTATAGTGGGAGATAGACTTTTGTTTTGGTGTTTTCCACTTAAACAGCAAATTGACTCATTACCATTTATTGAACAATACCCACTATTTTTTTTTTAAGATTTTTATTGGGGAATTGGGGGATGGGAACAGTGCTGGGGAATTGGGGAAAGGGGAACAGACAAGTTGCCGTCCTTTTGTTCTTCAGTCTAGTTGTGGAGGATGTTGCTTCACTGGCCAAAGTTGGCACCATCATTGTGCTCTTCCCTGACAAGGCAGATCAGTCGCCGGCTTCTGGACGGCCCCGCTCACTGTGGCTGCCAGCTGCTCATGCTGTCTGCTGGCTACACGCGGTAGCCCATGGCAACCCACTACCACAGGGGCTGCAGCCTATGCCGTCTCCTCTGACTCACAGCAGCCCAACTCCAGGTTGAGCTGTTGTTCAGCATCTTAGCTGTGGAGGGCAGTGTCACTGGCCCTCATATGTGGGATCCCAACAACGGTCCTCTGGCGTCCCAAGCCAGTTCTTAACCATCCGCCACTCGGCCAGCCCAATACCCACTATTTTTAAACATTCACTTTTATTATATTCTCATTCCCATATGTACAAGCTATTGCTTGGACTCTGTTCTTTTGTGGGATCCTATTCCACTTTTTTTTGGCTATTGCTACGAGATTTAATTACCATATCTTATAGTATTTTTAAGTCTGCACTAAGGGAGGCATTCCCTCATTATTCTTTTTCAAGTTGGCTATTATGCATTTATCCTTCCAGATGACATTCAGAATTTCTGGGGGTCCATTTTTTAAAAAAACTCCTGACAAGTTTTGATTGGAAATGCATTAACTTTGGAGATTATTTTTGAAAGAGCTGACAGCTGAGCCATGAGTAGTTTTGATGCCCAGGGCTAGCGAACCGCGTGAATCTCTAAGTCAGGTCAGCTCTGTAAGAGGCGATGACAGTCGTGAGCAATTGTCACCCACAATGCGAGCATCGCTTACCGTTCCGATGATTTCCCAATCGGATGCCAGCTCCCTGTAGCTGCACTGCTAATTAAGCAACACGTGTGTGCTGTCTACCTACAAACGGAACCAATCTAGTTTAAGAGCCCCGCTGTGTTCGGGTTTGGGGCCCCCCAGGCCTTGGTGCCGCCATCTCGGCCAGAGGGCAGTGGAGCTCGCTCACCGCCTGCATTTCCCTCCTCTGCAGGGCAGAGACGCGGCCGCCCTCGCCGCCAGGGTGAGGAGCAGATTCTGGCCGACGCTGCAGATGAACTGGCGCGTGTGGACCCCGGTGCAGTTTATTAACGTCAACTACGTCCCTTTGCAGGTGAGCCAGAGGGCGCCATCCTCCGCCAGAGGCCATTTCCCAACAGCCCCTTTTTTGTCCCCTTGCAACAATCCGCGTTTTCTCCAGCCTCTGCGTTACCCGGACTCCTCTCAGAATCCTTAAGCTCCGGAATCGGAGGCAAAGCACCATAGAGTAGCACCCGAGCTGGGTCTACCTTAGTGCATTTGTCGGGCAAACGTTTTTAGGAAGCCCGGGTTTCCTAGGGATGAGGCGTTCCTGACGTGCGACCCCACGCGCGTACGGGTGCAGAGAGAAGCCGCGAGGGAGGCCCCACCTCGGTGACGTCATACCCGCGCCTGAGGGCCTGGCCCGGTGCTACGTGCGCGGAGAAAGCGCCCTTGGGGAGCTCCGGGTGGTTCGGTGCCCTGGGCACAAAGGGGCGGCTAATTAAGTTGTGCCCCAGTGGGGACGGGTAAGCAGTGTCCGCGGGGCCCCTGCAGGGCGGGCTGGGCACATGCCGACCGCGAGCCCTGCTGGCCCGGCGCCCGCTATGTACAGCCCAGCCCGTGTGTCCGGCTCCCAAGACCACTCCGGGGTGGCTATTTGCTAGAAGGGCTCGGCCTAGATTGATTACAGCCGTGCAGCGAGGATCTGCAAGTGGGTCCTAGGAATCCACTGCAGGCTTCCCGCCGTCCCTCCCGTGCCGTCTCAGAGCAAGCTCTCGACCACCAACATGTCGCAACGTCTAGCAAAGCCCACTAGAGACCACCTCCCTGGGTTTTTATTGCGGGGCTGCAGGCAGGAACCGAAGCGCCAGGCTTCAGGGAAGAGCAGGCGTTCAGCGTAAACCGCATCGTCTCCGCAAGCCACCTCGGCACCGGGAAGCCGGCCTAGTCAGTTGGGGAGGGTGGGAACTCTCCTGAAATCCAAGTTCTTATATGCCACCAGGCCGGTCCAAGGACGACAGCCGCAGGCCTGCTGGGTTAACCCTTTCCTCACGCCATTTAAGTAACCGTTTTAGGGACTAGGGCAGAATCCTGGGAAGAGGGAGGGAGGCGCCGGCTCTGGAAACACACACACCAGGAAGTAACAGAAAACCGGGAGAAAGCAGTGAGACCACCATGGTAGACGTAGGTCGTTAGGGTAGAATGGAAATCGATCGTTTCCATGGGCTTTAACAATGACGCATCGATGCCCGACCAATAAGCAATTTCCATGGTTCTTTGGGGGCTGAAGCCACATTGCTGTGAATCGAGTGGGTGGGGAAGTAGAAATCATGAGTCTAGAAAATTCTCTCCAGAAGTTTGCAGAGGGCCAGGGGAGGAGGCTGTGACGCTGGAAGCATCCTCCAGCTATTCGGAGATATGCAAGAGCTGCCCCTAAGCAGGGAGGGGACTAGGCTATGAGCAAGGAGCCCTGGCAACTAGGGCCCTTCCCATCACAGGTGGTGACTGTTTACTAAGGACAAAGGCAGTGGGTGGGTGGGGCCAGACTGAGGGGAGGAGGCAGGATGGGAATTTTGAGAGGAGTCAAGCAGTCAGCTTGTGGAGAGGGAGTCACTGGATAAGAGCCAGCAGAGGCTGAAGACCCTCTCCTGCATGGGCTTGGGGTTGGAGAGAAGGCTCCGGGTGGTTTTTCCAGGGAGTGCAGCTGGGGAACAGGAAGGTAAGGAAACGGGCCATGGGATGTAAGGTGTATAGAGAAGGAAAAAGACAATGGCTGAGGACATGGAAGGATCTATGGTTGGCAGAGCAGAGGCTGGAAAGTTCAATCTTTCCAAGTTGTGGGACAGAATGTTGCATGGCTGGACTTTCCATTGTAGATGGATGCAGGCAAGTGCTTAAGGGGCAGTGGTTTTAGTTAACAAAGGTTTATGTGTGCCCCACTGCTCTAGACTGGGGATACGGTGATTAATGACACAGGCCACATTGCTACTTCTATGGAGCTTACATATCAGTCGACTCGCTGACTAGAGGTGACTTCAGGTGGGGTTTATCTGTCAGGGCAACGGGACAGTGACCGGTTAGTGAAGGGCAGGTCATGGGGTGTTGAGGGGCTGGGTGAAGCCACCCACACGATGGCCAGCCCTAGGTGAGAGGCTGAGCCAGGAGCTGAGGTGCTCAGTGAAGGACAAGGGACAGTCATTGTTTTCCCTGCTGGCTTATGCACGTTGGCAGGAACGCTGTCCTCCCCATGCTGTACCAAGTAAAGGTGGAGGGTTGGCAGGAAAATGAACTATCTGAGAGGATGGCTGCCTGCCCCATGCGCGCAGGTCCTCACTTCAGCCTGTGTTCTCTTTGGCAGTTCCGGGTGCTTTTTGCCAACGTGGTGGCTCTGTTCTGGTACACCTACCTGGCCTCCCTGGGGAAATGAGGACGGCCTGGAGAATGTCACCTGGTCAGGGTGAGGAGCAGAAACAACCTGGTCAGGACTTCGTGTAAATCAAGATGCCCTGAAATGATGGATGGAGACATTGCAATCTCTTAACATCAGAATCTTATATTTTAAAAAGGCACTAGCTGACTTTACATGGTGTTACCCTAGAAACTTATAGTAATAATTTCACTTGTCATCTTGGATTGAATTAGGATCACAGCAAACAATAATGTAGCTTTTTCAGTGGTGATTTTAATTCCTCAGAGTGATTGCTGTGGCTTTGTGGGGTTTTTTTTGTTTGTTTTTTTAAAGATTTTTATTGGGGAATTGGGGGGATGGGAACAGCGCTGGGGAATTGGGGGAAGGGGAACAGACAAGTTGCTGTCCTTTTGTTCCTCAGTCCAGTTGTGGAGGACGCTGCCTCACTGGCCCAAGTTGGCACCATCACTGCGCTCTTCCCGGGCGAGGCAGATCAGTCGCCGGCTTCTGGATGGCCGCTCACTGCGGCTGCTGGCCGCTCACGCTGGCTGCTGGTGACACACAGTAGCCCATGGCAACCCACTGCCACAGGGGCTGCAGCCTACGCCGCCGCCGGCGACCCACGGCAGCCCAGCTCCAGGATGAGCTGTTGTTCAGCATCTTAGCTGTAGAGGGCAGTGTCACTGGCCCTCATATGTGGGATCCGAACCGGGGCCCTCTGGCATCCCAAGCCAGTTCTTAACCATCGCGCCACTCAGCTGGCCCTGCTGTGGCTTTGGAAGGCACGCACGGTCAAAGGGCTCCCCTCAAATCTGTTTTTTAATGAACTACTGCTTGGCTACCTGGAGCCACAGGAAAAGGGTCCTTTGGCCCAGGACTTCACCCTGATGCTCTGGGAGGCCAATAATAACTACTGATTTCTCCTTACTCTCCCATTGCTGGGTTATATTCATCCTCCCCCTGGCCTTTTCTCATTCTTAGAACATTCTGTCCTGACAGCATCCCACCCGTGTTTCATGGATACAACATCCCTTGGGATCTTAGTTATGTATTTTCTGAAATTTTCTTCTGTTCCATGTGCTGTCTCTATCTCAGCAGAGCTGTTTTTTTCTTGCTTTTTGTCCTCCCCAATCAAGATTTCCTCAAATGTCTGTGGGCCACACCTGTCAAGTGAAACTCTATGTGCTGACCAAGTGGGGACCAGGTTTTGTTGGGGGTCACCTGTCCTCAATAACTGATGCCTTTTCCCTTGGGCGGGTCAGTTTCCCCAGAGGGCAATTGTTGAATTTTGTGCCTGGGGGAAGGATGGTGCTTGTAGGGGGGCATGGTGTAAGTCTGGGGCAACACTCTTGTGACTCATTAAAGGAAAGGGGTTAGAGGTCCTGCTATTACTTTGTGACCTTCACATAATGTCACTGTTACCACTACGTCTCAGGCTTAGCTGTCTGGTGTCTCAAATCCAGTCCTTCTGGTTCAGATCCTCTGGAATGAACTTTCTCTAATTTTCTGCCATGATGGAGGTGAAGTACCCACCTGTGTGTACAGGTGATGGAGGGGATGAAGAGGACAACCTCTTACAGATTTTCAGCTGGCCCTCCTGTGTAGCCCCACCCACCGTCCTGTCCTCAGAGGTGAGGCCAATGCCTGTGACTACCCAGGCTCACTTGTCTAGTCGCACTGACTAATGAGCTTGTTTCTTGCCTTCCCTCAGTACAGGCAACTGGTGTCCTATCTTCCCAGGTCAATAAAGATCTGATTTCCAGCTTCCAAAATTTTGCCAAACAATCTCTCTGCTTTTTTTTTTTGAGGACTCAAGTATATCTTTGTGTATTTGTCTTTTCTTTTTTTCCTTTTTAATTTTTTTTACTATTGTTTTAGTAATCAGTCTTCTGGGAAACATAAATGTATGGGTCTAAGACATCATGTTTCAGCAGAAATCTGGGTATTTCTAAGGAATAGATTCATTCCCCAAAGTCCAGTGATTTTTTTAAAAATGTCAATCAGATCATGTCACTTCCCAACTTAAAAACCTGCAGAGGTGATCCAACAATCCCACTTCTGGGTATATGCCCAAAAAACTGAAAGCAGGGATTTGACAAGATATTCATACTCCCATGTTCACAGCAGCATTATTCACAGTAGCCAAGAGGTGGAAGCAACCCACGTTTCCACTGATTGATGAGTGGACAAACACAGTGTGGCCTCTCCACAGTGGAACACTGCTCAGCCTTAAAAAGGAACAAAGTCTGGCACAGGCTCCAATGGGGATGGACCTTGAAGACGTGCTCAGTGAAATAATCTGGTCTCAAAAGAAAAAATGCTGCGATTCTACTTACGTGAGCTTCCCAGAATAGTCAACCTCACAGAGACAGAAAGTAGATGGCGCCAGAGGTGCCTATGTGGCGGGGGAAATGGGGAGTTGTGTTTAATGGGGACAGTTTCAGTCTGGGAAGGTGACAAATAATTATGGAGATGGTGGTGACAGCCGCACACCGCTGAATGGGCCAAATGCCACTGAGTTGCACACTTAGAAGTGGTTATGTCATGGTCGCTCGCGGGTTGTGAAAGAATTCACCAGGCAGGTTGGAGGACAGAACCGAGGCTGGAGAGAATCTGCTGGAGGCTGCTGCCCCGAGTTTCTGTTTCCACGGGAGTTTTATCCGGGGCATTTCCCACAGCGGTTAGCTCCTTCCGGGAGTCATTTCGGCGGTTGGGGTGGAGGAGGGTGTGATGAGGCCGTTATCACCACCTTTGCAGATGCTGTGCCAACGAGCCACAGGGCTGCCCCAGGCTCGTTCCCGTTAGCCCATACCTGTCTTATCAGTGAGGACAGCTGACTTCACGTTCCGTGGATCTCACTACAGTAGAGACAAACCCACCAACAAACCCCGGGGAGGTTCCCCAGCTCCCATCTCCAAGGCCGGATTCTCCCGCCTCCCCCCGGCCCCTCCGCGGGGCTCCCTGTGGGATCGGCCGAGGCCGCCCGCCGCACGGCGGGGCTCAGGTGGCCCCGTCCCGCCCCTCAGGGCGCCTCCCCGGGGGCGCCGCCGCGAGAGCACCGCTGCTCGCAGGCAGGAGTTACCTGCACGCCAGCCCTTCCGCAGGAAGTCGAGGGAGGGGCCTCGGAGCCGCCCCTCTCCCCGCGGCTTCGCCTTCCACCCGCACTGCCCGTGCGCCTCGGGAGGTGGGACTTCCGCCCGAGACGCCCGCCGGCGGAAGCGTGTCCCTCGCGGCGCGCCGTTCGCGCCCATGAGCGCTTGCGCGGGCGGCGCGGGACGGACCGGCATGGCGTTCCGGCAAGCGCTGCAGCTGGCGGCCTGCGGCCTGGCCGGGGGCTCAGCCGCCGTGCTCTTCTCGGCTGTGGCGGTGGGGAAGCCCCGCGCGGGGGGGGACGCGGAGCCGCGCGTGTTCGAGCCGCCGGTGTGGGCAGGGGCCGCGCGTCCGGGGCCCGGCGTCTGGGACCCCAACTGGGACAGGTGCGGGGCCGGCGGGTGGAGCGGGACGCACTCGGACGACTGGGAGCCGGAGGACCTCCCTGGCCCCTGACCCCGCGCGATCAGCAGAGGGGCGGGCGAGGCAGGTTTGCGTGCGGGGTTCGCTTCCGGCTCCTGCCGCGCGGCCGGCTTGACGTGGGGCGTCCATCACTGCTCCCAGCCTCGGCTCTCTCGTGTGTCCCAGAGGGTCGTTTTGCGGAGCGAGCACATTGAGGCCTGGACAGTGGTCACTGTCCGTTGTAGACACCTCTCTGTAGGGCTGTCACCCTTGTTTTCCTTTCTCACCTTGTGAACCCGCGAATGGGATGATGGCATGTCGAGCCCATGGTTGCCTAACAGCTGCGAGGCGGGTGTGGGTGCCGGGAGAGGGGTGACCGGTCCTCAGAGGGCCTCTCTGCAGGGAGGACGCGCAAAGCCATGACGAGCAGACGGCTTCAGTGGGACGTGGGCCTGCAGGGGCCTTGGGTCAGTACCCAGCCACTAGCCGCGTGTCCTTATCAAGCACTTGAAATGTGGCTCCTGTGATCAGAAAACAATTTCTACTCTCGTGTAATGTTAATTCAGTTAAATTTAAAAGCCAAAGCAGTGCCGATTTTAAAATATTGTTTATGTGCTGATAATATTTTCAACACATTGGATTAAATAAAGCGAGCAATTGGAATTTCACGTGTTTCTTTCTACTGTTTACATGTGGCTACTTGGAAATTGAAAATCACTAGTTGCTGGCCTTCTGTTTCTGTAGGAGGCACTGCCCTGGGCCTGGCGGTGGTGGGCGGCTTCCCGTTCCCAGCTCCCCTTTGCTACTTTGCAGACTGAGGGGGCACAGAACTATTGGGTTGTCGGAAAAGTCGTGAGGTATTTTTTCTCTGTTTTTCGTTGCAAAAATGCGTCCTGACTTTTCCGACAACCCAATACTATTGATGGTTAGCCTAGTCGTAGCAGGAACCATACAGTATTCTGTTATTAACCTGTAGTTTTTAAAAAAATGAAGTTCTTTTTGAATATTTGTAGATTTACAGTAAAATTGCAAAGATAGTAGAGTTCCTGTAAACTCCACACCTAATTTCCTGTTATTAACCTGACACTAGTACATGTATTTGTCACAATCAGTGAACAAGTGTTGATACAGTATTATTTACTGATGTCCATACTTTGAGTTTTCCTCAGTTTTTACCTGTTGTCAGTTTTCTCTTCCAGGATCCCACATGACAGCGCTCACGTCTCCTTAGGCTCCTTTTGGCTGTGACAGTTTCTCACTTTCCTTGTTTTGATGACAGTTTTGAGGAGTGCCAGTCAGGGATTTTGTAGAATGTCCTTCTGTTGTGATTTGTGTGTTTTTCTCATGATTAGATCTGGTCATAGTCTTTTTTTACAATACCAATCTTCTGAATTCCTTAGGCCTTTTTAAGGAAACAGGTTCACTCTGAGGTTAAAGTCTAGATTTATGGAGCGGGGACTGTCCATGCTGGAAAGTTCCAAATCTCTGGCCTGTTCTGGGGAACCTCCTCCAGCCTGGGGTTCCTGTATCTGTCAGTAGCCCCCATTTCTTCTCTGGTTCAGCCCCCAGGCTCCACACGCCAGTGGCTTCGGCCTGGTTTTATTGTGGGCAGCCCAGGAATCACCACTGCTTATCCCCCCGTGAGACTACACCCACGCCATCTCAGCTGAGTCTGTTCTCCCAGCTGTGCCAGTATCACAGGCATTTAATTAATGACATTCAGTTCTGTGAGCCACCAGCAGCAGTTTTGCTGACACTGTCCCCACCCTTCCCATCATCTCCTCCTCAGCATTCCAGCAGCACCCTCTAGTACTTTCCATGGTCACAGGCACATTTTCTTCCTCACTGCCAGCATGCTGACCGCTAGACTGTGTGCTACTGAGCACTTAAATGTGCTCTAAGTGCGACTAGGTAAAATGGAGCTGTGATTTTATTGTCATTATGGTATTAAATTTACATTGTAGCCACATGGCTAGTCACTACTGTTGGACAGCACAGTTCCAGACTGCCTTACTGTCCCCTTCGGCGAGGTGGTTCTGGCCACTGTGTGGTTCTTCGCAGCTGCCTTCCCACAGCCGTCCCTTTCCATTGCCGGGTGCTGTTAGTCTCTCTCCTCATTGGGATAAGGGCCTCGCATGTCTGTTCTGTTCACCGTCCAGTCACCCATGACGGGCCTGGCACTTAGAATTGTGGGATGACTGAGAGACTGGCCTCTCCAGGTTTGTGGCAGAGAGCAGACTGCTGAGGGCATTGGCTTGTCCCCTGTCCTTTCCCAAGACAGAAAGACCATCATGTCAGAAATACTCCAGGGTGACATGTAAAGAGAGGTCCCGAGGACATACTGTCTCCTGTTTCACCGTTAGGCGAGAACCACTGTCGCTGGTCAACCTGCGGAAGAGGAACCTGGGATCTGGGGACGATGACGTGCCACCCAGGATGGACCACTACAAAGCCAAGGCCACAAGGCACATCTTCCTCATCAGACACTCCCAGTACCACGTGGATGCCTCCCTGGAAAAGGACCGCACACTGACACCCCTGGGTACGTGGCGGGAGCTCGGGCCCCAAGTGGCCCCCAGGCCGGTGTCCTTGCAGGTGCCCCTGGGCCTTGTGTCAGGGGTATCCAGCCTGGATGCGAGCATTGTCATCGTCAGTAATTCTCAGCCTGTGACACCAGGCAGGCTTTGGAAACATCTACTTGAACAAATGTTGCAAGCAGATCTCAGGGTTGTTGTGGGCTCCAGACCCTGGCAACAGGGCCCATTGGAGTCCTCCTGCGGGTGGAGGGTCCTGCTTTCACTTGTGAAAACACCGCACGGCGGGTCTTGCTGCAGGTGGTCATCCAAAGCCCTGAGAGGTGCAGTGCCCCCTGTGGCCTGCAAGGTGGCAGGTACCCCCTGTGCACCCGCTGAGCCTGACCTGATTTACTGAAGGCCCTTGGACTGGTACATGTGGCTCTCTGTCCAGAGTCCGCTCCCTAAGGACAGACAGGGGACCTAGTGAGGCCCCTCAAACTGTCCACCTTGCACGGGTGCTGCTCTGTGGTCTCTGTGCCCATGGGCAGGCACATCCCGGGAGAAATTCCTGGGAAGGGCCCGAGGTAGACTTCACGTTAAAAAAATTTCTCTGTTGAATGGAGTGTTACACAAGTGCGCTTATTAATCAGGTTCAGGAGAAAGGGCTTAGGGGCCTGTTTTCACGCTGCTCGTGGTTTTGGGTGCACAGATGGGAAGTGTCCCTTTTTTGAGGGCGACGTGCACGTAGCCTATACTTAGTAACACTGAGTATATCACGTCTTGGTGTTGATGTGCGACGACTGCACAGCTGGCGGATGACAGCCTCCGTCTTTGGACAAAGCTGAGTAAGGACGGTGTGAGGGACCCGGAAAGAGCAAACAGGATCCCGCTGGGCTTGAGCCAGCCTCAGCCTTGCTTATCCTTTGTTTTCTCTGGGGTCTCACTGACGCACCTGTTGAACACCTGGCCCCCAGGTAGGCCCATGCCCTGGAAGGCCTGCCCGTCTCCTGATCCTACTGGTACATGGCAAGTATTTGTGCAGGGAACAAGAGGGACTCCAGGGACATGTCACTTGCTGCTGTGTCTCTCTCTCAAAGGTCGTGAACAGGCTGAGTTAACTGGTCTCCGGCTGGCAAGCTTGGGGCTGAAGTTTAACAGAATTGTGCATTCCTCTATGACCCGCGCAGTAGAAACCACTGACATCATCCGCAAACACCTGCCAGGTGAGTGCGGGCATCCCGCTGCCCTGCGCAGGCGGGAGACAGTGGCTCTGGGGGACATGCTGACTCATGCTTCCCTGCAGGCGTCTGCACGGTCAGCACAGACCTGCTAAGGGAAGGTGCCCCCATCGAGCCCGACCCGCCCGTGTCCCACTGGAAACCAGAGGCTGTGGTAAAGCTCCTCACCCTGCCCCGCCCCACCCGGCGGCTGCCTCCTGGTGGGATGGCCAGGGCTCAGCACGCCACTCTGCCCCCAGCAGTATTATGAGGATGGAGCCCGGATCGAGGCTGCCTTCCGGAACTACATCCACCGGGCCGACACCAAGCAGCAGGAGGACAGCTATGAGGTCTTCGTGTGTCATGCCAACGTCATCCGCTACATTGTGTGCCGGTGAGGGCTGACTGCAGGCCTTGCGGCCTGGCCGCCTGTCTGGTAGGCTGTCTTGTGATGACGTGTTGTTGATGGCGATAGTACAGATGCCATCTGCTCATCCCAGCACGGGCGCGGGTGATACGAACATGGTCACTTAGTGAGGACACTGTGCGCTGGTCCCCTCGGTGACATATATGCACATCCTGTCCCCTCAGGTTCATGCCGACGAATTCCAGTGCCTGCGGCAGACCCTGCCGCATGGCCTGCTCGCTTCATTGGCCTCACTGTCCCTTTCGTAATTGATTCTTCCTAAGAGCCGACTTCCCCTGCGTCACATGTATTACAATGGTCTCAGGTCCTTATTTTGTGCTGTGGGTCACATCCGCCTTGTTAGTTCGCTGCTCCATTTTCTCCAGCATGGGCCGTTGGGGACTCCTGCCCTGTTCCTGGCCCCATGAAGTCCCAGGGCCCTCATGATGCTGGCCCTAAGCCGCAGCCATATGTCACGGCCTGTAGGTGGGAGGGCCAGCTGGGTACTCATGTACCTACCCACCCGAATCCATTCGATCATGTCAGGCACTTCAGTAGCCGAGGGGTTCCCCTTCTCATGACGAGTGTGGCAGTGGCTGGACGCAGCACAGCAGCTTCCCAGGACCTCTGTTCATGGGCTTCACTTTCGGGCCCATCTCCAGGGCTGTTGGGGCCGTCTCTCCTCATGTGTCACAGCCACGGCCCCAGCAAGCAGCCTAGGGGTGGCCAGGGAAGCGCCTGTGGCAGGACAGCAGTTCCCGCGGGCGCACAGATGCTGGGAGCCAGGGTTCTCAGGTCATGTGGGTGCCCAGCCGGAGGGTGCTGCTGGGGATGGAGGGGTGTGCTGGGGACAGCGGGCGCCTGTCCACACATTCCAGCCGAGGTGCTCCTGGGAGGCTGTGCCTAAGCTCCTGTACTCGGCCCACGTTTCCTGGGTCCCCGCCGGCGTCCACACAGCACTGTCCCACGTTCCAGGACAGCCGGCCTGAGCAGTCACGTGGCCCCAGTGCTTGGAGTAGAGGTTACCTGTGTTAGGAAAAGGGCCATAAGGAGCGCACGTGTCCCCATCATGATGTGCAGCGCCATGATGACCATGAGGGATGACACTCAGTCATGAGGTAGTTAGTCCCATAAGTGGCACAGCTCGCAGTGGCTGATGGCTGCAGGGTGAGGAGGGCGACGCTGCTCGTCCACGCACATTCTGGGCTTTTTAGCAAACGTGACTGCCCAGCAGTGAGCGTCCTTAAGTGTGTGTGTGCTACAGGTGGTGGCTGCAGCCCTCACCTGCTCCCTGGGACAGCGGCTCAGAGCACATGCTGCATTGTGGGCCACCTGCCACTCTTGTCACATTGGGCGAAACTGTGCCTGGAGGAAACCAGGGTACTTCTGACTTGTACAGGCCTTGAGTTGTGCCATTCATTCTGTCGCATAGATGGGCTGTCACCTGCCCCTTGTTTCGGGTTGGCCTCTGCCTGGCAGCTCCTTCCTGAGAAACCCCTTCCTTGAACATGAGGACAGACATGGGATGACATACCAATGTTGGTTCCAGCCCTGAGGAAGTCTGCTCTGAGGCCATTCATCTGGGTTGGGGGCTGTTAGCTTTGCTGAGGCCCCCAGCCCCGTTCTAGCACGTTCTTTCCTCTTCCGCAGGGCGCTGCAGTTCCCCCCAGAAGGCTGGCTCCGCCTTTCCCTCAACAATGGCAGCATTACCCACCTGGTGGTCCGGCCTGATGGTCGTGTGGCGCTCAGAGCCCTCGGGGACACGGGGTTCATGCCTCCTGACAAGATCTCCCGCTCCTGAGGCCTGTGCCTGGCTCTGGCATGGGAGCTGCCGGGAGCACGGGCCCCATCCCTTGTCCCCTCCCCAGGCAACACTGTGGTTACTTTCTGTTTCTCCAGGACGAGGGGCAAAGTGGAAGTACTTAAACTGGGGCATTGCAGTCCCTCTTCTGGCCAAGGATGGAAAGGGGACATTTGGTCAGAGCAGCCTGATTTCTCTTGCAAGGTTTCCAGCCTTAGTGTCATCTCCCAGGACGAGCCTGTGGGGTTTCAGGTGTCACTGGCGTCACTGCAGGGCCATAGCCGCTCCACACTGAGGAGTCTCTGGTTGTGACCACAACCCATCCCACAACGTCCTCAAGGAGGGCCAGGGCTTCCACTCTAACTTATTTCACTTCATACATTCTTAACTCTTTTGTCATATTTGTCAATCAGAGATTTTCCTCATCTGGGTTCTTTCTTTGAAAACCAGTTTCTCCAAAGTTGCGCAGCCCCCACGCTGCTGGATCTGAACTCACTTTTTATTAGGCCTGGACACAGGTGGCAGGTGAGGGAGGGGATGCAACCTGCTGGTCTCAGGGGAGAGGGGCCTGGTGGTGACAACCCAGGAGAGGGTCCTAATTAAGTAAAATATCCACCTGACAGTTGAATCTTCATTTGCCTCTGGTACTTACCTTTATGCTTGTGAATGGAAGTACTTAGGTTTGATGCATCCATCCCCAACTGTTCATTTACACAGCAGTACCATCTCTGGTAAGTGGTTACAGACATTGTAATTAGCACCACTGATTGAGCCATCTGATCCATTTCTGTAAACTTGGAAACAACTACAAAATAAAACTTTATTTTACTGGTTTTCCAAAGTACTAGTTGTGAATGTTTTAAAACAGGAAGCCTGTACAGTGTGACAGATGCGGCTCACTGGCTGGAACCAGTGGCAGTGATCCCTTCCACGGTGTTCAGTGTTGTGCCCCCCCAGGGCTGGCTGCTTGGCCGGGCATCTGCTACCAGGGCCTCAGTGACAAGGCCCTGACGCAGAACTGGGCTTAACAGGGTCAGTGGTCTTCGAGAAGCAGAAACCATGCACCATCTTGTAGAAATAGTTTCAACAAGTGAGCTATGACCTGTGCCAACTTCTGAAACCACAGAATCCCAGGCGGCACTCATGGTTGACCTCAGTGGGGATGAGGCAGGAAGCGAAGGGAAACACGGCCTCATCCCATGCAGCCGAGCCCTGCACTCCCAGGCCTACGAGGCCTGAAGGCAGAGGCCATGGGTCCTCTTCCCTGTCCCCACGAGGGCTTCCCAGCTGCCTCGCTGTCCTGTCTGCAGACCTGTCTTTTCAGTGGCACTTCTGCCCTTTACACTTGACCTTTGAGAACGGCAGTGTTTTAGAAACCCGAGCCGACCCCACCCAGGGGGACACAGCTGAGGCTGTTTGGATGGGGTCAGTCACTGGCCAGTGACACCGTAACAGAAAGCATTCAGAGGTGGGACAGGTGACCAAAGACTTCTGAAATGTGGGTCACAATAGCCTAAGTTGGCAGAAACAAGAGGGCACAGCAGGAAGCCACATCACATAAGGGCACCCGAGCTGTTTATTCCAAAATACTTTTGAGGCCGTTGAGAAAGGAACGTAGTGCAACCTGTAAGCCTGAGAAAACGTCTGGGTGTCTGCACATATGCAAAATGTCAGTCAGTGAAAGACAGGAAAAGCATGTGCCCTAAACAGCCCAGTGAGCGAGCTTGGCTCAGGAGACAGGACAGCAATGAATGGAGAACCTATGTTTAAAGCCACACCCAACAGGCAGTTCTCCCACCACTGGGACTTCCTCTGAAGGCTGTGAAAGCTTCTGGAAACACCCCATAGCTACTCAAGACTGGTCTGTGGGCCTTGCCACATGGCGCCCACCTAACCCACAGAAACGGGGGGCATAGCACCCTGCACAGTGGTCCACAGCACCTTTCAAGCTGAAGGAATCACACGCCACTTGTTACGTCACTGACAGGCTCCCCACCTCAAAGGGCAGGCATGACATCAGTGCTGGTTTCACTGATTCCAGATAGGTTTTCACAGCTGTTAGGGGTGAAGGGGCCACAACCAGCACACAGACACTCAGGAACGCACTGTTTCACCAAAACACTGCCTAAGACTTGACCAGAAAGGGCATCTGCCCGCTTACAGGTGAGAGGTCCTGAAATCTTAGAAGCATTACCATTGACTTTAAGAATACTTCATTAAGTGGTTTTAAAAAGAACAAACATCACCAGGACCAGGGCCGCCTGACAGAAACAAATGGAGAAACAGTCAAGGCCTGAAACGCCAGAAAACAGAACAGCAGATCGCAAAATCAGGGCAAAACCACTTTTAATTGCCATCTGAATATTTACAATATACAGCAGTAGGGTATGAGTCTAGAAAAAAAGAGCACTGTGAATATATTCTGATTTCAGAACAAAGATGCCTTTTTAAAATGCCACTGGTTTTTATAATAGAATGTATCTTCTGTCATATCTAGATTGCTGGCTGCACTACAAGTGAAAACACCTTGGGTAAGAACCTTTATTTAGAATTTTAAAATCTAAATCTTGATTCTAATATTCCTGACCTGTCTCTCGTTATCGCGAGAATTTTTACAAATGACAAGGACGCTCACGCCTACTTCGTGTCACTGTATATCCTCAGAAAGCAAGTCCAGGAGTCATGGACCCACACAAGGCACTGCAGCCTGCAGCAGCACAGCCTGTTCCGTTGGCTGCAACACAGGGGCGCTCCGGGTGCCGCTCGTCAGCAGCAGTCTCAAGCACCTGGAAAGGAACTAGCCCTTGGCACATGGCTTGGCTCTGGGGGATCAGCCGTGGTGGCACAGGGTCCCCACGCTCTGTGCAGACCCTGCAAGGCTACTGCCCAGGGGACGCCAAACAACCGCACTCCAGGACCTGAGCCCAATTGAAACCTGCCAAAAGTAAACCTCTGCTCTCTGTACTAAAACAGGACACTCGTTTGTAAGGAGACCCAACTGAAATGAATTCTAAAACATGGGACAATCTCAGAGCCAGGGACCAGGTGACAGGCCGTGCTCTGACCATGACCCTGGCAGGTGAGTTAGGTCACTGTGAGACAGACACCTCCCTGATGGCATGACCCCTGCAGCTACAAGATGTTTTCCAAGAGAAAAGCTAGTTTGATCTTCTGATCACAAATCTGAATGTTTTTAACGACCAAATTAAAAATGTCGCTGCGAGTCCAGGACAGCCGAGGCTCCCTAACTGCCAACACCGCCTCAGCAGCTGGTCTCACCAGAAGGCATCGAATGGCAAGGGGAAGAGGGTTTTTCACTAGAAACTGGGGAGCTCGAGACTCTCCCCAGAAGAGGGAGCTGGCACACAATGCGGTCTGCAGAGCTGGGCTGCCTGCCGCACACACAACCAAGCCCATCTCGGGCATCCACGTGAACTTCGTGGCGAGCACAGGTGCTCGGACCCCATCTGTCACACGTGCACTCACGTCTGTTGTTGCCACAGCGACAGTCTGCAGAACGTGTCTGAGTTAACTTTCATCAGCTTCTCCCAAAACCAGAACTCTCAATTTTATACAGAACATTTGTATTTTCTAAAATTCTTTTACTCTCAAAATGAGGATTAATAAGTTATTCAGATTTTTTTTTTGGTGCATTTTAGCAACAAACATATTACCCTCTTTCTTTAGAAGCGAGCGAGCCCAGCAGTGCGCCCGCCCTACAAGGCCGCGAGCTGGGCCAGGCGCACCATCCTGCGCAGGTGGCCCCCGTTTGCGGGGCTGTAGCGCCCAGGGCTGCCTGGGCCGGGGGAATGCGGGGCAGGGCTGGGCTTCCGGGGGCTGCCCGCAGAAGGACCGCCTCTCCCTGGGCTGCAGCTCTGAGGGCACCCAAGATCCGGCAGCTGGGTTGTCAACTTCCCTTTTATCGCGGGGCTTGGCCAACTGAGGAAAGCAAAAAAGGTCTGTCAGCACAGGTGGTGAGGCAGGCTCACAGGTCATGGGGGTGGGGGGCTTGGGCCCCTACTCCTGAGCCCTGAGGGGCCACTGCAGCTCGGAGAAGAGGCCCCAGAGCCTCAGAACCGGGAGCCCTGAGAATGAAGACTCATCTGCGTCTCCATGGGAATCTGTGTGACCCTAACTGGAAATCCCCAGGGTGCCCCGTCCTGCACCCCTAAGCTTTCTGCAGCACCCCCTCTGCTCAGGGTGCCGCCAGCCACGACCACACATCGGAGCATCTCCACGTGAGCCTTGCTAACAGGTGTGCCAGCTTCCTAGGTGAACTACCACGTCCCAGGAATCAGAATGGGCCTCTGGAAGCTAGCGACCAACCACCTGTGAGCGACAGTCCCCGGAGCCCACTGTACCTCTGCCTGTTGGAGGGTGAGTAACACAGGATGGCGCTCTTCCATCTGTGCACGGCTGGGTACCGGCCAGGGTCCAGGTCTGCACACTCCAGAGCTGCCAACACATCTCGATCCAGTTTTGTCGGCTCCTCTCTACAAGGTGTAGAAAAGGAAACACTTGTGATTAAAAACAGACTTCTCACCCCACTGCATTCTCAACTCAAGAGCCAAGCACAGGACAGAACTGCGAGCAGACACATGTCATCGCTGGCACGTCACTGCCACGTCAAGCACCAGCTGCCAGGCTGCCAAGGTGAAGGCAGCAGAGGACACACAGAGCCCAGGGAGAGTGTCTCCAGCACCCGCCCTGATGTGAAAGGGCAGAACGGTGTCACCCGTGAGCTCACGCCCCCAATTCATACCCAGAAAGAAAGAGCCCCTGGACAGGCTCCCTTGTAGTGGGGACTGAAGGCTTCTGGGACGCAGAACTGCAGCCATGCTGGGCCTTGTGCCCTGGACTGTTGGGACACAGGCACATTCGAGCAATTCCCGCCGACATGTCACTTTCCGTCCTTATCTGGTGATTTCCGCATTTGTCAGCATCTGGAGGTTCTAACAAGTCTCTTTCCACTGTATCCATTCTTGATCTCAGGACCTCCTCACCTCTACTTTTCATACTTTTATTTGGTGTCTTAGAAAAGCTACTTTCTAGGTTCTGCATATTGAGTTTATTGAACTCAACAGTCAAGCCGCAGACAGGTGACAGGAGGACTCCTTCCCGGCTTGGGGCCTCTGGTCTTTTCCCACCTAGGGTTTTGCCGCTACTCAGGGGGCTGCAGAACCCATTTTTGCTGCTGGGGGGACTGGTTGGTGCCGAGGCTTCTATGAAGGGAAGGCTGTGGCAGCCTGCGTCTCTGGGAGCTCCAACCGTGGGCTGGGCGTTTCGAGCTGCGTTCTGCCGGTTTTTTATCTCTTCCAAGCTCATGTCATCACCTTCGGCTGGAAAGGCCCTCACAGAGATGGAGCTGCTGTCCTTCCCAGCACAGCCTGTGAGGAAGAGAGCAGCTCTTCAGGGCTGAGGATGACAGGCCTCACGGCTGCACCCTCAGCAAAGCCCCGCCATCAGCACACGTCTCATGGAAGCCCCCGCCTGACTCAAGACAGCAAACCAGCCGCGTCGCCCTGGGGAGGACATGCAGGACCTTCAAAAACACAGCCTCCAGACCCAGCTCCACTCCCTAAAAGGCAGGGCGATGGCAAGGAAGCCAAGGTCATGGGCAGGCACACGCCGGGGCCCGGTCCACAAACGCAGAAACCCCGTACGTCCTTACCATAGGCAGAGTCGTCTCCTGTGTCCTGTTGGGCTTTCCTGCCCACTTCCAGCTGCGTGAGATAGTCCTCCAGTTTCTGCAGACCCTCCTGGGAGGCCAGATCTACGAAGCAGCCCAGGAAGTCCCAGTACTCCACCCAGGGGTAGCCCAGGTCGTGTGCCAGCTCCCTGTAAGGACATAACACGAGCAGTCAGCCAGAACACTGGAGCACAAACTCAGCTGCTCACACAGAAACAGCCATTTAATGCTGAAACCTTGGGTACAATTTTATTTATCCTGAACTGGGGGCTAAACGAGTACCCCTGCCTCCACCCCACCTCCAAAGGGTGAGGCCGAGCAGTGTGCTCGTGGAGCGGTTATGATGGAGGGAGCCATCACCAGCAAGGAAGTGGCCCAAACAAAGCACTGTCCCAGCCACGGACCTCTGCTTTAATAAGAGTGGCATCAAACTGGCGGTGAAGTCCTTCTCAGGTTCAAGCTGTAAACCTGAAACTGGGTGCATTATTCTGAGATGTTCTAGAACATTCAGTGAGTATGGAAAATACACTTTCTGGGGAGTTTTCTTACTAGAAATTTCTTGTGTTCTATTTCCTCCTTGCTCACGGGAAACACTGTAACATCCCTCAGACACAGGCCACACGTGCCCTCCCCTTGCAGAGGGGCTGCAGCATGGATGTTTGCAAGGAATTAGACCTTGATGAGAAGGCAGTATTCTGAGGCACCTGTAATTAGCGCTCCCACCCCCAGCCAACACACAAACACACAGCACGTGACACGATTTCCCTGCCCAGCCCTGTCAGTACCTTCCCACTCTCTCAATGCCTCTTTCTGGATCCGATTTCCTGACATTGTGAAAGAAGTCTGCTTTCTTTCGAGGCGGGGTCTTCCAGAGTCTGCGGAAATCTTCTGCCTATGAGGAGAAGGTGTGCTGAGCTATGCACTGCAGCCAAGTTGCCAGGTAACTGTGAAGAGCCACCTGGATGCCTCCCCACGTCTCCCTCCTCCTAATACACCTGGGAAACGCGCCCACCTGCCTTGAAGCTGAGAGACCATAGGCTGCATTCTGACCCAGGTGAGAAGGGATGAGCAGCTAGCCTGTGGGGTCAAAACTGACACCCAGAGGGTCTCCAGTCACTGTCCCATCACACAAGGTAAAATAAGTGGTTTTTAAGTCACTCTTCCTAGAGTTTTTATGTTTTATGCAACATCTAATCCTAACTGATATCCCTTGTTTTTGGAGTCTTTTTTTATAGCTGCAGATAACTATTTAGCATTTTTTTCAACAGAAGGAAAGATTACAGACAGGTATAAAATACCTCAGTCCAGAAGGCAAACTTCAAAATTTGCAAATGGAAATTTCCTACTGACAATACAAGTCCAAGAATTGTAGAGAGGTCAGCCTCACTATACTGGCAATGCCCTGTGAAGAGGGCCACTGACACTGACAGGAGAGCCAGGTGACGATGGCATGGGAAGGGTCAGCCCAGGTGAACGTCGCTTCTCTGCAGTGTGGGCTCAGCACCACATCCACCCCAGCTAGCAAGTGAGGAACAGAGTCGAGACACTCATTTCTCCAGCAAGCATTCAGAAGCCTGGGCACTAACTCCTTGGGGACCCATGAGACCTACTCACTAAGACCAACCACAAAGGAAGAGGCTGGACACCTAGTGCTTCTAGTGGGGGCAGCCAGGAGCTGGTTCCAGAGGCTTCCACAGCAACTCACCTTGGCCGGACTCAGGGGTCCTGCGAAGGCTCTCAGGGTCAGGATGGGGTCTCTGGGGCCGCCTCTACCATGAGAGGCCTCAGCCGTCTGGTCTGAAGACCACAGCTCCCCGATCACCGGAGAAGACGTGTCCTCTGCTCTCAGGAGCGGCACGTAGTAGTGACCTGGGAGGAGGGGACACACCAGGGCTGAACGTATCTGCTTCAGCGGCTCCTCGCCTCCGCGGATGTGCTGGGCACCCAGTAACCAGCCAGAGCTTTGCATCAGGGGCTTTGCAAGCGACTCCGTGACACTAATAAAAAAGTCACATCCGCTCAGGAGTAAAGGACCCACTGAATGGGCCCCCAGTCTTCCTCTGCTGGGGAAAAAAAGGAGGGAAGGGGGAGCAACAAATACCTCCTCACGCCCACAGGTACTACAGGATGGAGGCCGGGCCTGTGTGAACAAGACTGGCGCAAGTGAGAGCTTGAGAAATGTTAAAAAGAAGTTACGTTTTAACCTCCAGCCCTTCCCAATGCCCTATTTGTTTTGTCAGATACAATTCTGTCACTGAATACACACTGGAAACAGACCTGGAATCTGGGAAGGACAAAGGGAGTGCAGTGAGGTCACAAGGGAAGGTGCAGCAGGAAGTGCCCAGAGACAATGTGTCCACAGACGGCTGTGGCTGCCATGTGCCAATAAAGCTTTATTTACAAAAGCAGCGGTGGCAGCAGCATCTGCTGACTCCTTCCTGACTCCTTCAAATGGAGACCCACGGGGATCGAGATCAGAAGGGAAACCAAGAGCGAAGGAAAGACAAGCCTTTGAGTGTCTCCAAGTCCCACAAGCTCCTGGCCAGAGGAATGAGGCCCCGAAAAATGGAAGCGGACCCCCACAGGCCTGAGCAGGAAGGCCTGTCCCGACAGGGCATGGACTTGAAATGCTGAGCAGGCTTTTCCACTCTTCATCTAAAGCGACGAGGTTCAAGGCTGGCAAGGCTGCAGGAGTGGGGACTGCCCAGGGAGCTGAGGGAGGGGCAGCCCGGCTGGGCCAAGAAGGGCCAGGGCCAGGCAGGGGGCGGGCCCTGATGCTGAAAGGGCGGACGGAGCAGACCTCCACTCGCTTCTACCTGAGAAGGTATCAGACACACCTGCGGCATGAGAGGCCTGTAGAGGTTAAGGGGTGGTGAGGCTTTAAGCACCAGTTAAAAGGAAGGCAACCTGGTCTCTCACAAAAGCTCGAGGTATCAAAGAAGGGATTATATGAAAATGGGGGGAACTCGAGCAGAGAGTTCAGGAAACAAAGGGTGACCCTGAGAGTGGCTTCCAGTGGGAGTTCCCGGGAACCCTGGGCTTCATTTCCAGAATGCAGCCAGGCTTGGACACTGTCCAGGACCTTCCCAACGACGGACACCACATTCCAGGTACCAATTCCCCACCTTACCCTTTAAATATTCTCTAATCCGCTCCTTCAGTTCCAAAGATTTATTTTTGCTTCTTTCACAAATAACCTATTTTAAAAAAAACAGTGAACACAATCTTAATTTATCATATTTTCTTAAAATTTTATAAAGCAAGTTTTATTTTATTTTATTTTTAGCTGAGCCATCCTGCCACCTGTTGGCAGCTCAGCTCGGGCCGGGAATCGAACTGGCGACCCTGTTGCTCAGAGTTCACACTCTTGAGCGAGCTCTTAACCAACTGAGTCACTTGGCCGGCCTGTTAAAGCAAGTTTTAAAGTCAACAAAACAAGCATAGGATCTAATACTGAATATTTCATAAAGCCAACAATCAAAAACGTGTGTTGAACAGTACAACCTTCTAGAATGTGTTGTGACAGCTTAAGGGGCCAGGACAACGAGAAAAACTCTGAGAATATGGGTGACTTTTATTTTCTTTCATTTTACTCTACATTTTCTAATTTTCTGCAAGGAAAAGAAACCTCAAAGTGTACTATCAAGTCAGATAAGAGACACCAGGCATGCTCACAATGTTCAGTTCTGAGTTCCACTGCCTGGGAGCCTGTTGTTTGGTTGGGTGGAAATAGAACGCCTATCTAGTGTAAACACCAATGTTTCCTTTTTGCAACTACAGGAATCATCTTTGTAAGCCCCTGAAGAATTGTAGTGACAAAAACATTTTTGCTAAACAATAAAAAGCTAATAACCTCCAAATAAGGAACCAAGAAATTACCATCTCTGGCCAGCCTGTGAGAAACAAACTGCAATACAATTGTATAGTGTGCCCTGTGAATAGAGCAACTAAAGTATTTTTTAAGTTAGTAACTGATTGAGAGATGTCAAGTGCTTTTAAAATGTTACCAAATAGGATTTTATATAGAAAAAAATGTACATACATATGCACATAAAAAGCTGTGTCAGAGATATTCAAAATAAGAGTAATTTCTAAGTTGTAGACCTGTCTGAATTTTATTCTTTTATGTATATTCTAAATTTTCCATAGAAACCATAGCAACTAGGAGGAGGAATTCACTACCAGAATAGGATCCTTACAGCCTTTCCAAAGGGTTGGCAGGTCCAGGTCAGCTAACAGCTCTAATGCATGGTCAGGTCCACGTCCCGTTCCACCTTACAGGCACAGACGCACCTCTGCCCTCACTAGGGCGCATATGGCTCAGCTGCCAAATGATCATGACAAGCCTGCTTCCTAAGTCTCGTATGGGTCAGATGAGAATACACAGGAGGGGGTCAGGCCAGTGCCTGGTGCACACTGAGCTGCACGTATCAGCTGTGTTCAGCATTACCACCCTCGTCATCACCACCACCCGCATCTCCTCTGTTCTCTCTGACCCTGGTAACCTGAGGTATGTAAGAGGGAACTTGATAAAAGACTGTGAGCAGCTGACAACAACTGACCACCAGCTTCAGGGAAACAAAATCAGCAAGCTAGGACAGCTCATCCCATCCTGGCTCCACAGAGCACGTCTGACTCAGCAGTCAGGGTTCTAAGGTGTGCCCATGAGGCAAACACAGTCACAGTTACTCATGACGTCACCGTGGCTGAGATCACAGACTGTAATTTTATGTACTTTTCATTTCTAACAATATATAGGAATGGCATTTTAATAGGTACTTACATCTTCAGGTGTTTTATCATATTTGTTCTGTGGGCGTTTTACAATGAAAGGGTGTGAAGAGAGCACGTTGACCACGTCTGCATTCCCAAACTTACAAGCAAAATGCAACGGTGTGTCGTAGCCCTGAGAGGTGCAGAGGAAGAACACTTATTTCTTATTTATACTCTTTTGCTTCACAAGGTTGCTTTACAATGAAAACAGGTATTTAGAAAAACAAACAAAACCCTCAAAGACAAAAGACCATAAGAAGACAGTATTTCTATAACTGAACTGTAATTGACATGCTGCCACATATCCACTTGATGCCAGGGCTGGAGCCCTGTGTATCTAGTGCCTGGGTGCCCAGGTCCAGTCGGGAGCTTACACCCGAGCTGGGGCGTGATACCTGCTCAGTAAACAGTAGTTTAACAATTCAGGGCCTGGTACACTGTCTTATAATTAATGCACAAAAGGTGAAATAAACAGATGAAGGCAACATCCAGAATAAAGCAGTCTATGATATTGGGCTGTACTCAGAGGAGACTCTCTGGCAGCTAATCCCACCATAAACCCCGCTGCTGACTGCACAGTGCTTCTCAGTGCTCACTTGCCCCTGGTGGTGTCTTCCCTGGGCTCCCCACAGCTGCACCTTTAACTGCTGCCTACAGACCAGTAGGCCTGAGGGTAACAGTGCCCTCGAGCCCGAGAGCTGTGAAGCCAACCACCTCTGGGCATCCCCACCCAGATGGCCACAGGCTCAAATACAGCCCATCCACAATGGAGCCCACTCACATCTACAGAGCAGAACATGGACCTGCAGTCCCCCTGTGATTACCAGGTTCCAGCTCCCTCCACATACCACGGCTGCTGCCCCGAGCTTCTAGCTCAGGGTTACTATGACTCCTAATGGGCCTCGCTCCTGCGCCCACACTCCCAGCTCCAGTCCACGTGGTAGGTGAGCCCAGGGGTCTTGTGCAAGCAAATATCCTCAAGTCAGCTCTTATCCCCCATTCCACACTGTCCAGGGCCATCTCACCACTTCATGCCACTTCCCACGGCAACCTGGAAAGGTCTGGGCTCAGCAAACTTTTTCAGTTAAGGGCCAGGCAAGAAACACGTCGGCTTTGCAGGTCATCCAGTCTCTGCCACAACCACCTCTCTGCCCTTCTCTGCAGTCGCAGACAACAGACAAAGAACGAGTACAGCTGTCCCAGTAAAGATGCATTTACAGAAACAGGCTGGCCTCTGCCAGCCCTGTTCTAGTGCATTCCCTGGACCAGGCCTTTGTTGACTGACGTCCTACCTGCAACGACTATCGCCCTGTGGCCCACACTCCAGTAACTGTCCGACCCCCTGCCAGGCCTGCACATCAGGTCGGCTATTGTCACTGGGCGTTCGGAGTGTCAGACCTCAAAGGGTCCTCAACATGCCTGCTTCCTTCTGGCCACCCCTCCCACACGCCACAGAACATCCGTCCATCTCTACCCTGCTCCGAGCTCTGCTAACTTGACCCCAACCTCCCCTCATTCCTGCCAGGAACTTTTGTTCCCACAGACAGCAGGCTCTGGGTTCTTCTGATGTTCCTGGCTGGCCCAGCCCTGCCACCCTCGCTGGTGAGCCCCTGCGCTTTCTACAGAGCCCAAGTACTTGTGGACAGCATGCTGATCCCCGCTTAGTGGGTTGCGATCAGAGAATGTGACCTACCACATCTAATTTCAAGAATTACTAAGTGCTGTTGTGGATGTACGTATGCACACTTCCTGTAGGGCACAGATCTGTGTTACACCCCCCGAGTGAAACTTGCTGCTTGTACTGCCCAGGTCAGTCAGCCTGCCCACCCTTAGTCCACCTGATACACTTTGCCTTTGCTCCTTCTGTCCTATTGAACACGTACTATTGCTTACATGTCATCAGTTTTCTTTTGATCCCTTGCTATAATTTTGCTAGCTGGGGCAAATGATCTCCACTCCTTTTGTGTCTTGTTATAAGTTATTCTTGCTTTCCAACTCTGCAGTTCAATGCATCATACTCGACACGTATTATGAAATAATAAATCATGCCCCACTCCACTATGCTTTTGGTCCTTCTCCTACCAACCATAACTTTCCACACTCCTACATTTTGCAGAGAATTTACAATTCTTGACTATAAGCTATTATTGGGTTTTCCCTCATATAAATATATAAAACTCTTGTGGCTCAAGGATCTTTACCTACACCTTATGCACCATTAAAAATCATCCCTTTGAAATTTTAACCCACAGGAAATCTTCCTACTGCAATGTTAATTTAAAAAAAACAAAAACAAACACAGAACACCAGGATCAAAGGCACCAAAACCTTGTTTACTTTCGTCTCTGTAGGTTTTGGCACTGACCCGTCCTGACAGAGGAGAGAGGGAACTTTCCTGGGAGCAGCACCGCCCACTTGTCTGGTGGGGCGGGACTCTCACATGAACGGGTCTTGTTTTCAGCCATTTTTCTAAGCTCTCTGAGCTCAGTGAACGCATGTGTCCTCCCTGACCCTGCCCGCACAGACACAGTGCAGGGACCCAGGAACACTCAGGCAGCGGGACACAGGTCTTGTCTGAACAATGGGACTGGCCATCACTTCCACCAAGAAAGAGAAGAGGGCGCACTCACCACCCTGTCAGGTGTGTTCAGGTACAGGTCAAGGATGTAACAGATGCGCTTGTACAGCATATCCGGGGCATCGTCTGGGTACATGAGGCGCATGAATGTGGGGTCTTCCAGCGTCTCAAGGGTCAGCTGGCAGATGGAAGCCTGGTTCTCCTTCGCAGCGACATGCATGACATTGTACCTGCAGCCCTCCTGCAGGAAAGCGGGGTTTGAGCTTCACCTGTGCGCCCCAGACCCACCGCTAACAACGGGAAGCAAGCTTACCTGCACGATGGTTGGATTGTCCCCAGAACCAATCAGATACCGGGGATTGCTCCAGACAAGCTCCGAAAAGGTGTCTGCGTCTCCCTTCTCCACAGCTTTCCGCAGTTTGGCAGTGAGGTCTTGTGTACGAGGATTTTTGTAACTGTTCGCTCGCTCTTTGTTGGCTGTTTCTGACTCAGGTGAGTACAAACCATCTGACATTGACAGACAGAAATGAAAAACACTTAATTTCACACACACTTTCTCATCGCCCTCTACATGCTCCACTGAGGACAAAATTCTCTCCCAGGCGCTCACGAACTAGCTGGGAGCAGCAAGTGAGAAACACAAAAAATTGACAGCACACAGCAAAATGACAATGCCGTAGCCTACGGCAGTGGCACATGGCAGAAAGACCTGATTGGGCAGGCAGGTGGAGGACTAACAAAGGCACACGGCGACCAACATTCCCAGAGGTGTTGGAAGAGCATGGAGCATTCGCATAAAGGCAGCAAAGCAAAGTGGCTTGTGGGTTTCATTACAACACCTGAGAATGGCTCAAAGAGATGTTCTTGAGGGAAATTTTCACAAACTGCCAAAAGGGAAATCTGTAACTGTTTGAAATCATTCCGGTTTCCATGTAAGAAGCACCAGTGTAAGGCCAAGTTAGGGAACAGAGGAAAGGAAGCAGATGGGCCTCTCGACGGATGGCCAGATGCCACAAGGAGATGGCCTTCTTCTGGGACCTCAGCCGGCCTGGGAAGCAGGACAACTGTGAGCTCCAAGAGGGGACCGGACTGAGGCCTGACAGTGCTGCCGACAGACGCCGCCTCCCAAGACCAAGTCTGAGCAGGGAGGGGTGTGGTCAGTTTTCTGACTGGATGGCTCCTGCAGGCGAGCCTGACATTTGCAGGGTTGTCTGGTTAAAGCAGGTGCCACAGGCCTAGAAGGAGGCATAGCTTCAGGTGGGAAATAGACTGGGCTCAGCATAAAAAAAGCCCCTGAACCCAACAGGCAGTGTGGAAAGGAAGACAGTGCAGAGCAGAAGGGGTCGAGGGTGGTCCTTTTGCTTTTCCACGGCCTCATAAACTTCAGGCCCAGAGGAGCTGCCTGGCCCACTCAGTCCCCACTGCCTCCACCCTCATGGTCCCTGGTCCCCACCCCTTAGACCAGCCCAACAACCCAATCTCTTCCCGCTGCTCCCTGGCCTGGGCTCTCACTTCCTGGCAAACTAACTGGACTTCTCTCAAAGGCAGAGTAAACAAACTACCAGATATCAGGAAAGAGAGCACAAAACGTGTGGGTTAACGTGACAGTAATGCCAAAATGTGAACAGCTAGTCACTTTTTAACGCACCATTGCTGAAGAGTGGTGCTGCTTTCACAGGAGACAGTGGTAACGAGGTTTTGCTTGGAGAAGGGAAATAATCACAGATTCCTCTAGCAAATTTCTCAGCATCTTCTCTACTTGAAAAAGCTTTAAACCGGGATCCTTTGATCATTCTGACAGCTTGCAATGCTTCCTTTTTATCTTCATAAACATGAATCCTTTCTGCATGGGAAAGTACCAAAGGGAAAACAAAGATGAGTGATGGGAGCCAGCGTGACAGATTCGCTCCTGAGGGCCTGTGTTTACCAGTAATCAACTGTACCCTGTTGTCTGGTTTGTCTCTCATATTAATATTTCAGATTTTTCATCTTGAAGAAAGCCGGCCTTAACTAGCAAAAGAACATAATGAGCTTAATCGTCAACGTGTGTTGCTATAAATAACATGATATGTATTTTATACGTGTGTAATTTCATATCCAAGGATACTCTTCCATACTAAAAAATAAAATTCATGAATTAATCAACTAAATAAAATATAAAAATCAAGTTAAAAAACTCTGAAAGGGGCCGACTGAGTGGCTCAGTTGGTTAAGAGCTCGCTCAAGAGTTTGAGCTCTGAGCAACAGCGGTTCAATGTCCGGCCCGAGCTGAGCAGCCCGTGAGCTGCCAACTGGTGGCAGGATGGCTCAGCTTTAAAAAAAAACAAACTATGAAAGTACTAGCAAAACAATGTAAAAAAATTTTAAACATACTTTTGGGGGGGAATGCCTTTTTAAGCATGCCAAGAAACCCAGAAAGAAATAAAGAAAAAGAACAGAAGTTTTAAGTACAGAACTTATATAACAGAGGTTATACATAAAAATATTAAAGTTGTGGGCCGACCGAGTTGCTTAAGAGTTGGCTTGGGACGCCAGCTCAGAGCAGCAGGGCCCCGGTTCAGATCCCACATGAGGACCAGTGATGCTGCGCCCTCTACAGCTAAGATGGTGAACAACAGCTCAACCTGGAGCTGGGCTGCCGTGAGTCACCGGCACCAGCATAAGCTGCAGCCCCTGCTGCAGTGGGCTGCCATGAGCTACCGTGAGTGGCTGGTAGCCAGCGTGAACAGCTGGCAGCCGGCATGAGCTGCCATGAGCGGCCTCCAATGGCCGGCGAGCGACTGCCTCACCCGGAAAGAGCACAATGATGATGCCAATATGGGCCAGTGAAGCGACTGTCCTCCACAACTAGACTGCAGAACAAAAGGACAGCAACTTGTCTGTTCCCCTTCCCCGATTCCCCAATGCTGTCCCCCTCCCCCAATTCCCCCCCAAAAAAATCTAAAAAAAAATACATAAAAAATAAATGACAGGTGGGGGGAAAATTTTTAACCAATATAACAGAAGAATGGTAATAGCCATTGCCTAATAAAAATAGTCAATAGATATGACCGAACAATTTATCAAATAAATATAAATTGAGTCTAACCATATAAAAAAGGTAATTGACCTAAAACAAGATCTAGGTTTCTCTTATTCAAGCAACATAAAGGGAAGTTCAATAACATGCACTATGATTGATGGACAGAAACAAGGTACCTGTTTTCCCTTTTTAGATAGAGTTCAATATTATGCTGCAGAAAGACTGGAAAAGTTACTGCCTCAGACATAATGAATGCTAATACCTTGGGGAGGGCAGTAGCTTTCAAAGTTTTAATAATGTATACCTTTTGACCTGATATGTCTACTTACCATTTATATTAAAATAAAAAATGTACACATACATACCAGGGGTGCCAAAAAAATGTATACACGTGACTTGTAGTCATCTTTTGTTATTGGTATATATTATTACAATTTTAATATAGTTTTCCTTTCTTAAAATGTATATACATTTTTTGGGCACCCTCTGTACATACAGAAAAGCAGTTATTAAGTGGTTACTTCTAGTAAGATTTGAGTGGAGAGGAGAAATGAAATTCCACATTTACTTTATATACAGTAAATATATATACTTTCTTTTTTTTTTAGCTGAGCCGTCCTGCCACCTTTTGGAAGCTCAGGGGCAGCTCAGCTTGTGCCAGGCATTGAACTGCTGTTGCTCAGAGCTCAAACTCTTGAGTGAGCTCTTAACCAACTGAGCCACTTGGCCGGCCCAATATATACTTTTTTTTTTTTTTTTTTTTTACAAAAAGCTACTTTTATAATAATAAAGATTAAAAAAAAAAAAAAGAAATTGCATCACGACCATTTCCAGTGTCACTAAATCTTTAAAAAGTTCTCATGGTTAAATAATATTCCATTCTACTCATGATACATAACATTGTAACATGCTAATCTCCTATTCTGGGGGGCCATCACAAATGATACACAGTAATAATGACTGTGCAATTTCTGATATCCTAAATCAACATCAAGTTTTCATTAATTCTTTTCAATGCTATTTTAGTCTTGCTTCAAACTGCAATTCTTTGATGTTGAAAATTACTTATATGTTCATGGGCCATTTGCATCAAACACAAAAAGAAATAAAAAGAGGGAGATGATTAGCAAATGGTAGCCAGCCAATAAATATTTGTAAGTGAAGTATATCTCGTACAATCCAATTTCCTTAATTGTAAAAAAAACCCCTTATATATAGGTTAAAAAATTTTTTTAGGGGAGTTCTATACAAAAAGGACAACAGCGATTAGTTTGGGGTGATATAATTATGGTGATTAAATTATTATGTCTTCTGTGTTGTTTGGGATTTTGAAAATCGTCTTACCCCTGTTGTCCCCTATAAGAAACACCACGCACCTGTCACATTACCGTTTCTCGCTGGGGAGTCCTCGTATGCTGGGCACACCCCGTAGTACAGAGGAGGCTCCGTAGAGGCCCTCACCACGGCTTGGTGGCCGCCGACTCCAGCTGCACCACTGAAGGGCAGTGGGCAGGTCTGTGAGCTCAGGTCATCCTCCTGTGGAGGATTCATGCCCACGCCATAGCCCAAACCTCTGTCTTGAGAAAAGCTGACCTGTGGAGCCGGGCTCCCTACCACAGACTTCAAAGTCCTGTGTGTGTCCTGGCTGAGAGCGGAGGCCCCTGTGGTGTCCTGGTCGGGAGGGGGTGAAGGCAATGTTCTATGCTCTAGTAACGCCTGAGCCAATTTTTTCTCAAAAATGAACCTTGTGGTTGAGGTAATAGGCCCACATTTCAATCCGGCTTTGACAATCTCTTCTCTAAGGTCATCTGGATTCAGGAGTTTCAGTCGAGCCAAGATGGCATCCATTGTCATTTCACCTAAGCCCAAAACAATAAAAATCAATCTGATGACAATAAGTACACCTTTTTTTTAATTTCTTTTTTAAGATAACTTTTACGTAACAATTAGAAACAAGATTTTCCTGTTGGACATAAACAATATGCAAAAGGACATTAACCTATATCTGCAACATTGTAAACTTGAACTAGAGCTAATACCTTAACTCAAGTGCTAAAATTCAAAACAGCAACTAAGTTACTAAAATATTTTACAATTCTAATAACAAACATATTATCAATCCCTCCATCTCACCAAGTCTCACTTCATAGGTTTGTATTTCCTTTCACTCAGCAGTATGAGTAATAAATAACCTATCTAAAATTCCCAATTCCCAAAGAAATACCCCCCAAAAAACTTTTTAGTCAAAATTACAGAGCTTTTAAAATACCAAAAAATATGTAGTTTATAACCCCACCGACAACACGATTTATGTAAATATTTGGCTCAAACGAACATAAGCCAGGTTTTAAGGACTACTTTATCAATTAAAAAAAAGTTAGATTTTCAACAGATGGTAATCCTTCTGTAAGCATACATTCAAATGTAACCTGTTCCAATTTTTAGTATAATGGAGATCACTAGGCTACTACTACAGAGGTGTGTTCCAGTTTCAGGTGTCACAAACTGGGCAAATATCTGTTCTCACTTCTTCAGATACTGCTGTATAATAAGGAACTTGGCTGGCCTTTGGCCCTGGTTCCTGGGAGGGAGACTCTAGATGCTTAGAATTTCACAACTCTTAGAAGTGTCTCTGAGAATCATCCACCTTCTCCTATTGGAAGGAAGGAAGGAAGGGAGGAAGGGAGGAAGGGAGGAAGGGAGGAAGGGAGGAAGGGAGGAAAGAGCAAAAAAGCTGGCTTCAAAGTTTCATTTCAAGCCAGTGTTTCTCCATATTCTCTGGAGTCTATTAACTCCCTATGAGAATTTTCACAAGTTTTTGTTTCCAAATCTGTCATAATATGAACAAAACTAAGATAAGCAGTTTCTGGTTAATTTGGATAAGAATCTTATGACCTAGAAATATACGTGATAGGATCACACTGCCATTCTAGGTAGGTGAGTGCACTGGGGAACAGGCTCATTCATTTGTTGCCAGTTGGGAGTGTAATTTGAAACAAATCCCAAAGCAACTGGGCAATTTCCATCAAAACTCCAACTGCAGAAATTTATCCCACAGACACTGCACTTTATTCCCTAAGTGATGGGAAGTTATGCAGATTTAAACCAAAAGCACCACAGAGTTCTGGCAGTCATTTTGCTAATCCCAGCAACAAATGGCTCACGGTTTGTCCCTGATTCTGTCTGAAGCACTCTACACATATGAAGTCATTTAATAGTGACAACAGCGCCCCATTTTATAAATGGATATGAACTGGAGTTTTTTGTTTTGTTTTGCTTTTTTTTAGCTGAGCCATCGTGCCACCTTTTGGCAGCTCAGCGGTAGCTCAGCTCTGGCCGGGCATTGAACCGCTGTTGCTCAGAGCTCAAACTCTTGAGTGAGCTCTTAACCAACTGAGCCACTGAGCCGGCCCTGAACTGGAGCGTTAATCAACGTATTTTGAGAAACAGCAGTTAAGTCTTTGGAGCATAGATTTAAGCGTCGTCAGCTAGCATCAGAGGAGACGGTAAGAAACGATGGGCACAGAGCACTCCTGAATAACAGGGCTGCAGACAAGGGCTCAGATAACAGGAGGTTTTAAAGGCAGATGGATTCGATGCCATAGGAGGGCTGAGGGCAGGCCGTCGAGGGTAACACCTAGGTTTGCAGTCTAGGTGCCTAGGAAGTGGTTGCACCTGAAGCAGGCAGTACTGGAGATAGAGCAGATGGAGATTCAGGTACTGAGCATCAGAAGCATCCACAGCATGCCAAGTAGGCTCAAATCTGAGATTTAAAAGACACAAAGTTCAGAGTGGGAAGAACAGATCTGGGAATCATTAGTACAGAGATGGTGGTTATGATATCAAAAGACAAAACTAGAGAAACAGGGGCCGGCCGAGTGGCTCATTGGTTAAGAGTTGGCTTGGGAGTGCAAGCTCTGAGCAGCAGGGTTGCCGGGTCAAATCCCACATGGGTCAGTGATGCTGTGCCCTCTAAGCTAAGATGGTGAACAACAGCTCGACCTGGAGCTCACTGCCATGAGGCGACAGTGTAGGCTGCAGTGGGGCTGCACTGGGCTGCCATAAGCTACTGTGAGTGGCCGCCAGCCGGCCTGAGCTGCCGTGAGCCACCGTGAGCGGCCGTCCAGTGGCAAGCGACCAATCTGCCTTACCCGGGAGGAGTGCAATGATCATAATACCAACATGGGCCAGTGAAGCGACATCCTCTACAACTAGACTAAAGAACAAAAGGACAGCAACTTGTCTGGCTCCCCTTCCCTGATTCCCCAATAAAATCTAAAAAAGAAAAAAGAAAAAAAAAGTGTTTAAAAACTAGAAAAACAAGGAACACATGAAGACAGTGAGCGAGCCTCAAATGGAATCTGAGTAATACCAATGATTAAAAGACAGATAAAGAAAAAACAGGGCATGTTACCATGTCATTGAAACCAAGGAGTAGATAGTTTCAAGAGGTGTTTACAGATGAAATGATAGGACATCCAGGATTGCCTTTAAATGACTCCAGTAGGAGAGCAAAAGAGAGGGGCCAGTGGCAGATAAAACAAGATTCAGAAATTAATGCCGTTTTGTAGATGGATGATGGGTACAAGGGGTTCATTATGTTATCCTATTTTTGTGTATTTCTTTTTAAAAAACACTTTTTATGATGCCACCTCCCCCCGCCCAACTCCAAAATTTCAAAATTGGTTATTTATTTACAAAGGAGATAACAGTCCTATAAACAATGAATGCATTGCACAGCCCCCTCTAAAGCTGCTGAAGAACTTGAAAGGGGCAGCCTACTGAGCACAGGATCCCACCTTGGGCGGAGAGCACCTAAGTGGATTCTCTGCCTACATGGACACAGGAGTAACAGAGGTGGCTCTTTAATGAGGAACCGACAGGAAAGGCAGAGAGCAGCTCAAAGCCACATGCCAGGCAAAGGCTGAGGGGTGGGGATGACTGGGGCAGATGCTGGGAATAGAGAGAGAAACTGATTCTATACCTGATGGTATTTTATTTTTCATACTATCCCTGTTTCCTTATCCTAAAGCTACCTTTTTAACATCGGCTAGTTTGAAGGGGAACCCTAAATAGAACAATTACATTACATCGTATATCACTAACTGTGTGAACTTAGGCAAGTTATGTAAATTCTAAGCCTCAGTTTCCTCCTCTATAAAATGGACACAATAGCTCTACTTCTTAGGCTGCAATGAGAATTAGATAAATGCATGCAAAGCCTGTTCCAGTGTTTGGCGCCGACAAATCATCCACAAATGTAACAGCCAATAAGCTGTGAGGGAATATAAGCTTATTAATCCTGTAGAATACACGATGCTAGAAAGTCAACCTGAATAAAAACAAGAAAGTGCACTCTGTTGCTAATATTCTGAATACAATATATTGTACAAGTATGCGATCACCTGTGCAGAAGAAACAAGGGATGAAGCAGAAACTAATGAGACTGGTTACCTGCAGGTGGGTTGGAAATGGACAGGGAGACTGGACAGAGGCCCCGGGGCAGGGGAGAGCAGCATTTCAGAATATAACTTTATGTTCTGACTTTTAGAAACATATTTGTAATTCACATACTCAAAAAATAGGTAAATAAACAATAAGATGAGAGAATGTCGTCACCCCCTAAGTGGAATACAAACCCAAACAAAGAGCTCAACTGTATTACAAGATAGTAATATAAGCCGGGGAGAACTAACCTAGTAACTAAAAACAATAATATGTGACTACATACTAAGGACAAAAACAAAAGGAAGGGTACACAAACGCTGTTCTCTAGTTGGTAGGTGTGTTTTCACAATGGACAGGCTAGCAGCTCTGAAGCCATTTTATGTGCACTCTGAGATACAGCAAATAATTAGATAAACTGTGGCTCATGAAAGCCAGGTTCCTCATTGACAGAGAAGGAAGTTACAAATAAGGAGGGGGGAAGGCTAGAATGGGCCAGCAAACTTTGTAAGGGCCAGAGAGTAAATTCTGAGGCTATGAAAGTCATGACGCCTCTCAAACGCTCAAGAACAGCTACAGATGAGATTGTGGCTGTGTTCCAGTAAGATCTTATGCAGAAAAATAGTGGGGGTCGGATACGGTCTGCAGGCCATGGTTTCCTGACCCCTGGACTAGAATTAGAAGTGTCTGCGTGACCCGGACTGACTGATTGATAGAGACAAAAATAAAGGTAGGAGACATTTAGGTCTGCAGACTGGATGACACTTGTCGGTCCCCCTGCCTGTGGTGTGATTGTATAAGATACTAACATTGGGGAATCTAAGTGAATGGTATAAAGGATTTCTTGAACTCTTTTACTTTGAAATAATTATAAACACAAGAAGTTGAAAAACAGTACAGCGGTCCTGTGGACCCCTCACCCGGCTTTTCTCGGCTTTCCTCAATGGTGACACCTTACACACAGTAGTGCGTGATCCAACCAGGACGTGATGTCACAGCACAATGAACGAGCCCCCGGGCCTCACCAGTTTCTGCAGTCGCTCTCTTCTTGTGTCTTTGTACACAATTTCATGCCTGTTTATCACCCACACAGATCCATAATCAATTCCTGAACTGTCCCACCACCACCAAGATGTCCCTCTTGCTGCACCTTTCCAGTAATATCCAACCTCCTCTCCACCGTCCCCAGCCCCTGGCAACACTGACTTGTCCTCAGAAGCTGCACTTTCACTTCGAGGATGTCGCGTGAATGCACTCACACACTTGCAAGTTGCTGAGTGACCAACGGTTTTGTCCCACTGTGAGTGGCAGCCCGCGCGCGGTATAACATGCCACTTCTTTTAGCCATTCACCCCTCAAGAGACACTCGGGCAGTGTCCAGTTTTTGGCAATTACGAATAAAGTTATAAAATTCGTATACGGGTTTGAGAGAAAGGGAGTTCTCATTTCTCTAGAAGTGCAGTGCAGGTATAATCTTTTGAGAAACTGCCTGATTTCCAGAGTGGCTGCACCTTTAACATTTCCACGGGCAGCGGGTGCGACCCAGTTGCTCCGCACTCGGTAATGCCGGTCCTTCCCATTTTAGTCACGCTAATAGGAGTGTCCCGGTGTCTCACTGTAGGTTTAACTCGTATTTCGCTACTGGCTGGTGATGTTGATCATCTTTGGTTAGTACTGTTTTTTTTTTTTTATAAGTCTAAGCTGACTTCAAAATCAAGAGCTCAAGTTCTAAAAGAGGTTTTTAATGAAAAAGCCACTCCAACTCTCACGTCAGCCCGGTGCCCGGTGGCCACAGCCCTGCGTCTGTCTGCCCGGCCCTGAGTCTTCCGGCCGCGCTGACAGTGTGATTGGACAAAGCGGCATGTTGCTGAAGGCGCCACCTAACACTTTCTTACGGGATGAGAGGTGGCGGCCAGGACGCGAGGATTACGTCGTCCCTAAGGACCCTTCAGCCCCGAGTCCCAAGAGGGTCGTAAATTTTGCTTTCTGATAACAACATGTCACCTTCCCGTCAGAGTACGTGACGAGCCCCTGGCTATTCTGCGGGAGGAAACCAGGCTTCCGGGCGAGGGCGTGAAGCAACGTGAAGGGCGCCCACGGCCCGTACACGAGAGACTGGGCGGCAGGAGCGGATGAGCTCGAGGAAAGAAGCCAAACGGGCGGCCCGCACACGCGGTCCCGGGCCCCCGACTCACAGCTCCCCCGCCGTCCGCGCGTTCAGGACGCCTGGGTTTTCCCGCAGGCCCTTGCCCGGAACCCCCAACTCGGCTGGGGGCGGGGTCCAGGCCGCGGAGGCAGGGAGGGCGAGGGCCTTACCTGGGGCGGGAGGCCCGGGCCGGCCCAGGACCCGCGGCCGCTTCTCCAGCCGCCGCACCAGCCAGCGCACCGCAATCAGCAGCACCGAGGCGCCCAGCAGCTCCCAGGCCAGCGCTGCCCACTCCGTCGCCGCCAGCTGCGGCCACAGCATCGCCACCACCCGCCCGGCCGCTGCCGCCGTCGCCTCTGAGGAGGCCCGCGCCCGTCTCAGGACCCCGCGCCCCGGGCTGCCCGCGCCACTGCCTGATGGCCCGACCCCTGGGAGAGGCCGGCGCGCGGCCGGAGCAGCACGCGCGGGCCAGAGTGCTCGCCACTGCGTCCGGAGGCCCGGCGAGGGAGCGCGGCTGCGGCCTTGACCGCTCACGGCGCGGGACGGGCGGAGGGTGCCGTCAGGCAATGGCTCAGGCAGCCCGGGGCGCAGGGTCCTGAGGCGGGAGCGGGGGCGTGTCCGGGACGGGCGGGGTCCGCGCGCCGCGTGGGGGTCGCGGACAGGCCGCTCCCGTTTCTCTGGAAACGATCCAACTGATATGCTTCCGGACCGCCCCGTTTCCGACGGCTTGGATGTTAGAGCAGCTTCTCCGAGCGGAAGAAAGCGGGAGACCTCCGACTGCCTCGTGTGCTCGTAGAACGTCTCCTGTTCACTCGGCCGGCCCGGCATCCAGTTTTTACCTGTGTCGTGACTCATTCAAGAAGAGAAGGAAAGCGTGTGGGGCTCCAGCCGCTCGTTGTTACATAGGGTGGGGGTCTAGTAGGAGCAGCCATACCAGGTGACTCGAGGAAATGTCCTGGGGGCCATCAGGGACAGCCACAGCAGGAAGCCGCTGGGACCCTCTGCAGCGGGCACAAGCAGCCCTGAGGTGGAGATGCAGCCACTGAGGAAGGCTCGCCCCGCAGAAGAGCCCGGAAATTTCATTTGCAGATGTGCCAAGGGATAATCTAGTAGAAATAGGGACTCTCCAGAAAAAACTAATGAAGAGAAACACGATGTGAAACGGCGAGCTTACGTCTGTATATGCAAGAGCACACAGAAGGATGTAGAAAGGAGAGTTGAGCTAGGTCTATTTTCTGCTCATTGTCCCATCCCTTGGGGACAGTCAGCCCTGGGCTGGAGTCTCCAAGGAGCTTCAGATCTGTCCCGGTTGTGGGTATTTACACCTAGGAACTAAAGGGAACCCAAGTTCTGCCACCCTAAGGCTGAGTTTTGGGATATTGATTTTAATCAGGTTATTAAGAAAGAAAAGATTCAGAACAGCCCTTGACCCCTTCCCCCATTTCCTGCCCAAGAGATTCAGATGGAAAAACCTCGTTTAGGAGGGGAACCTTAGCAGCAACACTTGTTAGACAGGAAGACTCCTGGCAGGCATCTGATGGTCAACTCATCCCATGTCCGTCTTCAGGGTTACCTGCCTGCCATGTGTGTTCTGCACTTCCTCAATTACCTGCAAGCTGCCCATCTCACTTTTGAAATCTAGGACCCCTGCCCCTTTTGTCCTTTGTCCCAAATGTCTCATACCCAACGTTGCCTGTCTTTAGAATTTTCACGAGTATGTAAATTCCCCATGAGCACGTATTAAAATTTGATTTTTTTCCGTTCATCTCTCTTAATTTGATTAATAGCCCAGCTAGAAGAAGTTAGGAGGTGGGAGGAAAAGTATTTTAGCCCCCACAGAATCATCAAATGCTACAAATCAGGCTTCCCCAGGACAGCTGGTTTTTAAATAGCTCTGGGTATGGCACTTGACAGACATCTGCTAAGTAATGGCCTTCCTGCCATGTGGTGGGCACACGCACTGGCTGGGAGACGCTGGGTCTGTTGCAGTAACAAATGACCCCCAAGTCTGCAGAGGCTTGAGAACAAGGTTGAGTTCTTGCTCCTACTTCCTGCCCATCGTGCGTCAGTCACTGACCAGAAGCACCACCTTGTAACGATGCTGTTGCCAAGGTGGGGTGTTTTGCAGCAGCCAGTCAGTGCCCTGGCCTGGAAGGGACACACTGTGTGCACCTCCTCACTGGCTGTGAGCTGAGCCTGCTCCTCGGCCTGCCGTCTCCTGGAAGGCAGCCGAGGACCACTCGTGGGGAGCCTTAGTGATAAGCGCACAACTCAAAGTGCTCAATGAACTAAGAAAAGCTAGACAGGGTGACTTGTGCCCGATCTACAGGGTTTGAAAGCCAAGCTGTGTGCACTGAACTTGACCCTGCAGTCAGTGGGTCACTAGAATGAATGCGTACACACGTGCTTCCGACAGCAGTGGACATGAGGACATGCATAGGACCCTGCCCCATACTAAATAGGCAAACATGGCACCAGCCACAGTTTACCGTCTCCCGCTGCTTGCAGGGAAAAGGCATTGCTGAAGTACACTTCCTTCCAGACTCGGCAACATTCATTGTCAAGTGAAAAGATGCATAAAGACAAACCGCAGGGTTCCCATAAACACTACTCTTGTTGTAGAAGTTAGATAGCTGAGAATTCCTCCTCCCTTAGGAGAGGCATGGAGGCTCTTCTAACAGCCGTTGTATTTGTCCATCAGACTGGATGGCAGCGGCGTCAACAGTCCTGTTTATATTTCCCACATAATCTGCGTGAGACATGGGACTTCTGAATTACCCAGTGACCTGTCAACAGTCCTCGACCCTGCCCGAGGCATTCCCACCAGCACTTGCCACCCCCGAGCCAGGAAGCAGCTGAATGTAAATGCGCACCCTGAACCCTTTTGCAACTCACTGTCCGACCAGGAAGGCAGACAGCACGCACATGCACTTGACCAAGGAGACACTCAACAGATTGCCTGCTCACCAGTTCAGTGCCCGCATGGGCTTAGCAACTTCAGACACATGTAACCTCCCTTCGTGATTGTGGAAACGGCACAGCAATGTTTCAGGGCATCAAGGCCACAGGTGGTCCAGGAGTCTGCTCTCAGACCAGTGGTCATGTGCTACCTGACCCCTGGCTAGAGGACACTGGGGTCACAGGAAAAATGTGTGCCGCCCCCACAAAAGCATGCCACCGTCACTGGTTCTCCCATGCTGTCTTCACGTGACATGTGGGTCACTCTTCTTGATCAAGAACCAAGTATGGATGAAAAAGGTAAAACTGGGAGCCACAAAACGGAGACCCATATGACCCCACTGCTATCAGATGGGACAACAATGCTGCGTGATAGCACTCCAGTCAGGGAGGCTCGTGTACACATCCTCATGCGATTACTGCCTCGAGGGCATCTGCCACCATCTCTTCTCGGTTGTTCCCAGAACACTTCCCTCTCTGATACCAATTTGCAGGTGGCAACAAGTGAGATGTGGGCTGAAGGGGGAGAAATACAGGTGAGATACGGGTCCTCCGCTGAGGTCAAAGGCCACCAGCAGGAGGTGGCTTTCACAGCCCATCCGAAACTTTGGCAGATCAGGACAATTCTTTCAAGACAAGCACTTGAACAGTGTAACAAAATGAGATAAAAGTTACTCCCAAGTATAACAATGTATATCAATATGCAACACCCCCCCCCAATGAACTATGAGAATCTTTAACAAAAAATAGTTTATTGCACAAAATTTAAAGACTTCCCAAGCACGCTTAAATTTATAAAAAAATCAACATGCTTTTTAAAGTTACAACTCATTGTGCATGGTGACACCTTTCCCCTGAACAGCCCCAAATGGGGGACTCCCTTTTACGAGGACATTATTAGCAGAAATGAATAACTTAAAACCACCGAGTTTTCTAGACCCTCTAAAACAGCACCTTCAAGGATCCTGTTGTAACCTGAGACCATCATACAGCGAGATTCACCTGGGATGTGGACTCGTTGAGCTTGTGTGAATAAGGCTCTGAGTGTGTCACATATCCCAGAGCTATTCATGTCACAGGGTCCTTGAAGAAGACTCCAGGACATTTCGCTTCAGATACGGTGGTCCCTCTCACTACTAGAAATCTTTACACACCACATTTAATTTTTGTTAAAAAAAATACCCATGAAGTAGAAATACATGTCACGGTGACTTTGTAGTCCCATACCAGGAAAAGTCCTCACATGGAGAGAGCTTTAGGGGGACTCTCCCTAATGCTGGAGGCCCGGATGGGCTCCCCACGGCTGCCCCACTACCTGGGCCCCAGGCCAAGGCAGAGCCTGGAGCACATCCTGGTGATGACACCGCTCGTTAGGCCTTCTGAGCGGTAGAACAAGGCATGGGGACCTGTAGGACACGTACCGTTGGTCTGATGCGTGCTGTGGGAAACCAGTGGTAGCCACGCTGCAGGAGGGCTTTTTTGCAACATAAGAAAAACAAGTAGTGACATCATAAGGAGCCCAAGCCAAGATTCTCTGCAGTGAGGACATGATACACAGTGTTTTCACACAGGATGAGTCAGATACACAGCATACCGCGATGGTGAACCTGCTTTTACAAACTCCAGACTTGACTATTGTTTTTCATGACTAAATTTTCTCTTTTTTTTTTAGCTGAGCCATCCTGCCACCTCAGCTGAGAGTCCTGGCAGCTCAGCTTGGGCCGGGCATCGAACTGCTGTTGCTCAGAGCTCACACTCGAGTGAGCTCTTAACCAACTGAGCCACTCGGCAGGCCATTCATGACTAAATTCTTAATTCCACTCTGCCCATAATAGAAGAGAATTTCACACATTATTCACTGAAGAATCCAGTTCTGGGAGGTAGAGTGCCAGTGAAGTCCCCTGGAGACAGGAGGAAACAAACACAGGCACACAAAAGCCCTCAACAAACCAAAAGCGGGTGAGGTCTAAGTCCCACTTCCTGTTTCGGGTGACTTGTTAAGGAAGCCTACAGGTGGTGCCAGGGTGAACACCAGTGGCCCCAGATGGGACCGGTGGACACACACGACATGGGGGAGGGGTTGGGGGGAAGAGCGCCGAGAGCTCAGTCCAAAGACAGGCCAGGTGTCTGTTGAACTGAGAGCTGGAAACTGAGGACGGAGGTGACGGGGCGATGCGTGCACATGCACAGGGAGGGAACCAGGCAAAGGAACACAGATGAGGAACCGAGACTGGCTTCCACCCGAGGAACCTACTCAGTTAGTGAACCCTTTCCTAAGAGGGAAGACAACAGTGAAGATACCCATGGGCAGGACTTCGGTGGTGGCAGGAGGCTGAATGCCATTTCTTGGGTTAAGGGTGATGCAGCAAAGTAAATTACTATTTCTTTTCCAATGGTACAAAAACAATTTTGTCAAAAATGGTTTGCAGTGTAAGTTGAAAAGTAGGCAGTTATAATGAAGTTTTCAAGTATTACTTTAAGATTAACCCTGTACAACGACACATGTTTTAGAAGTTCCAATACTTGCGCGGGAGTCATTTTTAAACACTAAACGTCTTTGTGGTTAAAACTACATTAACTTTATCAATTAACTTCTAACAGCTATTACAGGAGAACATACCATCCTGCCTTCTCCACACAGACAATAATGACACACCAACTCGAGTGTGTCTGGTCCAGGCCACTTCACACCATCACCTTCAGACCAGAGCTCATGGAGGCACAGGGACCCATTGTCTCTTCTCAACTTACAACAATAAATAGTATTTTAGACTTTCTTAACAAACTAGGGAGACAACTTACACACCCCGAGTCTCCCAGTCAGTGTCTGTGGTGCTTAAGCATTTTGGGTGAGAAACGTAAACCTGTTGACCTTGCACACTCAGGGCGGATGTCACGCGCTGGGAACTTGAGCACCTCAGCCGCCTTCCTCGCAGGCCCACCTGCCTCTCCAGATGGGGTGAAAGACCCTCTAGCCCCCTAGAGGCTGTCACCACTGAGTCCAGCTAGCCTCGTGATGACCACAGGCCCTGGGGGACATGTTTACTCAGGGCACAGAGGAGTGAGGTCCAGAAGCCATGCTGGCGGGGTGGGGCCTGCAGGCACCTGCCCTCCTGGCCTCCGGCCTCTTCCTGTGCGCCTCACATGTCAGTTCAGCGCCTGGGGACGTGAGGCCTGCCCGTGGTTGGTCAGGCTTAGGCCAAGCAGGGTCGGGGTCAGACGGGTGAGCGTTGTGCACTTATGACAAGGAAAAGACCCTCAAAAATAAAGTGAAATGAAAACAAAGAACGCCCTTTGTCTAACAATATTTGGTTTTAGAAGGTAAATAAAATAATTATATTTCTTAAAATATAATTTTCAGACTGACATCCCTTAAACCTACATGTACATTATTTCCTCACAGCAGATTTTCAAAAGGCAATCAATGAAAACACCATTCAGGTCGTTCTTAAATAATGTCAGCATATACTTACGATTCCTGGTATTTACATATACATCCTATGGTGAGACAGCTACTGAAAATAAAGTAAAATAAAAACCAAAGGTGCAAATAAAGTGTCATTGCCGCAGGGAGGTAAAGCTCTTCTGAATGAAACAGGAGGTGAGAAAGCAGACGTGGTGGCTTGGGGCCAGGTGTCCAGGGCGACCGATGTCCACCATCACTCGTGAGGTCACTCCTGCAAATAATGCTCAGACCCCTCCCAACAATTCTCACCAAGATCTGAACCAGGTTTTAAGATTTGGTCATTTTGTGGGAAAAGCTAGGTGTGAACTGCAAACGGCTGTTTCTCTAGCCTGTGGCTCTTGTTACTTTACTCCTTGTAAAGGCAACACAAAACTTAGTTTCACCTCGTAGGCAAGCATGGAGCACAGAGCTACCAAGGAGGACCTTGAGAGCGTCCCCTGGGCAGTTACACACACTCGGAGTGGGGGTGCTCAGCAGTGTCTGCTCCCAGCCCGTCTCTGGACGTGCTGCTTGGACTACAGTGCTCGGTGTCTCCCCTGGGATTGGCGTCATCTCCCGAGGCAGCGGAGCTGTCAGCAGGGTCCCCCTGAGTCCACGAGGACAGCGACTCGTGCATGGTGACGGTGTGTGCCTCCATCTGACGCTGCAGGCTGTCCATCTCCTGCCTGGAGACGAGGAAGGCAAAGGTGGGAATACTGGTCAGAGGGCCAGGAAAGACAGCACTTTCCCCAGACGGCTGTCCCCTCACACATCTATGGCGCCTTCAGGGACCAGCAGCACCGATGGAGTCACAGAACTTAAGGGACCCCGACACTCCTCTCCTCTGTGAGGAGGCCCAAGGGCCGCGGGGCCACCACACACAGGCTTCCGCTTGGGGAGATGTGGAAAGACCGCCCAGGAGCTGCCACTCGTGTCCTCTTAACACCTGGGGCTTAAGGGCTCACTTAGCCTGAGGCAACTCTCTCCTTCCCATGGGGGCCAAGGGACCCCACTTAACAGAGACCCGCTCAGCCTTCACGGGGAACACATTGCTGGCAACAGAAAGGCGTCCCCAAGTCAAACACATGCTTTGGAGGCAGTGACATAGGGCCAGAACGTACTTCAGTTGCTGTAGGCAGCTGTTGAGGTTCCTGAGGGGCTCCTTGCTCACGGCAGGGGGTGGCCTCAGCAGCTCCTCCAGCAGCCAGGCAGGCACTGGACAGTCGGGGACCTTCACTGGCGTCACGGGGCTGGAAGGGCTAGCCTCGCCCTTCAGTTCCCTCCTCTGTTTGTAAAAGCACATTGTCAGCAGTCGGAGATGCCTTCCAGCTCCACGCGGCCCCTGGGGAGGCACTCCCACTCGCCTGTACCCACTGAGCTGGTAGGCACAGTAATTCAAGGAATGTTGGCGGCACAGAAAGCCTTTCTCCTAACGCATGCAGCAGCAATGACCATGGCCCTGGGCCCTCAGGACGGAGCTGCCGTGGCCTTCCATGACCGTGACTCTGCGCTCCCCTAAGAAACTAAGTTGATTTGCTAATTCCTATGACCCCCTTTCTAGGACCTCAAACCTTTTTCCGTTTTCCCAACAGGCAAACGTTGCTACTAAAGCTGAGATCTGAGCTAAGTCTCTGACCCAGAAAACGTTTACACACACTGACTAGGAACACACGCCGGGTATGCAGACAGCCTGAGCAGGGCTGCGGACTGCAGCTCTGGGGTCATGAGGTCCTGGGGTCTGTGGGCCCGAGCCCATTCTAGGGGCCGCTGGGTCCCAACCCATGACCTCATCTGGTTTATAAAGCCCAAGACAATAAAATGGTATTTGAATTCATAAAAACAAGCAAATGTTCTGTTGGAAAAGGCACCAAAATAAAACAACTGGGTCTGTTGTGCCATTCATTTTCACATGCAGCCGCTCAGTGTTGGTCAAACCCAACCTTACATGGGAATGATTAGGAAAGCCGCCGGCCTCTGGCCCACACACATCTTGGGTGGGCCCCCAGCTCAGCGGACAGGCAGGTAGCCTGTACCGTCTTCGTGGTGCCACGGCGCAGGTCCAGCTTGAGCTGCTGGTTTTGCTGGAGCAGAGTTTTCATGTTGTTCTTCAGCTCCGACACTTTAGCCTGAAGCATGAATTTGTCTTTCTGGGTTACCGACAGGTTCTCCCGCATCATCTCCAACTCCGACCTGACGTTCTGAGGAAAGTCAACATCGAGCTTTAAAAGCTAGAAGGTCGTAAGCACACAAAAGCGGAGATCTTGGTTTGCATGTCATGATTCTAAGGGGCTAAAACGGAAACACTAGTTGTTACACAATGAAGTAAAGATGCTCCCTTCTTGGCACAACTTCCCCTCTCGCAGTCGAGACTTTGAGTTACAGTCTCGTCCTCAAAGATCTTCTCCCAACTTCCCGTGCTCTGCCAAGGCACCAGCGACACTCCCACGTCCTCATCCTACAAGGAGCCCCTGGAATCCCCTGTTTGAATTCCAAGGGTGGCGACTAGGTAAGCCTAACCATGACTAAGAACGAATGTAAGTCAAGTCTAACTGTTACTCGAGCCATCCACCACAGGTTCTGTTCCTGACCATGACCTCAAGTAGGAAAGTGTCACAGACGGGTGACCTTTCACACGTACTGTCGCATTTACTGGACCCAACTCGGCCCACGTGCAGCACTGGGCTCTGCTCCCCACCTGCTGGCCTGGTCCTTCTGAACTGTGGCGACGTGGTCCAACGGTGTGCAAGGAGCAAGCCACTCCCCCCACAACCCAGCAATGCACACGCAGAAGCTGCCACAGTGAGTGGGCATGGTGTCGTGATGTTGGCCCCCACTCCCACATACCTGCAGCAGCTGCTGAACTGCACCCAGCTCCTTTCTGCTCTGCTGCTCAGTCAGCTCCAGCTGCTGCTTCAAGGACTGGATTTCTCGCTCCTTCTGATCCACCTCCCACTTGAGGTTTTCCATCTAGACAGAAGAGTCACATGACCAGAAGAAATTTTTTTTTTTTAACTGAGCCATCCTGCCACCTGTTGGCAGCTCAGCGGCAGCTCAGTTTGGGCCAGGCATTGAACCACTGTTGCTCAGAGCTCGCACTCTTGAGGGAGCTCTTAACCAACTGAGCCACTCGGCCGGTCCTATGACCAGAAGAATTTTAAGTGGCTTTCTTATACCTCGAAGTCACTGTAACCGTATCTCTGGGCATTGTTTAACATTACACGTAGAAAACACACACGTCCCTTGCCAGCAGCATCTAGCTCTGCAGGTCCCAACCCCAGGGATGCAAAGTCGCCCCTCGGTCACCTCCTGGTTTCCTAGGGGCTGTCGGCTCAGCTGCTCGTCCAGCTGTTTCTGCAGGTTTTGCAGCTGGGTCCGGGCTTCGGCCAACTCCGCCTGGAACCCTGCTATTTCCTGGGAATGTTTACCGTCCTGAACCCTGGCGTAAGAAATAGGAGGAATGAAGCCAGAGTTCATCCAACCTAAGCACCGCATCCCCAGCACAAAAAACCTGCTGGCTAAATGTCACCTGTCCTGGATGAGACTTGTAATGACAAAAGCTCATGTACTGTACACCCTGAGTGGGGACTGTCCTAGGAGCTTTCGATGCCCTGTCTTGACTGCCTCACAAACCCCTGGGAAACACTCACTTTACAGATTACAGCAGGAGGGGCAGTGCCTCAGAAACCAATGCACATCCCTGCACACTTCCAACTCGAGGCTGTCCTCATTAGGTGACAGCCTCAAAGGTGGGCACAGCCCTTGGGGCAAGTGCCCCTCACACTGGGGACTCTCTGTTCCCCATGAAGGACCAGCAAGGTGCAGGGTGGGGACAGTAGCATCAGAACTGAAATGTGAGGGTTAAGCTGAGGCTTCTCGAGACAAGTGTCAGATATACTCGCCTTCCCAGACTCGCCTCCAGCGTACTTGGCGACCTGCTACAACAGGGGACCTTCCTGTGTTGACTGTGCTAATTAGAGATGCACGAGAACCCTTACGAGGACCTCTGGAGAGGAGACTGCCCCCCAGCCCCCCAATGCGCCCTCGGCCTGGGGACTCACCGCAGACCCTCGGCTTCTGCCTGCAGCTTCTGCACCAGGAGCTCTTTGGCCTGCAGCTCCTTCTTCACCTCGCTCAGCTCCAAGGCGGCGGCCTTAAAGTGGCGGCGGTTATGCCCTGCTTCCATTTTAGTAGCAGCCACCTAGAAGGAGGGACGCTGACATCACTGGGTGCTAAGCCGGGAGCAGCACTTGGGGTGCCACCCGTGCTGGGAGGAGTGCCACTGCCCACGGCCACCCTGCAGGTGCCTTCGCTGCTCTTGAGGGTTTTCTACCAAAGCCTTCCAGGTCTCCCCACAAAGGGTTAAGGTCCCTGCCATTGCAGTGTTGCAAGCACACGGCATGGCTACTGCTATCTATTGAATAAACAAATCCGTCCAAGAATCTCTTGGGCTAAATAGTTTCCATAGTCTTCTTCTAGTACGTGTGCATGTCTCTTGTTAAATTTATTCGCGGTTCATGTATTTTTGCGAGGAACCTATTGTACTTTTCCATCAGACCACCTGACTATCATAAAGCTACTGATTATTATCCATGTACGATGTAACTAGCCTTTTCATAGTTAACAGGTTTCTGAGGAGGAGACAAATTCTCAGAATATAACAAAATTTTCCATTTTCCTTTATAATAATTTAGTTTTCTTGTCTAATTGCACTAGCAAGCACTTCATTTTAAAAAGTTTAATAAAAATACTTACATGACAGATGAGTACAGAAAGAATTCTTATATAAGTAAAAACAAAAAAAACCCCAAAATACCCCCCAGACTCCAACAGAAGATATTAACAGTGGTTGTCACTAAGTAGAAATTCAAGATGGTCTGGACTTTAATCTTCATGCACTCATTTTTAAACCTTGTTACTAGCATGCACTATTTCTACAATTAGGACAACCAGACTAAATGCATTTAGACAAATAAATATGCATCATTCATAATTAATACTCTTAAAAAAAAAGAAATCTAAGTCACGTGCACATCATTTCCTCAGCAGGTTTACTTGGGAACTTCCTAGTTATGACTTGCTTAAGGTGAGAATAAAATTAATACGTGGTACCTGAGCACAGAGCAAAGATAAGAGGTTGGGAGGCAGAGAAGCAGGGCATGTCGCTAACTCAGGTCAGACCTGTCAGCTCGCAGCAACCCCGCGCAAGAAGCAAGCACTGACCCCACAAACAAGCCAACAAAGACTCACGTTACGACATTCTTAACATATCTCAAACAAGTTCTACTTTAAAAGAATGTTTTACTGTCTCACCTAAGAAGTAAGGAACTATTTCTTTCTACTTTTATTATCACGGAGAATTCTTTAAAGGACGTGGCAAAACCCAGTTCACACGCACCCACAAATGCACATGGCAAGCACGTTCTGAGCATCTGCCCTGCCAGGCACAGGGGACATGAGGGAACATGAGCCACCGCCCTCATCCAAGGAAGCTTATGTTCTAACAAGAGGAGAGGTCTACAGAAACCTCGGGGCAGGGGCTGGACAGCGGACCTGAGTGTGGGAAGGGGACAGCCAGGAAAACTGCTCTGCACACAGCAAATGGCCAGGGGCCCAGACAAGCATCTTTTGTGGCTGCTGTTTTTAACACAAATGGGGTCATGTGTTCTGCAGTTTGCTTTCTAACTCAACGCCACACCCCCTAGCACACCGTGTGTCTACGGAGCTGTGCGCATGGTTACGTCTTGGTCTAATGGAGCCCTCTGGTACTGATGTGCACCAGGTCTCTCTGCCTGCCACATCACCAATGCCGTGATGACACTTACTATTCTCAGGAATATCTGGGAGGGGAACCGTGTGTCCAGGGCAGGCACGCTCAGGTTGCAGACTGGACACGCATTCGCAAAGGCCGAGGCCATGTGGCAGAAGGGGAGCAGCACATACCTGTTCCCGGAGGCCGTGCACCAGCAGCTTCTCCGACTCCAGCGCGGCCTGCAGGGCCTGCACGAACTGCCGCGTCTGGCGGTCCTCCTCCTCTTTCTGCTGCAGGACCGCCTGCACCTGTGCGACAGCAGAGGCTGAGCGAGGGCAGGTCTGCAGTGGGGCCCCGGGGTGTGTGACATGAGGCCCTCGGCTAAATGCCCTGCATACGGAGATACTGGCCTGAGCTGGAACAGTCCCGTCTGCCCCACCAGGGCTCAGTGACAGGCAGTGAGGGCTGAGCTCGTAGGGGCTGGGAGGTGGGGTGCACGGCAGCCCTGGGCCTCCACGCGCACTTCTGCGCTGGGCCTGGTACCTGCAGGTTCAGCTGCACCAGGCCGGCCTCCCTCTTGGCCAAGGCCATCTCCAGGACGCTGTTGTGTTCCCGCAAGGCCGCGTTTGACTGTCCAAGGCCTGCCAGCTTCCCGCGCTCGTGCTCCAACTCCAGAGCCAGCTTCTTGTTCAATTCCTCAAGATGCTTAATGTTTCTGTGAAAGCCCCTCGATTCCTGAAGCTGAAACAAATCCCAGAGAGGTTCTGGCTGGCAGCGCCATCCCCTCACCAGACCCAGGACAGTTAATGCTGAGGCGTGCCAGAGCGCTGGCCGGTCTCTGGGCCCAAGCCCGCGATCCTCCTAATGGGCGAAGCCAGTCTGAACTGGCATCTCGGTATATGCGACCAGAGCCTTCTACCCAGGAGCGGCTGCCCTGAGTGCACGTCCTTGCCAGGGTGCTGGTGTTACAGGGTGGGGATGGGGGGGCGGGGCGGTGCCTGGCATCTAGCGGTGAAAGATCCCGAAGCAGCAGGCCGAGCGCGTGGCCTACCTCGTCCTGCAGCTCCAGCACCTTCTCCCGCTGCTCCTGCACTTCCTGGCTGGTCTGTGCGATGACCTCCTGCAGCTCCTTCTCCAGCCTGGCCTTGCTTTGGCCAACGGACTGCAGCTCCACCTCCAGGGCCTGGACCCTCTCCTGGCAGCAGGACAGAACGGTGGGCTGAGTCATGGCTTCCACATGCCCAAGATACACGCTGAGCACACCGACAGGTGACAAGCTCCTCCCACACCCCCTTTCCTCTGAAGAACTTAATTAACTGGCCATGTGCACACATCAGCGACTCACAAGCAGAATAATCTTCAGTTAAATGCTTGGGAAACAGGAAACTTCTCATTTGCAAGTAAGAGTTTTAAGTTGCTACCTGTGGCAATAAACCGCCCCAGGCACGGATCACCAACACCACATGTGTTACACACGCACGTGAACGAACTTCACGCCATGTCTTCACTTGGCTTCCTAATGAGGCCCTGCCACGTGCCCCACGCCAGGCTCGTTTTACTGAGGACCAAGCAGAGTCACCTGCCAAGGTCTCCGTCTGACAGGAGCTGAGCACAGGCAGAGTTGGGCGTGGGGGCCGGCAGTCCAAAGGCACTCACCCTGCCGGGTACCACGCAAGCCAGGGAATTCAAACAACTAATACGTTAGAGGAGAAGGGAGACGAACATGAGTAAATCTTCCCTCCCAACATTTACAAAGTAAGCAGGAGAGAAGCAGTATTTCATTTAATTCGGCAAGAAAGCACCACGCTATAGTCTCTTCCTACTCCTAACTTCTCAAACAGGGAAGACACACAAACTTCCTGCAAGAAGAAATACAATTACTAAACCTAAGTAAAATGACTCAAACCGGAGAGTAGAAAATGAAATGATAATTAATTTACTCAGGTAGACTTTTACACCTACCGGTGAAAGTGAAAGAAAACAGTCAGACCCAAAGCTGGCAAGGACAAGGGGTAGCATATCCCTAAGACGCCCTGAGGAAGTCTGTGCCTTCATCTCATGACTGTTCCCCCAACCCCCCGCCATGCAGCCTGTCCTCAGGGACATCCTGTTTATGTGAAAAATGATTAAAAGTTGAAGGCTTTGTTTGGCTCATAACACTAATGGCAGGACCACAGCGATCTTGCCAAGTCCCACACTGACTTTCCCTGATTCCTGCAGGACGATGCCATCCGTCAGTAGAGCCACCTGCACCCACCTCAATCTGGACACTGTGCACCAGCTTCCCCCAGTGGCTGTTTTCTATTCTCTCGCCTCCACTGGGCTCCCGCCATCCCTCTGCTGCTGCAGGAGCCTCGTCCGGGCCTTGCTGTCCTAGCCCATTGGTGTCCTTATTGACAGGAGAGCGACAGGTCTCACCCCGCTCTAGCCACCAGCCTACTGCTGTCACCTGCAAGATCAAATCCAAACTCCCTGACCCCGGCCCCTGACGTGGCCCTTCCAGCAGGATCCTTAGCCGTGAGACCTGCCGGGGGGGCATCCTCTGCTGAGACGCCTCACCAGATGCACCTAAGGCCTCCTGTTTATTCAAGACCAATCACATATTGCCTCTTCCAAAAAGGTGGTCTGGCTTGTCTAAACACTCACCCAAACTCTCTGGCCCCACTCATGCTGCTCAGAGATTCCTGCCCAGACACTGAAGGGGCAAGGACAAGGACAGCACAGGCAGGAAATGCGTGGGGACCGCCTTGACCCGAGCTGTCTGCCCGTACACCCCACAGATCCACAGGGATTAAGCCAGAGGACCCACATGCAGCTCAAACGTTGCCACACACGAATCCCACCCCTTTTCTAGACCATTTTATGAGGGTTTCGGGGGGAAATGATGTAGCACTTCACATCCCTACAGTGAGCCTCTGAGTCAGTACAGCAGACACAGGTACCCACGCGCAGTGTGAGGTCGCCACCACCTTCAGCTGCCCCGGCTCGCAGTTGGCTCAGCTCGGCCTCGGCCAACTCCCGGGCCGCGAGCGCCTCCTGCAGACGGCGGCTGAGGATGCCCACGGCGTTCTCGTAGGCCTTGTGTTTGGTCCTCATCTCCTTCTGGGCGCTGTTCAGGTCTGAGCCCAGCCGCTTCATCCTCTGCTTCTGCTCGGTGATGGCCCTAGGGCGTGGCGGGGGACACAGGCCACCTGAACTCACCATGGCACAACCACCTGGACTTGCTGGCACGGATAGGCCGAGCGTGTCTGCTTGTCCGTCCTCACCTGCCCCAGCTCCACCCTCTCCAGCTACTGAATTGTCCAGAATCCAAGACCTCATACGGGGTAGCGGTGGTGCCTGCAGGCGCAACACCAGCTTAAGCCTGTCCTGTCCTCTGGTACATGCCCTCTGACGGCAGACACGGTCCCCTCCTCCCACACCAATGTGTCCTGTGTCCTTCCTGAATGGCTGCAATACATTCAATGGACAGGCTGTCAGTCACCATCCACACGAGCAAAGCGCTAAGGACGTGCCAAGAGGGTGCCAGGCCCCACAAGGCTGCCTCCGCATGCGGGACGGGAAGAACGAACACAGACGTTAGCCTGTCAGGGAGCTGGCAGTCCAGCAGGCGCATGGCACAGGAACTGACAGGATAGCAAGAGCGAGGGGGAGGACCCCGTGCAGCTTGTGGCCCCTTACCTGGTGGCTTCTTGCTGCAGCTCTTCCATCTGCTTCTTGAGCACCTCGTTGGCCTCGGTGAGGGCAGCTGTCTGCTCCTTGTCGAACTGCAAAGACTTCAGAAGAGGGAAGTGGCCAGTGAGGAGGCAGAGCCTGTGGCCTCGCAGCCTGAGGCTTGGGACAGCACCCAGAGGAGTGGCCCAGGAAAGACCGGCTAGCGGAAAGCCACTGTGGTCCCCATGGGTCCCCTCCCCAGCTCCTCCCAGCACTGGCAGGAAGGGCCTGAACCGCCGTGGGCGACCTCAGGCCCTCCTCCTGGCCTTGTTCGCTGGCCCAACACCTGGACAAAGCACGCGGTCATGCTGCTGCAGGTGTCAGTGTCGAGCCCCTGGCCTCCCGCGGCTCTACCCATGCCCGCAGTCCGCGTCAGGCCTGCTCCACCTGCACTGCCATGGCTTCAACACCATCTGTTCCCCAAACTCTCAGCTCGCGGCCCCCAGTCGGCCTGCCCACCTGGGTCCTGCCTAGCCCTCTTGTGAGACGTGTCAACGGGGCCCTTGGGTCTTTCTCCCTCAATTTCTCACCTCAGCCTGGATGGGGCTCTGGATGGAGGCCTCATTCTCCCTGGCCGACAGAAGCCCCTGGCGCATGCTGCTCCCACCTCCTCGCTGGCCTCTCCTGGACCACAGGACCCTCATGCGTGTCCTTTGCTAGCTCCCACCGCACTTCCAGTCTAGGGCCCGAACCACCACTGTCCTGACGGCTGGCCTATTCCAGCATTCTCCTCATGCATGGCCTCACCTGCCTGGGACTCCGGGCCGTCCCTCAGACCCAGGTCACCCCTAGCTCTCAGCAGTCGATGCCCTCCAGTGCCTGGCCCCTCACCGATATACCCCCACCTGCCCCACCAGAATGGAGCTCCATGACCTGGGAGAGCCTCCCATGCCCACCCAGGGTAAGCCCCAGGTGATCGTGGCTGAACCTCCACGAGTCACAGCCAGACCTGCAGGTGCGTCTCCATCTCGTCACGCTCCCTCTGCACCGATGCAAGCTGGCCTTCGAGGGCTGCCATCTGCTGCTGGACCTGGGATGCCTCCTTCTGCAGGCGGGACCGCTCCGCCTCCACGGACGCTTTGTCCCCTTGGAGCTGCATCAGCCCTCGCCTCAGCTCCTTCACCTCTGCGTCCAGCCTCTTCTTCGTGGCCTTCAGCTCGCCAATGAGCTGGTCTTTGGAGGCGGCATCCCGGCGGTAGGCCTCCACCATCACCTGCTCGAGACAAGCTGCAGCCAGTGCGGGCAGGGCCTCCCCGGGGGCCAGGGGACTGAACAGGAAGGCTCACCACTTACCCGGGCGTAACATTTTTGGGCTAATGGTTAACACATTGCCCCAAACCAAAGACACCCCATCATTTTACGCTCCTGAACAAGTCTGGTCATGCACAGAGCTGCCATGTCAGCTGCTGGCACCTCAACTATTTCATCGTCTCTGGGATTCTGGCAGTTCTTTCTCCCCACAGCTGCCCTGCCTGGCCGCAGATGGGGGCCTCCTTGTGGTGTCTCAGGATTACAACCCAACACCACCAACAGCGCTCCCTTGGGTTGTCCCTCCTCAGATCCTTAGCACTGGTGACAGTGCACTCATCATTCAACAGTAGGCCCTGGCTTCTCTAAAATATAGTGGGCACCACGCCTGCACCATGACCTATGTTATGTCATTGCTGGGTCACAGTGAGGCTTTTCCAAACGTGTCAAACAGAATTTAGCCTGTGTGATAGCAATGCATGCTCTGAGGTGACAACTGGGCAGACTCTGTGTGATACAGAGGCTGAGCTAACTGGGGGTGTTAGAATGGGAGGGGTGAAGACGGCATCTTAGAATCAGTGAAGTGCCTTAAAATACTGAAGGCACCTAGACATCCCCTTCTCCCGATCCACCTGGTTCTGGTGAAGTGATTAAAACACACAGGATTGTTTTCACATAAAAGACCCCGACATCACTATTTTACCTTTTGTTGAAGAAACTGTTCCTTTATTTTCTGTGTCTGTTTTTTCAGAGTGGCGGTCTCTTGCTGCAGGTGCTCCACCTATGAGGACACGCGTGCACAGACGTTACACTGGTGGCGCCAGGAGGCCCTGTGCCTATGAGGACACGCGTGCACGGACGTCATGCTGGTGGCTCAGCTCTAGTCCTCTAGTCCCCAGGGTGAGGTGACTCTGGTCCCCGAGTCAGGGTTGGAAAAACCGCTTCCCAGTGAGACAGGAAGCCACCCCCACTCCCTCCCAGCTCTGTTTTTAGGATAACAACCTTAATCCGAGGTTTAGCTACCAGGGACTTTGTACTAACTATATAGGCAGAGCTGAAATATGATCAATAATACCCAGGACCAACAAACGTTTCTTCCAGAGGTTTCCAAGTTATCAGCCGAAGTCCCTATTACTGAGCTAACAGTCAGTAAAATCAAATCGTCAGAACGGCTTGCACACTTCCTGTAAACTCCGTCCCTGAGGGGTCTATGAGCTGCCTGAGCGTGTCCATTCTAGACAGTAACTCAGCTGGGTCCATGTCTGCACAGAAAACACAGCCGCCATTGCCTGACTTTCTAAAAGGAAAATGCTACTGATTTCCTCTTGTCCTGGGTGCTTATGGAGGGGGATCCGAAGACAAAAGAGTCCCTGAACCTGCAGGGTTTTGTTCCGTCTGTATTTTCATTTTTTTTTTTTTTAAAGATTTTATTGGGGAATTGGAGAAGGGGAACAGACAAGTTGCTGTCCTTTTGTTCTTCAGTCTAGTTGTGGAGGACGTTGCTTCACTAGCTCATGTTGGTATTATCATTGCGCTCTTCCCGGGGGAGGCAGTTGCTCACTGGCCATTGGATGGCAGCTCATGAAAGCGCACGTCTGCTACCGGCCAGCCCCACTGCAACCTATGCCATTGCCGGTGACTCATGGCAGCCCAGCTCCAGATCGAGGTATTGTTCACCATCTTAGCTGTAGAGGGCGCAGGGTCACTGGTCCTCATATGTGGGATCCGAACCGGGGCCCTCTGGCGTCCCAAGCCAGTTCTTAACCATCACACCACTCGGCCGGCCCCCCCATCTGTATTTTCTAACATGCACCTACGTCATCATGTCACACTGTTAGCACAGGGGCTCCCAGGTGTGGTGTGCTATATCATGTCCACACGCACCCAGACCCTCAGGCCGTCAACCCGCCCTCACCCGCCGATGCCACGCCTGTCCTGCTGACATATCCAGGGGCTCCCAGCACAGTTGGGCATACAGGAAGAAACACCCAAAAGTTCCACTCAGCTCTTCCCGTCTAAGCTCCATGTCATCCGTAGACAGAAACCAGTGTTTCAAAGCCAAAGCGAGACTCGGTTTCCCAGTTCTTGGTATGTATGTGCCCAGCAGGGCCAGAAGCACACCACGCCGTAGCTGGTGGGGCTCCCTGCACACATTGTTTCACATTTATAAAACAAGGTGTTCACAGAAAGGACCAGTCGGCGTTGGCTCTCACATGTAATTCTTAACAAAATGATGGCAAATGTAATTACCTGGCTGGACTTGACGGCTAAGTCCTGTCTCAGCTGCTCCAATGTTCCTGATGTCTGCTCGGCCCCTTCTTCCAGGCGTTTGGCTCCTCGCTCAAACTCCTCTGCGCCGCTCCGGGCTGCCTGCAGAGCCACCTCCAGGACAATCCTCTCGTTTTGCAGGAAGCGAATTGTGTCGTCCCTGCAGGCAGCCTCCCCTTGCAGCTCCTCCAGCCGGGCCTGCAGCTCGTCGAAGCGCACCTGCAGCTCACCCAGGGACTGCTCCCTGCTCTGCAGAGCCTCCTGGGCCGCGGTGAACTGCTTCAGAAGGTCCAGCTGCTCCTGCTGCAGGGCCTCGAGCTGCTGGTCTCGCTGATGCAACGTCACCTTCACCTGAAAATGGAGGAGCTTGATTCAATGTGGCGCTCTTGAACAAAAATACCGACCCGCTCCAAGAGATTACACTTTCTCCCTGGTCAGGTTTTAGGTGATTTGGATGGAAGCTTGGCCTGTATGTGAAGTTCTGGTGTAGAAGGATACCCGTGGAGTGAGTACATGGCCAGGTCTGCCATAGCAGCCAGGTCTGAGGGCTGACATTAAAACCAATTTGATGGACAGACCAGCACAAACACACATAGTAAGGCCAGTGCCTGAAGCCCTAGATGTCCATGGGAGGACAGCGTGTGCAGCCCCAGGCCATCAGTGGGAGGCCACGGTGGGTGCTTGCCTGATCTAACTGCTGCTCCAACGTTGCTGCTGAGGCCGCCACCTTCTGCAGCTGCTCCCTCTCCCCCTCCATCTCCTCCAGCCTCCTCTGCAGGTCCTCCTCGACCATCGTCTTCGCCTCTTGAATCTGAGCAAAGGCAGCTTCCTGATCCAACATGTCAGCCTGGGGTTCCGAAGACAAGAGGGTATTTTAAACTGCGGGATAACCTGATGGCCACTGAAGACTGAGCAGGAAAAACCGCCACCTAGATGAGGGGTCCTTGTCCATGACCTGCAAACGGAGGAGCCAAGCGCCACAGGGGACAGAAGGAGAACTCCCGCTGCCCAGAGACAGGCCACCCTGCCTCTTCCTCTGCCACGGTCCCCTCTATTACCCCTCAGGCCTGGAAAAGTGAGAAGCCAGCAGTTTAGGGGCTGGGACACAGGGAAGAATGAAACCTCGCACAGCCTCTCACATGAGGATGGGCTGTAGCCTGACCCCACTTGTGGGACATACCCTCACCCAGCATTATGTCCATACCACTTGGGAAAACCAGAGACCAGGGGCATGGGACAAACTGGAATTCTTTCCATTCTGACTATGCAGATAAGATCCTACATCCAGGTGTGTTTCTTAGTGACCGGGAAGGCCGACGTTTGTGGCACAGAACTGCCATGGTATGTCATATACCCTTTACTCTTCTCCACTTTTCCCCATAAGCCTACCGAGTCGGTATTATCACCCTCAGGGCTCAGGGGGCTTAGGAAACCATCCAGAGGCTCGCAGCTAAGAGAGAACAAGTATCGGGTCCCAATCAGGCTACTGCATCCCACTCCCCCTGGAAATGACCTGTGGGACAGCTGGCTCTGGTCCCCACAACTGCATATGTTGTTGGAGGATTAAGGAATAGAGTACGCTGAGTGCTCAGAGACCAGAGAACGCTTGTCAGTGCAGGCTCTGAAACGCTCTGGCATGCACTAACTCCTTCCTCCCTAGCCAGCCTCTGCCTAGCTGAGCGCTAGGACCCAGGCCCCGTGGTTTAGAGGACAGGAGCCAGGAGCCGCCCCTACCAATTCAACGAGATGAGCTCGCAGCGAACGTGAGGAATTGAATCCCCAAACCTGATCTTACAGGTTGCTCCGTATTTAAAAGACATACAAATGCATACACAGAACGTTAGTGCGTATGTATATATCTGTGTTCACATATGTTCTTAACTGTGACCAGTGTCCACAAATAGCCCAATCCCAACCTCAGAAGCAGTGCCCACAGGCATGGCAGCGGGCGTGTAGCCCACCCACCTCGATGCCCTGGAGCTGGAGGGCAATGCGTTCCTTCTCCTTGATGGACCTGTGCTGCGTTTCTGACAACTGGTGGGACAGGGACACGTTCTCGAGCTTCAGGTGCTCCAGGAGGCCTGCCTGGGTCATCTGTCCAACCTGCAAAGGAAAACCACAGGTAGAAAGGTGCTCAATTTTATGCACAAATGCAGACCCACCTCTCCCTGAGGCCAGCAGGGTGAGGGTCTCTGACCAGCGATGGCCCCGGGGAAGGCTGCTCCCCAGGACCCCAACACACAGGGCTGCAATGCCCACCGTCCTGCCAGCCACCTTATCAGGGCCTGCTGAGTTCTGTATGCCGAACAGGGGCAGCCTGGCAGGCCAGAGTCAGTGGTCATCACCCGAGACCTACACAGAGTTCTCACTGAAGGTGAGGGGCCTCATCTGGACGGCAGGGACACTGGGGGCTAAAGATCTATCTGCCCATCAAATGGCCTGAGCCAGCTGTGGCCAGGCCCATGGCACGCCCTGGCCTCTCAGTGCCTGGCTGTCCTATGCACTCACCAGGCAGACCCCGGCCATTCCCAGGACATGGCATTGGCAATCCAGCCCAGGGTCAGCCCAGGCCATCAGTCAGGCTTCCTCTGACCAACTGAGAGAGGTCAGGAAAAAGGGGCCCAAACTCACAGCACCCACCATGCCAGCCCCGGAGGAGGGGTCAGTAAAGAGAAGCCCGAGGACACACGGATCTGTGACGGATCTCCGAGCACTCCACTTCCAGGTCCTACTTGAAAACTCCTAGACTCATAAAAGTTTCAGGGTCTCAACAGAAGCTTCCGGAGCAAGGGAGATGCCATGTGCTGGGGTTGTGTCTCAAGGCAACGAAAGAATGGAATACCCTGCACTCTCCTCCCTCCTGGATGGTCCTGGGAACATGTCAGAGGGATGGATGAAACACCCCAATTAAGGAATGCTGAACCTGGGTGCCAAAGGGACTGGAGAAAACCAGCTCTGGCTCTCGCACGGCTACCCGACTCTCCTGGCTTTGTCTTCCGAACTCCACTTCTGACTTATGTCAGATGTATCAGTCTGGCTCCTCGAATACTTCATGCCTCATATAAAAGCACTGCAGCTTCAAAATTGCATTAAGTTGTAAAATGATTAATTTCTAAGTATGCTGTATACAGTCCTTTTGCTAAAATGTGATATAAATTTAAGAAAACTTGTATTTTGTACATTTGCAGACTTTAGATTTTAAAAAAAGGAGCATTTGGGGGCCGGCCGAGTGGCTCAGTTGGTTAAGAGCTCGCTCAAGAGTTTGAGCTCTGAGCAACAGCGGTTCGAGTCCAGCCCGAGCTGAGCAGCCACTGAGCTGCCAAAAGGTAGCAGGATGGCTCAGCTAAAAAAAATAAAATAAAAAAAAATTAAAAAAAGGAGCATTTGGTGGAGTTAGTGTTTTATATCCTCTACTTGAGAAATAGTTTTAATCTACAATATTCAATCTGAACCAAAAAATGGGGGTGGGGACAAAACCCACAGCTAAATTCAAAGAGAAGATAGGACGGCCAGGGCAGCCCTCGCACCCTCACAGCCGACCCAGGGGCCCAAAGCACTGAGATTCGGAGCAAAGTGCATTCCGGCCACCGCCGGCTGCTCCAAGTCCCCAGGAACCACGGGCCCGGAGGGAGTGGCCCAGCGTGGCTGTGCCCCTGGGCTGCACATGCTCCCGCCTGCTTGCACCTAACGAGATGAGAAAAAGAGAGGAAGATGTTTCCTGCAGGATGTGGGACAAGAGTGTCCACACAGGGACGGTCTGGTGACGAAGCAGCTGGAGAACGGAGCAGCTCCAGCCAGTAAGGTGATGCGTGCTGTGTGTCAGAAACAAGGTAACAGGAGGATGGAAGCCTGGGGGTGCCCTCAGGGGGGAGAAGTCTTAGCAGTCAGAGCTAGGAACACAGCGTGTTCCAGAGAGGGGCCTTTAGGATTCAACACACTCAGGCAGAAGCTGTTAAGACCCTGGGTCAGGAGGTCACGGAAGAGGGGCTGCAGGCTACACGAGTGGTTAACAGATTTTTTTGAAATTGCATCGTGAAATCTAAAAGCAGGAGTCCTGTTAATTCAGGGCAAAGCAGTCATTCCACACGAGGCGTGACTGTGACCTGCCCACCATGGGGGCCGTACCTGGATGTGCGCCATCTCGCCCTGCAGCCTGACCCGGGCCTCCTGGGCTAGCGCGAGCTGCTGCTGGTACCATCGCCGGGCGCTCTGCAGAGACGAGATCTCGGCCTGGGACGCCTGAAGCCTGCTGGTCAGTGTGGCACGCTCCAGCTGCACTTGCTGGAGCTGACTCTGTAAGGCCGCCATCTGCTGTCGCAGGTCATGCACTGGAAGCAAGAAAGCACAGCCACTCAGTCGGACCGCCGTGGCCAGGAGTGATAGCCCCTCCACAGCCGGCATGGCGGTGATGCTCAGTCGCGGTCCTACACCAGGGCGCCTGGGGGAAACACGGTTAGGTTCTGGCCCCGGCATCTCATTGTGTGTGTGTCCCTCTAACGACACGTGACTTCATCCGCACTGCTGATTGACAGCACCAAGCTCACAGTCGGCGCATGTAAGTCAGGCCTCAGCGAGGCTCATCTAACACGTCTTTTCTCCATAAAACATGTCACAGCCTCCTTGCACTTAGGGGCAACCCAGTGGGTTTCATTTTAAACAGCGAAACCACCTCAAAAAGCACAAAACTGTGAAAAAACATGGCCCTAAGTTTGAGGTATGAGAGTGGAAGGAGAAGGCTGGGGTGGGACTCTGCCTCAAGTGCAGTGAGGGCCGACCTCAGGCTTCCAAAAACCCTCGAGTGAGCAGGCGACTCGCCAGCAGGGAACGAGCGACACTGAGTGTCACTGTGGACCCCTGGCTGTGGTCCTGAGTGGCCTGGTGACGCCTGAGAGCCTGAGCAAGCTTGGGCACAGCACAGTGTTGCCAATGCCAGAGAGAACCCACTGGAGTGTTGGTACAGTCAGCTGTTCACACTGATGAGGGCAGGGCAGGGTGGGAGGTGGAGACAGGAAGTGACCGCCCGAAGCACAGTGCAGAAAAAAACAAATATTTTAAATTTAAAATAACACCCAGTATTTGAGAAAATATTTACCACTCTAAATGAGTTTCCAAAAATTGTGTAAAAAGTGACAAAATGACGATGACAGCTTGAGGCTCTGAGACCTCTTTCTGAATTCTTGGGGCCAGACATGTCTAGGAGTGCAAATGGCGGGGTTCTGGAATGGCATCGGAGATGTCCCTGCACGCACAGCGGGTGGACGCTGGCACTGTTGTGGAAAGGAGCTTCAACCTGGTGGGAGCGTGGGGCAGTTCTGCTGCCCTATCAGCTCCGGTCAGGTCAAGCCTTGCAACCCAGAATTACAAAATTACTTTTGAGTTTGGAACTTTGTGGATTTTATAAGTTTCTCAAAGGACTGGGTAGCGTAAAATGCTGAAACACTAAAAACATGCTCAAACACTAAAAACAATCTACTATTTTGTTTCTCAGCTGGCACTGTCTTTTTTATAGTTATCACATTAAAGCCTTTGAGACAGCAGTTGGTCACATTTTCTTTTATGCCATCAGACCTGAAACCTACTGTGACAAGCCTTATGGCCAAGATGCCACACTGAGAGACGGGCCCTTCACAGCAGCCCCACTGAGCCACGCAGACAGCTAAATCTGCCTGCGGTGGAGGACCCAAGCCCAGGCTGAGATGGAGATGTCCCAAGCAGGCGGCCCATCTTCCTAGCGCCCCCAGGGTGAGAAGACAGCATGGCACACGGGCCACGGTGCTCCGGCATGGCCTGTCACCAAGGTCCCCTGGACTCTGCTATCCTGCTTGGTCATTATCCAGGGGACTCCCACAAGGGTTTAGCTAGAGCCAAAGCTGAACTTAGGAAGGACAAATGAAGGTTTGTAATCAACAGTCTAAGTGTGTCTTTTCCGTACTTCACCCAGAACCTGCACTGCTGAGGAATCTCAGCTGTAGCCCCCAAATGGCAATGGACTCTGAGGGCAAAGTGAGTGGAGTGACTGCTCTCAAGGTCCAGAGTCCACTTATAAGACCTCAGGCCTCCCCTGTGCACGTGCAGAGACGGACACCACCCCAGGGCTGGGAAGGTGACCTACTTCAAAAAGGCGGCGCCCCCCGCAGCCCAGCACACAGGCAGGCCGACAGCTCCCGGCTTTCCCCAGGTCAACGCACCTGTGTTGTCCTTACTGAGCATGCTGCCCTGCATGTCCTCCACTTTGGCCAGCAGTCGGCGGTACTGCTCCTCTGCCACCTGCAGGTCGCTGTTGGAGGATGCCAGGCTGGCATTCTTGGCTTCCAGCATGTTCTGCAGGTCGGTCATGGCTCGCTCCAGGTCCCAGCAAGACTGCTTCAAGGTGTCCACCTCTGAGCTGAGTGAGTCTTGCTTCTGCTGGCTGCTGTGACTCTGCTCCACGTGTGCCTGCAGCCGGGCGTCCAGATGTGCGAGCTGCGCTTGCAGCTCCGCCTTCTCTTTAAGCGCCTGCAAAGGTCACCAACAGCACACTGATGCTCAGGCGACTGCCATCTCCACCCTGGGTATGAAGCAGCAGCCATAGCGAACCACTAACATAAGGAGAGGTGTGGCCAGGCGAGCTATGGAGGAGAGCACCGTGTTTTCCACACCACTCGGTCATCCAACATGACCGTTCTCCCCACAGAGGGCAGATTCTCCAGACAGGCCAAGGGGGCAGGAGGACGACTGGAACCTGCCTGCTTTCTGCACGGTGACATCGGAGCCGGGCAGCGCATGGGGATGACTATGTGAGCGCCCATCTACCCGCTAGGATGCTGGGAAACATATTTGTTCAAAACCCCAAAAACCGTGCAAGAACACGCACACACAGTAAGAATAGCAGAAGCCCTGGGGGACCTCAAAGATGGAGAGCAGTGAGGCTCGGACTGGAAGGTGGGCTGGCAGATGGTGTCTGCAAGGAGACACTGCTATTCCCTGGGGGGCTCTGAGGGCCCCAGCCAGGCCCCTGGGCATGGAGCGGCCTGTGGCATCTCCCTGTGCTGGGCGGCAGGGCCATGGGACCACTGTGTGCAGATAAAGCGGGAGTGAGAGGAAAGTGGGGCCTCTAGATGCCCCTGGCCCCGGGCAGCAGCCAGCAAAGGGCGTGCCCCACCCTACCTGAGGTCAGCCTCCAGGGTGTGATGGGAGTTGTACATCAACACACCCTAGGGCAAGACCAACACCTTGATCACACACTCCACCAACAACAGAACAGACACCCAGAGAAACCGCGTTAAGGGAGCCAGCGCAGCGGGGTTCTAGAGTAGGTGTGTGTTCACGGAGAAGCCACAAAAGGTCGCACCCGGGCAGCCGGCAAGGGTCTCGGTGTGGACACAGCTGAGGAGCAAAGCATTGTCCCAGGACGGTAGGGACACAGAGCAAAAGCAAGATAACGGGGTTGGACAGCCACTCAAGCGGAAACACGCTGGGTGAGCTGTGTTCTGAAGGAAAGTGAAGATCGTGCAAGCTCACAGGCCGTACGGTCTCGGCACAGCGGGCATCTGTGTCCCAGGACGGCACTACACACAGAGCCGCAGTAGACCTGAGTGGCGGGCACACTGGCAGAGTGAACAGCCCCTCCCCCCTCCCGAGAGAAGCACCCTTGCTACTGTGACCTTCCTGCCACCTTGCAGTGCCCGTGTCCCCTGCTCTCCATGCCAGATGGGACAGTTGGATTCAACTGAACTGGTTTACTCTAAATATCGACAGGAAAGCTGAAAATTAAGGGATGGAAATTGATTTTTCAGGCATGCACTAACCAGATAAAGCAAAGTTCATTGTCAGAAAAAGCAGAACCCACAGCAAAAAGTATTAGAGAGGAGGGCCAGCCGAGTGGTGGGTTGGTTAAGAGCTGGCTTGGGATGCCAGAGGGCCCTGGTTCGGATCCCACATATGAGGGTCAGTGACACTGCCCTCCACAGCTAAGATACTGAACAACAGCTCAACCTGGAGCTGGGCTGCCATGAGTTGCCGGCGACGGCGTAGGCTGCAGCCCCTGTGGCAGTGGGTTGCCATGGGCTACCGTGTGTAGCCAGCAGCCAGCGTGAGCGGCNTTCTGAAAAATTCAAAATGGAATTCTATTCCATATCAATTGGGAAGTTATTTGGGAAAGGGAAATGGCAAGGTAGTATAAGATGTCAGACAGGTTTCCTGGTTCCATCTAAGCTTCTCTTTTGTCTCTAAATACTTAACCAATATAGACCTGCCTGTGGCTATACTGGATAGTCTCCTTTGATTTTTCATTATTTTCTCTAAGCTCACAGCAAAATACTTTGGCAGTTTGTTCAGTATTCAATCTAATGGTCTTAAGTCTAAGGAAAGTTGGTAATTGCTTGGCAAATATTAAAGATAGAAATGCAGTTTGAAAATCTAGGGCCGGCCGAGTGGCACGTTGGTTAAGAGCTGGCTTGGGACGCCAGAGGGCCCCGGTTCAGATCCCACATATGAGGGCCAGTGACAGCAGCCAGCGTGAGCGGCCAGCAGACGCAGTGAGCGGCTGTCCAGAAGCCGGCGACTGATCTGCCTCGCCCAGGAAGAGCGCAATGATGGTCCCAACTTGGGCCAGTGAAGCAACGTCATCCACAAGTAGACTGAAGAACAAAACGACAGCAACTTGTCTGTTCCCCTTTCCCCAATTCCCCAGCGTTGTCCCCATCCTCCAATTCCCCAATAAAAATCTTAAAAAAAAAAAAAAAGTATTAGAGGGGAAAAGATGACAATTATAACGTGCCAGAAAAAGGTGAAATCCACCAAAAGAATTAAACTATTTGCGTTGTTTGGTATCTAAGAGCAGAACCAGGAATCTTCTAGGCACATCCTGAGATACAGGGAGACATGGAGCCAGCGCAGTCAGGCGGGAGGCTCACGCCTCGCTCCAAGGCTGACAAGTCAGGCAGACAGGCATGTGGTGCGGCGAGGCAAGCCCGCCATGGCTCGTTCTTAGATGGAAACTCTGGACCCAGCAGCCGGGAGGCACGAGGCACAGGGCACACCCACCAAACATCATTACCTGACTGGCCTCCAGTGACAGGGCCTCTAGCTGTCCTTCGAGTCTGATTTTTTCTTTCAGAACCTGCAACATTTCATCGTGCGTTTCAGCCACAGAACTCTCCAGGGACACGCTGGAGGAAGAGGCAGAGGGTCAGGAGGTGGGAACAGGAGTCACCGTCCTTGGCCGCTTTTCCAAATTCCGCAAACCCTACTGCTCCCCCCCCCTCCCATTTTTTACAATAAAGAAGTAAAAAGATTTCAGTGGAGAGCTGCCAGTCACCGCCCCACCTAGACACCCAGAGCCGGGCAGTTTCAGCCACGACGCATGTGGCTAGAATGGCCCTAAGAGAATGTGAGCCCCGTCAGCAGGGCCAGCTCAGAGGCAGGCTGCACAGGCCCCGGAAGAGCCGGTCCTGACACTGAAGACGGACACTGAGTGGCTCGCGTTCCCTTCTCACAAGCAGCAGGTCTGCATGTAAATGGCTCGGTACAGACCAGGATGGAGTGAGAGATGAGCACCGGCTGGGCCGCCCACCTGCTGCAAACGCTGTCTGCCGGGCTCCGCGTCGTCCCATTGGCCTCCCGGGCCCGATTGTGCTGCTCGGCTGCGGCGGCCTGGAGGACGTCCGAGATGGACGGGAACTGGCCCAGGGAGCTGGCGGCAATCTCCTGGCCACCAACCACATAGGAGGCTTCACGTATGCCCATGGTGCTCACCGGGAGGCCGCCCACCCCTCTGGTGGACACGCTGCTATACGAGGAGCTGTCGCTCTCATTCCCGTCAGCCTCAGATACGTCGTCTCCCATCAGAGACGCATTCTCCAGGCGGTCATCGGCCTCAGGACACAGGCTGACCGCAGACACCACTGATGCTGCGCTGTTTTGGTTTTGCTGCAGGGAGCCCCTGGCAGAGTCCACAGCCGGAACACTTGCGCCAGAACTCCCAACGTCTGCGTCTTCAGTTCTATAGTCAGCCAGAGACCGAATCTTGCTGTATCTGGAGCTTTTTCTCTCCTTTGGATGTGCCAGGAGCCCTAAGCTGCCCACCTTGGGCCCCCGAGGGACACTGGTACGCAGGAAGGAGTATTCCTTTGTCATAGCCACGGCACTGGCCCTTGGTAAGGTTTCTGGGTTCAACATGAGCTCAGGGTCAAGTGTGCTGAAGGGTCTTGCTTTAGTTGCAGGTTGACTGGACTGAGAAAGAAAGAAAAGCACAATTACATTTACAATCGACAAGCAGCATTTAAAACTTGGCATCCGGAAAGGCTGCCGAGCACGCTCTCCCCACGGACCCTCTGTCCCCAGCGGTCTCACTGCCTCCTGTCACGTCAGTGACCAGAGCGAGCACCTGTCTTTAATGGCTGTGGCCTGACCCCCGAAAACACCTTCTAGAGCTGGTCCTCGCCCATCAGACCTCCTTTATCACATGTCCTGGCTACTCTCCACGTTTACTCTTTAGATAGACTTGAAAATTTTCTTCAAGTTAAAAAAAAAGGCCCATTGAATTAGAGCTATCTTAACTTTATAATTACTTACAGGACAATGAGCTGTTTCCCTCCATTTATTCATCCTGCTCACATGTCCTCGCAAACAGTCATTCAGTGTTCATCTAGAGTCTCAGCCTCAGCCATTTTTATTGCCATTTTAATTGAATGCTTAGTTCATTGTTTTATTGTTATTATAAGTTATTACCTTTCCCCACTAATATTATAACTGGTCACATGAAGATAACAACTGATTCTCAATATTTGTATTTTCTGAACCATAATTATTTTAACAACTTTATAATACTTAATAAACTTGTAATAATAATTTTATACTTGATTCTCTAGGGTTTTCCAAGGCATCACCATCACCTGCAAACAACACGTCTCCTCTTTTTCAATGTTTACATTTCTTACTTATTATTCTTACATCATCATATTAGCTAGAACTTCCCTAGTGGCCTTATATGACATTGGGATGAAGGAAGACGCTGTTGCTTATTGCTATTTCAACGTGACTTTTACAGAGAAGTCATCAATCCTGCATTATTCTACAAAGTCAGAGCAACCCTAGTGGGGTGGGGGACAGGGAAGAATGAAAAACATCTCAAAGTGATACTGGGATTAACTGGCAGAAAAACTGAGCAAGAGTAGCCAGAACAGAATAAGGGGCATGGGGCAGGGTGGACTGGACCCCCAGATGTTGACACACACTGTAAAGCTGCAACAGTCAGATCCCCGAGAACTAGAAAAGCAGCAGACAGGCTGATGACACAGAGCACAGCCCAGGAATTGCCCGAGGATGGTGACTTTGCAGATATGTAAGGAGCACCCCAGGAGGCAGCAGTGACCATGGGGGAGAGAGACGCCCAGAGCCACAGTTCCCTCTTGGGGAAAACAAATGGCCAACCCTGATGGGGACTCATCACTACTAAACATTTACTGAAAGCTTTTTTTTTTCAGCTGAGCCATCCTGCCACCTGTTGGCAGCTCAGCGACAACTCAGCTCGAGCCGGGAATAGACCCACTGATGCTCAAAGCTCGCACTCTTGAGTGAGCTCTTAACCAACTGAGCCACTTGGCTGGCCCTTCACTGAATGCATTTATTTTTAAAAGTTAATTTAAAATTCTTTTTTTTTAAAGATTTGGTTTTTTATTGGGGAATTGGGGGGATGGGAACAGCGCTGGGGAATTGAGGGAAGGGGAACAGACAAGTTGCTGTCTTAGTTCTTCAGTCTAGTTGTGGAGGACATTGCTTCACTGGCCCAAGTTGGCACCATCATTGCGCTCTTCCCGGGCGAGGCCGATCAGCTGCCGGCTTTAGGACGGCCGCTCATGGTGGCTGCTGGCCGCTCACGCTGGCTGCTGGTCACACACGGTAGCCCATGGCAACCCACTGCAGCAGTGGCTGCAGCCTATGCTGTCACAGGCAACTCATGGCAGCCCAGCTCCAGGTTGAGCTGCTGTTCAGCATCTTAGCTGTAGAGGGCAGTGTCACTGGCCCTCATGTGTGGGATCCGAACCGGGGCCCTCTGGCATCCCAATCCAGCTGTTAACCATCGCGCCACTCAGCCGGCCCTAAAATTCTGTTCACTTGAAATTTTTAAAGTCCACAGAAATGTTGGACAAAGTGAGAAACGAACATTCCCTCTTGCCCGGAGTCACTCAAAATGATTTATAAGCTGCTTTTATCAGCAGCCTGACAAGAGTTCTGTGCCCGAGCCGGATGGATGACAGCACATCCTACCGGCATGCGTATCGGGTGTGTGTGACACGGCACATATGCTAACTCTGCATGCCAAGTTCAGGAGAAACTGTACCACACATAAAACAAACAACGAAGGAGGCCCAGAACCAGCTGCTCGCACACAGAGGAACGACACCCACGAGTGTGCTGTCTGCAATTCCAACGGCAGGTGTAGGAGTAAAACGTGCTTCCTCCAGGGGAGGTGGGCAGACAGGCAGGACCCAGACCCCTGCTGGAGTCTCCCCAAGGGCTGGGGACCGGAGGATGGAGGGTCTTTGTGCAGAAGTATAGAAGCCCACCCAGGACTGCACCTGGCAGCTCTCCACACGTGAGGACTCACCCTTTCCTGATGGCGCTTCACCCTGTACTGTGCCAGCTGTTCTTCCAGCCGCCTCTGAGCCTGCAGTCGGACCTGTTCCTCCTTCTCCAGGGGCACTGAGGCCTCTGTTGAGCCTGTGGTGGGGAAGCGGCCATTCAGAAACTCACAAAGCACCAGTGCACAGAAGACAGGTCAGAACAGCAGTGTGGCTGTTCTGCATTCAATTACCAATGGATTTAGCTTCTAAACAAGGCACGGCTGTCCAGTTTGGAAGGACGACTTCCAGATAGAGAAAAACCTGTGAGCCTTGGACACTGGCCACAGGCCACAGGCAGGACCTACCCAGGGTCTGCGCTCCTGCCATGAGGGCATCACTCCCTATAGCACCAGCTGGCACAGCAGGACATGGGCGACTGGTGCCTTAGTGACAAGGCAACTGCGTTCAGTTGGTGCTGTGTTAAGCGCTGAGGCTCAGGGGTCCTCGGACCTCGCCGAGCTCTAACACTGACCTCTGATGTCACAGGAATGAGTGAGGAGCAGTCCTGATGGAATTACACTGTCACGTGGTCATGTCACACCAAACGTGCTCTCTTTATGCAGCTACATTTGGAGATATAGTGTGATCCACAGCTTACCTGAATTCCTGCAATAATGACTCATGTTATATTTTTGGCCAATAACAGGCTTTAAAATATCGAAACCCAAGCCTTTTATTTTGGGTAATAAAGGGCTGAATAGTCAGTGCAATGGTACAGCAGTCACACATGTCTCCCCTTCAGCACATGTGTGTGGAACACTACAGAGGGGACATGCTGATGAGAGCAGGTAATGTCCTAATTTGACCTCCTTCAGATGTGGGCTCTCAGGAGACGGGCAGCTGTTGTTTTAAATGACCCCTGAAACCTGAGCAGTTGCCAACAAGTTCACCAGGAACCCACCAATGTTGTTACTAATTTGTGCACTATCACTGAAAAGATCTCTAGTGCTTTTCACCAGGCCAAGTGGTCCAGGTGGCAGAAACCCAAAGGTCAGGAACCCGAATCAGCAAACAAGACTGGAGACACGGCCTAGGGTCAGGGTGATGGGCGGACACTTGCCCAGAAGGCAGCGGCAGCCACAGGTTGTTGCCATGTGGGCACCTGGGGCCAGAGCACACCCACCCCTCAGATCAGGAGTACAGGCCTCTACACGATGTCTCTTGACTTAAAATGTTAACAGTTAGTTTACAGAAAATTTAAAACACACTACGGGGGCCGGCCAAGTGGCTCAGTTGGTTAAGAGCTCGCTCAAGAGTGTGAGCTCTGAGCAACAGCGGTTCGAGTTGAGCTGAGCTGAGCTGCCAACAGGTGGTAGGATGGCTCAGCTAAAAAAAAATAAAAAAACAAAACAAAACACTACAGCCCCAACAAAATAATGCCTGTGAAGAAAAAGCAAACAATCCAAAAGAAAATGGGCCAAACATATGAACCGACAGTTCACAGAAAGAAATGGCCAAATGGGCGGCAGAGAAAAAGATGCTCGAACCTCCAGTAACCGGGGAGCTGAGTTGCAAGTTATAGTAACAAGGAAGCATCAGCAGCGGTAAGGCTGGCGGAAAGAAGCCTGTCCCCGAGGACGCGAGAGGCAGTCCTCGCATCATCAGGCACGGCAGCAGGACTCCCGTGAGGTTTTGAAAAAGCGCCCTTCTCTGGCCAAGAAGCCTGCATCTGGGGTGTCCCCAAGGTTCAAATGCGCTGCCGCTCGGGCTCCCGGGCAGCCTGGCCAGAATGCACGTGGGGATGCAGCAGACAAGAGGCACTCTCGGCACGGCAACACCAAGTGAGAAAACGTGAGCACATAATCACATTTAAAAACATGAGCCCAACCGGCTGTTTAGAGGCCTGGAAGGGACCCTGTGAGAGGGTGCTGGGATGAGACACTGAAGGGGAGGGAGCAAGGGGTGAAAGCAACATGTGTGTCCTGGTCCCATCAGGTAAAATCTCGGGCAAGTAGGTGGGAGACAAAGGCCTGGTGCTTTCTTGGGCTCACAGGCTGCCAGTGTGTGACTTGTTCAGCCCTGAATCCCCAGGGATCAGCACAAAAATAAACGCTGATTAAAGTAACTCGTAAAAGAAAGCTTTCAAAGTGTAAGTGTCGAGATCAATTTCCCACTGGCTGCCTGCTCCAGGTGGCAGAAGATGCACGCAGGCCCACCCTGTAGGTCAGACCTTGAGCACCACGGCCAATCCCGGACCATGCAGCGCCGTGGCTCTGTAAAGTGGAGCTATCTGATCAACGCACAGTCCACCAGTGACAAAACAGACCATGGCAGGGTGACGAGCAGGGAGCTGGTCAGGGCCCGTGCCTCTGAGGGGCAATGAGAGGCAGGGGCTCGGGAGGGGGCTGGGAGAGAGCGGGGAGGAGCCGGGGGGAAGGGATGCTTACACAGTTGAGTTTCTTGCATAGGAAGACTCAGCCTGAGAGACTGCAAAGCTTCTTTTCTAACACTGCCCTCAGCACTAGTCCCCTGAGACTTCCTTAGGTTGTCATGGAAACCAGCCACACCTGGAGGGGCATCAGGACCCACTGGGCTCTTGGTGGGACCGAGAGCCGCTGGAGGGTCTGAGAACTGTGGCGTCGGCCCATTCTCACAGGTGTTCCCCTGGCTGGGTGTGCCCCGGCTTTGTCCTCCATCGGCAGCTCGGTTTGCTTCGACACTGGCACCTAGAAGAGAGAGAACAATGGGCTATCAGGATCGCAACACCCAGATCAAGGTGTTTTCCAGACACACAGCTAAAACAGGAAGAGACAATCTAGAAATGTGAGCACGAGCAAACCTCACACCCTGTCTGTTCCCTCTGAGAGGACAGCAGGCCCTCATTTTCCTGCGGGCGGGGACAGGGGAATGAGTCGCCTGACCTTTCGGGGCGACAGTCTCATCTCCGGATGCCCCCACCCTCCACTTGGGTTGAAGAATTTAAGTAGTAACGTTTCCTTTTCTTCTGAACGAGACCAATGAGAAACCTGATGAAACTTTTAAAAAAACAGCAAAAGGAAAATGCTTAAAGTATAGCTGACAATGTGTCACCACAGTACTAATCAGCCACAGCCTCATGTTCAGAAAGGGCTGATTCCAGTCATTTCGGAGCATAAATGTACCGTCCAAAATGAGAAACCTGAGGCCAACAGCGAGTCTGGCCAGTGACAACTGCACACCCATTGCGAGCTCAGCTTCCCCCACTCTCACTATCACATGTACACTTGTTTACACACTAAACCTATTTCCTTATCCAATGGAGAAACGGAAGAAAGACTTCTTACGTAGCCCCTCAACCTGGTGGGCCAGCCAGTCGGCAGATGAAGAACCAAGATGGCATGTGCAGGGAGGAAGGGGCTTCCAGACGGGGCTCCAGTGGTGCCCTGCCCAGCACCGCCTGAACCTCTCAGGGGTCTGTATCCCCTGGGTCTGTGACATCCCAGCATGCACCCAGGAAAGTCCCCTTTGCACAGCAAATTCAGAATGGGTTTCTATCACTTGAAATGTGAGTCCCAACTAAGACGGCTACTCAGTCACCTCTCCCTGAAAGGGAGACCAGAGTGCCAGTGGGCGCCACAGGCATGAAGCAGGGTGAGGGGCCCGACCACGGCCCTGACACGGCGGTCGGCCCTACACACCAGCCCTTTCAGCTCCACTGCGTGTGTGTGCGCGCGCGTGCGTGCGTGCGTGTGTGTGTGTGGTGGGGGTTGCCGGCATTTCAGATACAAGCTAATCACGATATTACTTCCTCATGTGTTTACACATCTGGGAGAGTCTGAAACCTTACTGTTTGTGTAACAAAGTCGTTTTTGAGTATCATATTGCACTTAAAAACATATTTGAAAGTAGGAAGGCCCAATAAACAAGACTACTGTTTCTGAACACAGCCTAACTGCGGACAAACAGATAGCAATGACAGACGTGTCCCAAGTCCTGGTTTTCCGTGTGCACTTCTGGTGTCACGACGTCCCTAGAGTACGGGCAGCACTAGTCCTCTGTCCTACACTAGGAGACAGGGAGGCCTCATCGTGATTCTTAGTGGGCCTCAAAGCTGGCTCCCCATCCGTCTGTCCACTGTGGAGCTTTTGGTCTCGGGCCCACGGCGTCACCGGCCTCAGCTGGCATGCCAGGAGTGCCATCAGAACAGCTGTTTAGGTGCCTGAACATTGTTTCACAAGAACCAGAATGCAATTCTGCTATAAATCACTACACGCCCTGCCATTTTCAGGCACACGCTGCACTGACTTTCCTGACCAGGACAACGCAGGAGGACCGAGTAGCTCACCTGTGCTGCTGATGCACAAATACCCCAGCAGCTGACAGGCACTCGCACTCCAATAACTCTCAGGTCACTACTGGACCTTCCTGGATCCTAGTCAGCACGTAGACTGTGAAGCAGGGAACAGGCCCTAAGGGGAGCGTGCCCCATCCCACTGGAGCAGACAGTGTAACACCCCTATCCTGCTCAACATGCATGGTGCCCGACTGGCAGCTGGCTTCAGCTAAGGAGATCACTCATCCGGTTACTGAAAACGCACTTTGAATGAGCAGCTCACCATGGTCTTAGACAGCACAGTCCTCCGAAGCCCAAGCTCAGCCACATCCTCCTGTTTAAAGGCAAAATGTCAGCAGCACAGAGCAGCTGGTGACTTACACTGAGCTTCATCCCACTGGTCAGGCGGTGCCAGCGAGCCTGAGGGCGTCAGGATGGCGTCGCGGTGAGGGGAGGTGCCGCCGCTGGACCCATCCTCCAGGGGGCCGGCCTGCATGGCTGGCGTACCATCCATGGTCACGATGACACAGGCTGGGCTGACACTCGGAGGCTACAAGCGAGCTGCTGGCAAGTTCGGTTTCTGCCATCACCAATAGTCAAGAGCTCCTGGGAAGGGCAGCACTAGGTTTTCCATTTTCGGGAGACTTAAAGTCTCATAAATGGCTCGAAATCAAAGCAAGTAATATCATGACACCTGATAGGAGGGAAAAGATAATATTATGCAACTTCACCTGTCAGATTTTAAGTAACAATTCCCAATTAGCATCTGTATAATATAATAAACAAATACAGACTGATTCATTCAACGAATCATCCTTGGCACCTAGGGCATCCTAGGTTTTGAGGGTAAAATGCTGAACCAGCCATCCTGAGGGCACCTACTGTGGTCACTAGTGCTGGCTAAAGATGGTTCTGCAAAGACAGAGCAGCTCCATAAATGGCACTGACATCGTCACAGGTGGCCACTGAGCTGGGGGGTGGTGCTTGAACACCTGAAAAACTGAGGTTTTATTATTTAAATGTGACTAATTTGAGAGTAAACACTGCAGGTACCCTAAGTGCTCACAAGACAGGCTTCCCTTTCGGGACCCCTGGCGGGCTGGTGCCAAGGCCACAGCTCAGAGCCTCAGGGGCAAAGTCAAAGAAGCCAGTGCAGGGGACACAGTGACTGCACCGCACAGGGGGCGGAGGAGCGACGGAAGGAAGGGCAGCACAGCATGTGGACAGAGCATTCACGCAGGGACCAGCCAATCCTTCACTTGTAGGAGGATCAGCCGCCTTTTAGCCCATCTGCTCAGCTCGGTTTAAAGGAGCAAAACTTTACCCAAAGTTTGGCGACTGCTTATCGCTGCTGAAGTACGCTAAGGATGTCATCATCTGATCTCATCCACAGATGAGGTGCGGGCTAGTATTCACTGTGCAGAAATGTTGGCATTTACTGCCCTTAAAATAAGTTTCATGTTATCCTCTGTTCTGTTCTGTTTCCCATGTTTCAGCACAAAGTCACACGACTTTCCTTTGCAGCTCACCAATCCCACACATTTTAGGTAAGAGCCTAGCGGTGGCCCTCACAGAGGGGGCAGTAGGGTGCAGTGTGCCTGGTTCTCCAGAAGCATGTACCCTGACAATCCTCTCTCATCCTATCATGGGTGAGCAGGCACCCACTGTGGCTGGCATCACTCGCCCTGCCCACACAGCTAATGGCCAGTCATGGACTGTCCCTTTGCGAACCCAGGAGTTGGGCTTGCAGCTCTAATAACCCACACATTCCTCTCGCTGTCTGGCCCCTTACAGGCCAAAGACACTGTGGGTTAACATTAGTGCTAGTAGGAATATAATAGAGCCGTATCTACTACTAAGCGTGAAACTAGCACCTTGGTTAGCACTAGAAAGGACTGCTGACAGACACGTGTGGAAACACGAGGAACCTGAATCCACAGCAGCTCATGAAAAAAGCCCTGGGCACCAGTCCGGTTCCTGGAAATACTCAAAGATTGAAGCGACGTCTGATTGGAAATGAAAGGAGTTACTGAGGCTGGCCAGAACCTGACCCTGTGTACAATGCATTCTCAATCTCATTTTTGTCTCTACAGTAACTGGTAACCTCTTTCATCCCCGAGAGACTTTCCAGGTGGGAGGGGAGGGAAGGAGGGAGAAGGGGCCCTGGGAGGACCCACACCTGTACTTGTACCTTCCACAGGCCCCTCTGAAAAAAATCACCGTTTCCCAGGCTCCCGGCTTCATGGAAAACCACCACAACGCCCCGGAGCCTGCCTCTCAGCCACAACCCCAGCAACCCCTGGGCTGGCTGGTGGGAAGTTGGCCAGGCCAGGATGACATGCTACAGAGATGCCTACAAGGCAAGGGAGGCACGTTAGCAGCACAGGATGGCCAAGCTGTCCCCTTCATTGCAGCCTTGCCACTTCAAGGACAGACGATGACAGACAACACGTAAAAACAGTAGGGAGCATGGAATCAACTGTCACTGCATATGGCATCGCATATGTGCTGGCCATTCCAATGAGTCCCGTAACAAAACAAAACGTCTGTATTTTGCTCTGAAATGTGGGTGCAGATGTCCAGGCCACCGCTGTGCTCCCTATGATGCGTGAAAGGATGACAATGACAGATGAATGCTAGTCAGGCGGAAGCTGGTCCCTCTGCTGTGGGTGGCCTCCTCCCCTTGACCGCCAGGCAAATTCCCACGGATCCCTCCCTGTCTACCCGCAGGCGTGGCTCCCGACTCTCCTGGCCTCAGGTACAGCGCCTGCCTGGCCCACGCCTGTCTGCACAACACGCCTGTGTGCACATCCCAGGTAAGAGCCTGGAGGCAGAGGCCACCACTCTGGACTGCCCAGCGCCTCGGACATCCCTATTAGAGTGCTGCCCAACCTACCACCAAGTCCCACCACTTAGAGCCCAAACTAGTGGTTCCACAACAAGATGAGTGTTTGCATCCGGGAGTGTCGACACTGCCTTTTCGAGTACAGAAAAACTCTAACTATTCCTACTCCAAGTACCTGGGAACTATACTTCCAATAAGGGACAAGGGTGAAAGGACACCCTAGGCCAGGTAGCAGTGTCACCTGGGTGAGAAAGGGGAGGAGCACAGCCTGTAGGACCGCAATTACCTACTAAAGACAGAACATGCCAGACAGAGATGGGAAGTAGAGGGGCAGCCAAGGAGCTGCAGAGAGAAATGTGCCACTGAGGCACGTGGTGACAGCACCTGGACTGATGCTGCCCAAGAGAGGGAACACTGGCTGAGATGTCCGAGGTCCACTGCTGAAGGCACGCCAAACACGGAGACAAATGTGTCAGCTGTCGGAACCCGACTCCATCACATACTCCAATCACTGAATTCCCTCTTCGGATTTCTTGCTAAACAAGAGACCTTTGATGCCCAAGCAGTCCCCCCTCAGGAGAAGGCTGGTGCAGCCTTCCAGAACACGAGACCCCGTGGCTGGGGCTTGTTCTGTCACTCATGAAGATGGCTCCTGTTCCCACATGGCTCCTTCTGAAGCCAGACAAGACACAGAGCTCACTGACTGCCCAGAGTGGCCGCTGGGGGAGCGATACTTCTCCCTGTGGGTAAGAAACTGGCATTGTCTGTCATCCTCAGCCTCATGTGAATTTTACTTCGCATGACTCAGTCGTTCGGGGCCTCATGACCTCAGACTGTTGACAAAAACAGGACGAGGAGGAGGGTCAGACAGCTGGGAGCACATCACAAGGAAGCTGTTACTAGTAACATGCACTCCGTTTTGTGATTAGAAAAAAATAAAGACGTCAGTCTGATTACAGCCCCATTACTTGCTCCCTGCACTCGCTGTTTCCTGGAGGGAACGGACAGGGTGAAGCTGTCACTTAGAACTGCACAGTGTTCTTAACTCTAGGTTCAACCCTGTCTGACATCAAGGGACCACACGCACTGAGAAACCACTGTCTCAGGCCTCTAGTGACCTGCAGGCCCCCCCACAGCAGAGCATGTGACTTCGGCACAACACATTAATGGCTCCACCCGCCCCTCATTTCAGCTGTTCCTGTGGGCAATCATAAACAACAGAACATGGCCAAGGATAACACAGAATTTCCTTGAGGAGATCATGTCCAATTGAGGCCACACTAGCAATCAAAGTAAATGGAGACCGATACACAGTGAAAACCCTGTCAAGCTTCATGTCACTGTGCAGAGTGCTTGCTATGTGAAGGACAGGCTCGGGCACCAGACATCTCGGCTTCAAATCCTGACTCTTCCACCTTCAGCTGTGAGGTCATGGGCAGAGTTCTCAACCTCATCAGTAAGATCGTAAGAAAAAGAACACAAAATTTTTGCCAGGATTAAACACAACAATGCACAGGGTCTGTCCCAAGCCCTCAATAAATGGTAGCTCTTATTAATTTTCCCTTCAATTGTTGCTTGCCAAGGTGGGTAAACGCCAAAGGAATATATCCTCACTCAATAAAGTATATTGCTGCTTAAGGCAACTAGCCAAAAAAAAAGGGGGGGAAGGGGGCACTTCTGAATCTGAGTCATATCAGATGACTTTTATTTCCTTTTTTCACTATTCAAGATAGACTGTAACTGAGAGCTATTACTCCAGAAAACGGTTATGTTTGTAACAGTAAAGGGACAATTCAAAACTTTAAAAATCCATGAGTCACCTGCATACAGTTTACAATGTCCCAGTGGTTTCAGTCACACTGACAATAAAATCCAAGTCTATTACCATCACCTAGGAAGCTGCATACCATCTGGCCCCTCCCCGCAATGCACCCCCTGCCCTAGCACTTTCCTCCTCTCTCATTCCACCTTTGTCACATTTGTCTTCCTAATATCGCCAAACTTGCTCCTCCCTCAGGGTCTTCACATTTGCTGCTCATTCTGCTGGAAACACGCTTATTCCACAGCTTTGCATGGCTGGCCTCCTGTCCTAGGGGCCTTGGCTCAAAAGTCGCCTCCCCCCCAAGCCCCTCCTCTCAGCGGTGACCCGCCTTACTGTCTGGAGCCCTCCGCTAGGATGTGCGCAGTGAGGGCAGGGGCCCTGACACGACTTCACCCCTTGTATTCCGGGGCCTACAATGAACAGCGCCCGTCACACGACTGACAGGCAACAAATGTGTTGAACGAAGCCTGAGCCGTTGCCCTGCTTCACACCAGTGACAGTGCCGGCCCACCCCCTTCGGAAAGTGTCACTGCACCGGAGAAACACCGCTAAGCAGCCGGGGACGAGGTGGAGGGACAGACACACCGATTCTTTAAACCTGGCTTCACACTGACCACGCGACACCACGTCACGCTTGTCATCTGGACAGGAATTGTGCAAAGGGGCTCACGCGCTGCCTGGAGGTTTCTACGCAGCTCCAACAGCAGCTGCGGGCACCTCTGGAACTAATCACGCCCCGTCACGCGTAGACAGCGTTCCGGAGGGCTCGAAGGCGAAGACATTTACGAAGCCAGTTCTGCTAACACCGGCTTCCAGGCCCCGAGCTACCAACGGTGAGGAGCGGGACTCCCGCGGGGCGTCGCCGCTCCAGGTGGAGACGCGGCCGGCCCTTGGGGCCCGCCCAGGCCCCGCCGCCCCTCGCCCGCTTCCCGACCTCCGCCCCGACCGCTCCGTGGCCCCCCGGGCGGCCCCGCGCGCTCCTGGCCGGAGTCCCGGCCTGGGAGCTTCCCGCGACCCTCACCCCGACGCTGAGGAAGCCGCGGCAGCGGCCCGGCTCGGCTGCTTAGCGGAGACGTGGCCGCGCGAGAGGCGGGGCGGGGCGCGGCGCGCCGACGGCCTCCGGCCCCCCGGAAACAGTCTGTGCGCGCTGCTTCCGTTCCGGAAGAGAGAACGTCCTCCTCTTGCCAACAGCCGGCCTCGGGCCGGGGCTGCTCCTGCCGCAGGGCCAGGATAAAGCCCACTCACCACTGGCCCGAGGCAGATTTCAGAAAGTAAGTTTGCGGCTCCTTCCCGTATAGAAACGCAGCTTCCTGACTTGTAGGACCAACTCTGAGAGGAAGCTAGACAGTTGAGCTTCCGGCGGAAGTGGCGTGTCCTGGGCTCTGGCCCCACTCGCCCCGCCCGATGTCAGATTGTGGGCGTGGCCACCCTCCCGCCTTTGGCCTGCGGGGGCGTGGCTAGGAAAGGCGGGGTGGGCGTCCTTGCGTCGCGGAGGTAGGGCGCCGAGGCACCTGCGCACCCCAAAACGCCAGTCTCCCACTGCGTCAGTCCTTACTTATCTTTCAGGTACCAATGCAAAAGTGACTTCTGCTTTGGAGCCATAGTAACGTTTTACCTTTGCAAATCCTCCCCCCCGCAAAAAAAACATTGTTGGCATACAGCTTGAGGTTTAGAAGGCTTTTTTTTCTTCTTTGCCTAGAGATACCAAATTATTCCAGTACCTTTTACTGAAAAGACCATCGTTCCTCCACTAACTTCCTTTTGCACATTTGTCAAAATAGATTGGCTGCTTGTGTGGGTCTGTTTCTGGATTTTCTGTTCCATGGTCTCCATGCCCATAACCTCAAACACAGAATATAGCTTTGCAGAAAGCTGTAATATCTGATAGGGGATTCCTCCCACTTAATCCTTTTTCCTGATTATTCTAGCTATTCTGGGGCCCATGCCCTTCCATATAAACTTCAGAATAAATTTTTCTGTTTATAAAAATACTTCCTGGGATTTTGGTAGAAATTACTATAAAACTATAGGTCGATTTGGGGAGAACTGACATCTTTACTGTGTTGAGTCTTTTCATCCATGAACATGGTACGCCTCTCCATTTAGTTAGATCTGCACTTAACTCTGCTGCACTCACTTTTGCTGACTTCTCAAGGGATAGGATAGAAAAGAGGATATTTGAAGCAATGGGAACACACTTGCAACAGATAACAGTGTGTGGCACTGGGAACCCAAGAAGGACGTGGGCCTGGGGACAGGCCAAGCGATGCTGTGGGACCCAATTATGTCGCGTCCTGCGCGGCAAGGGCTGGGGCGTGCAAGAGGGGCAGCAAAGGGTTAAGATATCCAAGACCCAAGTATTGAGTTCATGCAGGCCAGGGGGTTCAAGTCTCTTGTGGACTGAGCCCCATTTCAGGCGGACGCAGAACTTTTATTCTCTGGTTACAAGGCAATAAATTCCAATCTGTTAAGTCTGTGTACCTAGCAACTGCCTTCCTGGAAGCTCCTGTGTGCTCTAGCACGTAATGTGCCTTCACACACACACACACACACACACACACACAACCCCAGGAGATGGACTCAGCATTCTGAGACCATCTGATAAGGAAGCTTTACAGGGATCATTCCTGCGGGTCTCAGCATTCCGAGACACTTTCTTATGACTTCATGGGATCAGCGCGGAGGAACACTCGGTTTGGCAGCTGCCAGGTTACACAGCTGAACCTGCTCCAGGGCTGGGCCCAAAGAGCCAGACAAGCACCCAGCAGTCCCCTCTGCAGAAGCCAGCCACATGCCCCACAGGCAGCCTGCATCACAGGGCGGGCAGGGCTCTGACCCACCTATGGGCTGGGAAGGTCTTGAGGAACAGGAAGTACAGAGTCATAAAAACTTGGTGTGGTGCACACCCGCCCAGCTCTGTAAAACAGTCATTCTGGAGAACACCGCCCTGGTCCCAAGGCTCCGCCCGAGGGCTACAGACCACAAGCTGTGTTCTTAGCTTGCACACTCATTGCAATGGGGACCCAGGTCCCAGGGAGTTGGCCTGCGGGGGGGTAGGGGGGCTCAGTGGGCCAGCCGTTCCTTAGTACGTACTAACTAGTGACGTCTGCAATCGCTGTCCCCATGGTGGGAAGGGGCACATCACAGCCAACACATGAACAAACATGCAGGGGAGAGAAACAGACACGGTGTGTTTATTAGCGCGCAGGGAGGAGGCCTTCGTCCCCAGACAGGGTGCTGCTTCTCAGAGTCTGTATCAAGAGCAAGTCAACAGTTGAAAACCGTATTCCTGAGAAGAAGCAAAAAAGTTACAATTTTGCAAACAAACATAACAGGTGTTTTTCACAAAAAATAAAAAAATTTTTTTTTTACAAAAAACAAAATTTCAAGTATTATTCCAGATGACATGGCAAACCCAACACAGGAGGAAAGAGCAAGGACTGGCAGAAGCAAAGGCCCCTGTGCTCTCGGCGGGAAGGGTCTGCTCCAGGGAGCTGGTGTCACCAGGGCTGACCTGCACCTGGCACCTTGGCCACCCAGGGGGTGAGGCAAGGATACAGGGTCAGCTGGGCGGGACCAGCAGCTGTGCTGACAAAGGGGCAGCAGGGATGAGCACTGTGCTTGGGGTGGTGGTACCCAACTCAGATGCCCAGGGGGGCCGCACACGCAATGTCAGGGTCCAGGGCTGGCAGTTCTGGACATCTTATGACTTGTTTTTAATAAACAGGAATGTATGTTTATTCTTTCAAATACCATACTATCCCCAATTTTTGTCAATTTGTAAATTATGAATTATATTATTTGTGCTACAGTTTGTGGTATTTAAATCTCATTAGGAATTAAGCACCAAACCTATTAAAATAAAAATACAGATGACGCGTGGCTTCCCACAGCAGGGCACTCAGCACCCCTGCAGGCTGAGCGTTCGCTGCTTTTCCTCAAACAACATGTTTCTGACAAGCTTTCCTTGAAGAAAGACTTCTGCTTTAGCCACAGTGCTGGGAAAGGTACACACAGCAAACCTGCTGTCATCACCTCAATGGGAGGGGACGGCTGCTGGCTGTTCATCGGGCCAGAGCCTCAGCTGGCTTCCAGCACAGAAGATGGTCGTGTGCGCTCCACAAAAGAAAAAGTCCCAGTAGAGTGCCGGGCGCAGACAACCCCAGCGTCCTGAGAGGGACTGTAAAATGCCCTGAAAACGTTAGGATTCGGTATTTCCTGACACACGCTGTCACTGACCCCTGTATTCCCAGGCCACCTTGGAGCCTCCCAGAGCTTAGTTCTTGAACCGCGTCTGTTCGCAGATATGATTGAATTTCCTGCAGGGAGAAAACAGTCAAATTATACAGAGATCCTCCGAGAAGCACTGAGACACGAAGTTTGAGGGGGCACACTGGGAGGTCTACATGGGAATTGCAGGTGGGGCTCACAGTGGCCTCTGCTTAGCACCATCACAGACGCTCACCCCCAAAGCCGCCTTCTCCCCTTTTAAAGTTTAAAACAGAAGTGAACATTTTAGGTAATTTCCTTAGAGACGAGACTGGAAGCTGCGCATCCTTGGCGTCCCTGTGGGGCCACACTGCAGGGTGATGTATGCGCATGCGGGGTGACGGCACTGCCACCTTCCTCTCCGCAGAGGAAGACGGTTATGCCTTTGCTGGGCTCACCCAGGTTTTTATCGAGGAAGCACAGCCAATTACAAGTGAAATCTCTTCTAACAGAAGTCTTTTCCACACTATTTAAGCGGATGTACAAAGCAAGGGTTTCAGTCCAGCGTTCGTTCATTCCTCGGAGGGAGGTGCCTTTACCTGAGCTCTCAGCTCGTCTCCTGCAGAGGGCGCTCTCATTATGCTGCCCCCAGGACGATGCGTGTGAATTGCACAGCCCACTCATGCTCGGATATTTTCCATTGACCTGTGCAGTTCACACCCATATCTTTCGACTGTCAAGTGTACTTCAATTTGAACCACAGATAAGTCGACTGGGGACCAGTCACCTCAAACAGCCTCATTCCATGTGACTGACTATATGATCACCTTGCCCACGGCTTAAAGGGCGGTGAGCTTATCCTGTGACGACTGCATGCAACGTGGACGTCCTGTGACTACACCTTTAAGGTCCCGTGGGAACCACCTGGGGAGTGACCAGTTAGAGCATCACAGACACCTGCTCACAGCACCAGGGACAGGCCAGGTGCGCAGTGGCCCGCACATGGCGGGCTGGGGAGGAGGTTCTCAGTAACTATGGCCACCGATCTGGAAAGTGCTGATGTGTCATCACAAGGGATGAGGGCTATGCTCTGGGGACACGGAGGTGGGAACATTTCCATGTGAATGTTTCACAAAATGAGGTGAGGGAGCAGAGGTTCTAAATGATAACACTTCTGTGTGTACCATGTGACCCTCAGAAGCACTGATCCTAGTAGTACTGTAAGCAGGTGGGTGACTAGTTCATGAACACCCCTAACAGCTCAGATATCAGATTGGCCACAGCTGTCAGAAGGACGAGGGTCTGCCTTTCCACGCGACTGCCCCAGCCCTCTGCCCACTGCGCGCCTCACTTACATTGCATGGTGGGCTTTCACCTGGGTGCGACAGTTGCGGCCCCAGTAGCAGTCAGGACGGGACGTCACAGCCACTAGGAGAAAAACATCACACGTGTGTCAGGCACATACATCATACTAACAACTCAGCGAATCGAGACCCAAAGAGAGACTGCAGCAGAGATACACAGCATTTTGTCATGCTTGTAACTAGTCCCTTGACTGTTCCCAGATTGTAGAACAGGGAAACAAATGTGTAACTGAACACCCCATTTAGGAATTAGATTACTCTAGTCCTCTCTGGGATGTTTTGTGCATCTTGTTTGAGAAGCCCATGCCAGGCGGGCAGACCTGAGTTCACACCAGGTATGTGACGGAACCCACGGCACGGCCCTCAGGCAGCAATCTAATGGGTTTCACCGGGCTGAAGCAGACATCTGCGAAGAGGATGGAGCAAAGGCCAAGGGTGCTGTCTGTTATGAGGGCGCGCAGAAGCCAGATCAAACAGAACTGAGCTGGGGATTTCCTCACCTGGCAACTCGGAGGCAGGAATGTTCTGCCGATACTGGAAGGTCAGCTCTCGGAAGCTTCGCAGGCCGCAGCAGTAACACAGCACAGTGCTCCCCGTGACTATGTAATCTAGAAGGTACACAGCCTCATATGGGCATGGCCGGTCGTGGTTCCAGAG